CTCGTCGTACTGACGTAACAGTGTCGACAGACGAGCCTTCTGTGCTTCATCCAACTGAGTCGCGCAGGCGACCAAAGGACGTAGTGCCTCTTCGTGTCGTGCCGGTCGATCCAAGCAGGGGTTTCGAGCCGACGAGCGCGGAACGCCAGGGTACGACCCCGGAGTTGGCGCACGACACGGTTCGTGCCGCGCCTCTCGTTCCCGAAGGGGACTGTGAGAGGGCAAATGCGGTGAGCGGGGGCTTGGCCCCGAACTCTGCGCAAGGCACGTTTCCGACGCTTCTGCCGCAAAGGCGACGGTAAGCGCCGGCGGGCTGATGAACGGCTTGAGTTGGCAAAATGGGCCATCACGATAGCCGCCATTCGCAATGTCCACAACGATACCGGTTTTAAGGAGAAAGTCCCGACCGAGAATCACTGGAACATTGAGCCCTGGAAGATGAATAAGACGGCAGCGTCTCATTCGATCTCCCCATCGGACAGTCAACCTTGCAGCGCCTGCCGAATGGGCCACGCCTTTCGCAAGGGTGAATGTCGTTCGGCTGTCCCGCAAGCGCACCGAGTGCTTCCGCAAGTGGGACAACACTTGTTCGCCAAACAACGAGGCGCTAGCGCCCGTGTCCAGCAAAGCCGAAAATTCACGGCCGGCAATGGTGACCGGAATGAACGGCGCGTGCGTATCAGCAAGAAAAGTGCTTGCCCTGCACGCAGAGGGAAGAAGCAAAGGTTGGGTCGGTCGTGCATTCACGAACGACCCGGAAGCCCGTTTCCCTGCCTCGCAGGAGGCCTGGATCCGGTGCATTCCCTTGCTATGTGCCCTCTTTCACGGCAGCGGTAACAGCGCACTCCATCACGGTCTGTATTCCCAGACGGAGCAGCTTCGAGCTGTCGTGATCGGCTCGCTACGTCATCGTAGGATACGTTTCTGCGAGCCGCACCTCCAACATTACGTTGGGTCGAAAAGCGTCCCTGTATGGAGGTTTCAGGCGGAGCAGCGCAGGCTGCCCGCCTTTCATGCGTAAAGGGGTCAGGAGCGCGATCGCTCAACTCCCACGCACAGCCGGTTGCAGCCGCAAAGGCGGCGCGGAGAGGCTGTTGCCGTTGGGGAAGGGTCATGGCCCCTCTCCAAGCGCAGCGCGGCTCAAGGGCGTCGCTGGCTGGCGGCGGCGGGCGATAGGCACGCGCGGCGAGAATGTCGCCTTGGATGCGCTTCGCCTCGGCGGCCAACGCTTCCAAATCACTGAAGCGGCCGCCGCGCAGGTAAGCCGAAAAAGTCGGATGTGCCTGCCGTATCACCCGTTCGACGCGTTCCTCGTTCGAGGCTCGGGGCTCAGCGATAGAAATAAGTTCATCCATCGCCCGTACATACTCCTGTAAAGACTCGTCAGGAGCTTGTGTACGGAGCTCGAGCTCTCGCCGCATCCTACTTTCGTAGTCAGCGGGTAGGAATTCGCGCAAAAAGACCGCACGAAATTCCTCGAGGTTTGCTGCACGGTAACCGGAAAGCCGATACCATCTCGCCGCCGTGTCAGTCAGTGCAGCTGGAACAACACGTTCGAGCACCACCTTATCATCCAAACCCATCGCTCTCTGATAACGTGACAGAGAGTCGAGGTAATCTCGGGCGGTGAGCTGATCACCGTATCCGCTGTAGGTTGGCACAGGCAACATAACAGCGGGGTGACCGCTTTTCGGAACAGCCGAAAGCGTTTGCACAGCTCCCGAGAGTGCTTGGATCATCTGCACGGCGTTTTGCAGCAAAGTCTGCGTCGTCGCACCGGCTTCGTAGGAAACCGTTGGTGCGTTAGCGGCGCGGTCGAGCGAAGGCGAGCAGTCGCCCAGCTCGATCAGTGGGGCGGTTTCAAACAGACCACCGCCCGGCGCGCCATTCCCAGAGCAAAATAGGCTCCTTGTGGGATATGCCTGTTGTCGAACCAAAGGCGCACTTGGTGCGGCTACCATCGACAATTCAGGCGCCTGCGCAGCGTGCGGTCGAAGTGTCGGTTGCACGGCTGATAGCGGGCAAAAGTCGGCGAGGGCCCCGTCAATTCCGCAGGGAACCGACTGCGAGCGCTGTGCCGACGAACTGCCATGCATGCCAAAGGGCGCATTAGCAGTCGGAGGCGCTTGTGCGTAACGTTCGGGTAGGGCAAGAGGCCCATTCCGAAGCGACGCGCCATCTCCAAAGGGAGCGGCTATAGGCGCCTCGTGTCGTCACCGCAATAGGGGGTGCCGACACGGACGGGTGCAGAAGGGTTCCCGTTCATAGAGGCAATGGCCTCCGTGTGCAACGCGGCATCCGCTAAAAGGGACAGCGGACAAAAGTCCCGCGAAGCAGCCATGTTGCGACGAGCCCGAATCGCGCAGGCGAACTGACTCGCTAAGAGCAATCAAAAGCTAGAGCTTTTGATACCGCGTTGGGCGCCAGTGTGGTGTACACGTATCCCGAAGGAGTACGGCCACCAGCGTGGGTCCGGTCTTAGCGAGCCGCAGGGCACGCGTTAACCGTCGCCGTGGCGGGAAACACGATACTGCTCAAGTCGCAACACTTTATTGTGGCAACACCAAACGCAGTACAGCCCGTTGCAAATAGGCGCGGCGGGAAAGCAAGTAGGCTTATCCACGCCACGGGCACAAAGTACTACACAGGGGTGCCACGAGCACGTCTCCGCGGTAAAGCCGATCCACGGAGACACCGGAGCAAAGGCCCGGTTGCTCGAGCGAGGGCAAAGGCGCTCGCGTTGGCTTCGAAGGGAGACGGGTCGGCGTAGCGAGGCCACGCACTAGGACACCGTACCGCCCTTCGGCCGTGCGTACGCAGCGGGGCAACAGCGGGTGAGCGTTCGCCTTGGGCGCGAGGCGCCGTCAGCGAAGTCCGACGAGCCCCGACTGACGGGAGTCGACGGACGAAAAGATAGCGTGGCTCACCGTTTGCTGTCCCGGAGAGTATCTGACCGCTCCCGACGCAGCGCGCGAAAACCTCCCAGGGGTCCCCGCGTGCGGCGCCACAGTCAACATCCGCTACCGGGTGAGGGAGTTATACGTCACTCCGCCCTTCCCAGCGCGGCAGACAGCAAGGAGGGCAGACATGTCGGGACATGAGAACGGCAGAAAAGGCGGGAAAGCCCGCTTAAAGGCAGCGGGCCAGCCTCAATTCCCACAGCTTGCATGCCTGCATGGGTGGCCAGGCGCCATCAGCTAGTCATTGAGCACCTGTTGTGTGTATTGCAAGCGCTTCAAGCCCAACGAGCCGCCTTGCTCGCCACACTCCGTCGCCAGGGTGCACCCGTAGATACACAGAGAGGGAATTCTATGATACAGAGGGACCATGGGCGTAGTCATAGAGGGGGGGGGGGGGGGGGGGGGGTCTGACATTTCCCTCGAATTTTTTTTCAATTTTGCTTGCGCATACATACCCCCCCCCCCCCCCCCCCCAATTTTTGACTGCGCCCCTGAGAGGGTCCTCGTGTTTCCTGCGCGGCACCACACCAAGCCCGTAGCCGCGATTTTTTTTTTCGGGGGGAGGGGGCATACTTTGAAGGCTCAAGTTGAATTTGAATAACAACACCCTTCTTTTTTATTGTTTATTCTCCGTAAAACACGCCCCAGGGGGGGGGGGGGGGGCTACTGCACCCCACTCCCGCAAACCCCACTCAGGTCTTCAAGGTGGTTATTCGCTTTATGAGGGACACTGGACTGGACAACCACGTCCTGAGTCATGGACGCCATTGCTTTTCTTCGCTCTTCCCCACATTTTTAATGCCCTCTCCCCATTCCCTTTACAGGCGCTGAGCCGTGCTCCCATCTAGGGTTGCAGAAGTTGCGTTTTAAATGCGGAGCATTTCTTACTCGCACCATAGGGAAATAAAAAAAAACGTTTTTTGCTTTCTTCTGTTAATATAGTCGCACGATGCCGCGCTTCAACGGCGGTGCCATCCACGCCGCCACTGCGCATTCTCGCGTCTCGTACCGGCCCAGGAAGACACCCGCAAAACTGTCGCTCACCTCCCCCTCTCTCGCTTCACACACTGCCGACGCAGGCAACGTCTGCTAGTTAAAAAAAAAAAACCGAGTGCCCGCGCTGCACAACCGATCACTGACCACCGTCTGTGTATTCACTTTTTCATAAACGCCTCCCTGGGCGCCACCATAGCCCTCCTTGGGCTGTGCAAATTGGCGCGTCCCCTCGAAAATGCACTGACAACGCTGCGCCCTTAGCATTTGTACTCCCGCGCACAACCCATCATGGCGCTGTTTTTTTCCTTCCTGTGAAAAGGTGTGTATAGGCACTGGATCGCGCGTTCGGAATTCAGTCAAGGGAGTCTTTACTTGGCTTTCGCAACACTTCTTCATCCAATTAATAATAAAGACGAAATAACAAGCATTACATTTACGCGGTGACCCCCACCACTATGCGACGCATTTACTCGAGTTCGACCCAGGGTAGATGCCGGTGGCATTTTTTTTCCCTTTATTCAACCTCTCCTCCTGCTCGGCGAATGTGACGTCATGGCTCGAGTGCAGCAGACGCCGAGCGCTGACAATCCAACTGAAATGCAGCTAACTGTTCAAAAATACGATAAACAAGGTCTGCTCACCAGTACAGCTAGTTAAGCATTTCAAGAACTTCTATGTTTGAATGAATTTTTAATGAATTCACTGGATTTAAGAGCTCGTTAAAAGCTACCGACAACGTGTGGTAGATTTTTTATTAAAGTCATCGAGAGTTTATTTCTTGAAAATTGAGACAATTTAACAAAAAAAACTGGAAGAAATGGTTTCTCTTTAAAATTCGGGAAAATATGAGCACACTTTGTATAAAAAATACACGCATGTATATTTGTTTATTAAACCATATCGTCTCGCTAGATTTAGCTGGTCCGACGTTTTTTTTTTTTTTGAGAGTATGCGCAAATCTTGCGAAACTTGCAAATCTTGCAAATCTTGAGTATGCGAAACGTGCCGCTTGGCACGTTTCGGAATCAAGATTTGCGCATTCTCTTTACTTAGCAGCGATGTAAAAACAAACCTCGGTAACTTTCGTGGACTACTATATCAAGCGTCTGTGTCGTTTTGCTATGGCCGCTCTGGGTTGTCCACCTAATACCTGGCTCCCTATATTCGACCTCTTCCCCAAGAAATGTCTCATCAGAAGAGTCGACCTCTGGAATCATCGAATGTCGATCACTCTCGGCGGATTCCGAAACGTCATCAGTTCGCTCGCCGTGACGTAATCCTCGGAGCATACAGTTCGCCAGCTACGCATCAGCTGCGTCACGAGTTTGTGTGCTCGAAGCCGCTTCTGATTCACCGCTTTCCGATGATGCACTAAACAAGCCAATGACGTCATCTTCGCTATTCATGTTGTCCATCTTGCCGTGACAGAACCCACGTGCTTCGACCAATTTATCGCCTGCAGGTGCGCTCGGGTTCAGGTTTTTTTCGGACGCGAGTTCATCGCAGCTCGCTGGCTTTCGACCGCGTTTCGTTTTGTGATGTCCGGAAACTAAGTTCCAAGTCGGAGCTATGCTAATGACGTGACGATCCGACGAAGAGTGTGCGCTGGCTAGCGTTGTTCCGGAACTTTGCGGTTGATACTTTAGAGGTCCTCTATAGAACCGCGCGTCTTGGGACCCTCTGTTACAGCTGCCACTGCTACGCGTGGAGCTTCCGCAAGCGTTTGTGTCCATTGGGTAATTTCGAGAGCAATCCGACATGAACGATACTTCACTGGTGTCGTCCGCCGTCGCGCGACTCGACCAACGCTCAAGGAACAGGTCGTACGTCGCTCGCTGTTCCGGCAACGAAGTCGCACCACCGCTTAGTTCGGAACATCGACCATCGGAGAGCGCGGTGGTCGTTAGGAAACGTCGTTCCTCGCACTTGGACGCCCGCGCCACGGTGACGTCATAACGACCGATCCAGCGTCGTCTGCCGGACGAGAGCCAGTCTTCCTCGGGACTTCCAACGAGCGCGACGTCAGACTCCGAAGACGCCTTTTCCGGCGAAGTACCGTATCGTTCGCGAAGGGGTTGCTTGTCAAGGTCGACGTAATCGTCATCACCAGAAGCCAGCGCTCCCAGTGTTATGATGCTCGGGCGTTTCGGACGTCGAGCAGGAAGTACAGGCACGATCTGTGGAATATTGTCCGTGTCATCCACGGATGTGTCCTCGTCGAAGACGGTGCTCTGGTCACCATCGTCGACTTCATTCGAGCCCTCTGACGTGGGCTGCGGGGCATCGTCCGTTGCATCCACGGAGGTCTCCTCGTCGAAACAGGCGGTGCTCTGGTCGTCGTCTTCGTTCGAGCCACGTGACGTGTTCTGCGGAGCATCGTCCGTTGCATCCACGGAGGTATCCTCGTCGAAGCGGACGGCACTCAAGTCACCGTCTTCGTTCGAGCTCTCCGATACGAGAGCCAGGGACGACTTCGAAGTTGGCAGAAGTGGGATGCCTTCTTCGCCCGAGGCCTCCGGCAACTTGCGTCTCTTGAGGCGAGCCACTAGCTTCGAGATGCCGTCGAACACGTCGTCTGGCATGCCGTCGTCCGTGTCATCGTCGCGGGCGTCGGCGCCCGGTCCCGACTTGGAGGCGCTGGCTTCTTTCGATACGTACTCGCACAGGTTGTCGAGGACGATTGGTCCGGAAAACTTGACGAGTGCGTACCTGAAACAGTAAAGCATGCGGGGTTACGGACAAGCACACTGCAGGTGATTTTTTTGTGCTTATCACAGCAATAAATAAATAAATTAATTAATAAAAATAAATAAATGGCGCTAAATATGGAGAAATTGCAGACAACTGCACCAAAATACTACAGCTTCTTTTTTCGGACATGAATGTCTTTTTCTCTGTGCTTTGTCTGTATATAGTGCGATTCCTTTTCAGAGATAACCCAGCTATAGCCTAAGATTTCGTGCTGTTTCAACTTGAACCATAGGTAATGTGTTCGCCCCAGTGAAGCGTTCCCAAAGAACCAACAATTAATACTTCAAGGACAGTACGATCGGCTTTGGCATGGCGCGCCTGCTTCAGACGACACCATCGGCGGCCGCTTCTGAAAGAATGACGTCATGCTTGATGTAGCCCACGACGAAGACCAATCGGGAAGCGCCCACCCTCCTCTCTTGCCATGCCACATCTCCTCCACCGTCACATGCAAAACACGTGTCAATTTGCCCTCCCCCTTGCACCAACGGGTGGCAAAGACGAACGCTTTATAAAGTAAAAGGTAATTACAGATTTAAGGACAGACAAGCCAGGACTGCCAAGCCGATTAGGAAGTCGTGGACAACTCCTGGAATAAACGTATTCGATTAAAAAGACGTTGAAATAAGCTTATTTGAACAGTGGCACACGTGAAGACATTCAAGAGCGCTTTGTGGTCAATGAAATTGCGAAGCGGCGTTCAACGTACTTGAAGACGCTACTAACACAGCGAGCGCCAGGCACGAGACTAAGATAACAATTGCTACTTATCATGCTTCTTGGTAGGAGACATCCAGCTAACCTATGTGCAACAAAATTTATGGGCATATATCAGACTGTGGGTGTCTATTTCATTCAGTGCGACAATGACGTCAATGGAATTGGGAGTAATCACCACCACAGGACGCTCCATTTTACATCGATTCGTTCCACGCTTGAAGGGCCCCAAACCACCCAGAGTTCAAAATTCAGTTGTGGTGGTGAACTTGTGCGTGGGTGTGCAACGAACACCGAGGCCATGAGAAATTTTTTTGAAACGGTGCTGTTATAGCGGAGTTAGACGCGTTTGATTATCAAAACGCGGCGCTATCGCTGTCTTCGCTCTCTCCTCTGCTACCCTCCGCTGGTATCCTCTCTCAAAGCCACTTGGTCTTCTCGCCGAGTTTCTTTTGTGTGTGTGCATGTGTGTTTTCCCTCAATTGACTAGCCCCTGCCCCCTTCCCACAATGTCATCCACCAACAGCGCACACAATGCGATCAGCCTTCGAAACTGTCACCAGCGGCCCCGCCATCGATGGCTAAACTGAGAAGCGAGGGAAAATCACATTTCAGCCACCGCAGCATCCCCATCTACGACGCACTTACCTAGCCCTGCCGCAACGACGCACGCACCTTACCGCTCTTGTACATCATGCAGAACATCACGATGACCTGGAATTTATGTTTGAACAAACCCCGCAATTGCCATCGCAATGGGATACTGCAAATGCATGCAGAGTTACCCCCGTATTCACAAACGCTCCTTGACTTCACTTTCACCCTTCACTTGACAGAGTCGAGCACTGCGCCACCACTCGGCTGAAAATGGCACTGCGCTACTCAGGAATCGCAGCAGCTTATCGCTAATATGCAGTGACCTGTCGTGACTAGAGACAGCGCTCCCATCGGATTTCTCAAGTGAAGGTGGAGCGTTGAGTGAAGGGAAGTTCTTGAATACGGGGGGTTAGGCGCACGAACCTTGTCGCACTATTTCTTTACGCGGAACATCAGGCCGACGGCGAATTTTCGCTTTGACAATCCTTACAACCGCCATCGCAATAGTAAGCTGGCAATGCCCGCAGAGTCGCCGTTGGACGTATACCAGAGCACTCTTTCCTCGACGTGGCACCACGGCCCCATGTGACGTAGAGGAAGGGACAGCGCTGGCAACAGAGAGCGCCGTGGCGATCGTTGAAGCTGCCCACGGAGCAGACGTGGCAGGCGCCGTCTTTTCCATACTGACCCGGACCGCAAGCAACTGCGGTCAGACAGTGACACCATCAGGATTCACAAGCTCGAAGGTCAGCAGAAGGGTGCTCCCGAACAAGAAAAAAAAAAACGGCCTAGTAGCTGTAAGGGAAGGTATGTGCCGGTGTTAAAACCCATGATGTAGTTATAGGACGCTCATCTTAGAAACAGTACAGCAACCGTGATAGGGACAAGAGAAGAAGCAAAGGGACGGTGCTTATCTCGTCACGTTTCCATTCTTCCTAACGGGAAACATTGTGCATCATTATGAGGCACACCGTAGCCGAGGCCTCTGGAAAATTTGACCAACTGATGTCCTTATCATGTGAAAAACGGAGCCGTCAAGGACGGAATCGAACCCGCGACCTTCGGGTAGGCAGCCGATCGGGCACCGTATCCACTGTACCACCACAGTATGTATGTATGTATGTATGTATGTATGTATGTATGTATGTATGTATGTATGTATGTATGTATGTATGTATGTATGTATGTATGTATGTATGTATGTATGTATGTATGTATGTATGTATGTATGCACGTATGTATGCACGTATGTATGCACGTATGTATGCACGTATGTATGTACGTATGTATGTACGTATGTATGCACGTATGTATGCACGTATGTATGTATGTATGTATGTAAGCTTTGATAGCAATTAAGCTTAAGCTTGCACACGCCTCGAAATTAAAACAACTCACGGCACACGTTAGCAATCAGCTCGCATCCACATTCGCAGACTCCCGCCACAGATGTTTCGTACACTGCGAAAAACAATCCCGGAAGCAGATATTATTAATCATTATTCAAAAGAAATAACAAACCAGGTACTACATCGATGACATAGAACAGCGCGCGCACTTTTACTGCACCCAGTTTTGAATGTATTATATCAAATTTTTTATTGCTACTCTACATATCTTCACGTGCGTGTCTTCTAACAGGAAAGAAAGAAAAAAAAAGAAAGAAAGAAAGAAAGAAAGAAAGAAAGAAAGAAAGAAAATTAATGCATATTCAAGCTGCTTAACTTACCTATGGAAGGCACTCTTAGATTTTGAAATAAATGTATTGTCATATGCCGCAACTCGAACTGTGTAAAATTTGCTGCGCACCAGTCCGAGCGAGGCATATCTAATGACGTAGTCGGAGTGAATCTGTCATTGTTCATAATACGTCGTTTTGACGACCAACAGCAGCTCGTCATTTTCTGTTTCGCCAGTGGTATATTTCTGTTCGCATGCAGAACAAGAAGCTCTTGGGGCTCTCTGCAAACACCGAGATTGCCTTATCTAATAACTGAACCAAGGTGAATTTCCGTGCGCGTGGCATTTGCATCATGGCGTGTTCTGGACACTTGTATATGCTCTTATCCGTGGACACGGTGCGCGATGTCTCCAAGAGATACAATAAACACGATTACCAGGGAAGCACGCTGGTAAGTTACACGTCTATATCAGTAGTACGCATAAAACGGGTGCCAGGTAAGCCAGCCAAAGATGAAAATGCGAGAAAGGCGTGCGCAACTGCCACTTTAAAATTCCCGCCAAAACACAGAATTTTGAAAACACTTTCTGACAAATATATTGCACTTTTCTCCAATAAAAAATTTAGTCAGTAATAATTTGTGACTATCAAAACATTTTTGGGGGTTTTATTGCGTTTATTGAAAAATATCTGCGTGAAGGGAGAATAAACGGAAAATTCAAAACTAAAGTCTAGCCATAAAACATTGATCCACCGCAATATATTCAGTAGTTACCCAGCTAGTTGATTTATGTATTTTTTGGAACCAATAAAAACTGATTAATAAACCAGAGAAAATTATTAACGTAGCAGCCAGGTTTTTGTCTTGACTCGGCATGAAAAAAGAAAAAAAACATTGCATCGCATGTGTGGTTGCTGGCCAATGTTAGTTCAGACACCCCATCAGAACAATGGGCGCGAAACAACCCGAGCAGTAATCGAAACTTTTTACATCGACAGAAGGAACGACACAAGCTAAATTCGATGCGTGGTTAACATACCTGATTGACACGTGTGCTGATAAAAGGAGTGTGAGGCATCTACATAATTTTTCTCTTCCCTCTAAGAAAAAAAAAAAACAATCGAGTACTTGAGTATTTCTGCCACACAACAGCAATGCGAGGTTTTGTTGATGTTGCTGTTGTTTTACCGGCGTGGCACTCCCAACAAATAGGTTCTTGTAAAGGGAGAGGGAGTGAGCACGAAGAAGGCGAGTAACTCATGCGTTGTTCTTGGGGGGGGGGGGGGGGGGGGGCATATGGGGCAGGTGAAAATGGGGGGGGGGGAAGGGGGGCTCCACTCCAGCACCCCAAACTAACACCGCGCCTGCTGCCACACAACAATAATCATCTGGCTCGCTCACGTTTTTTTTTTTTTTCTTGAAAATTCAGCTCTCCCCGCTTCCCTATCAAGAAGGCCACGTCAAGCCGACAGATCGCGCGCCGCTCGTAGTCGGTGATAACGCAAGATAAGTGTGCACGCGCAGTAGATTACAGTTACAGTTGTGTCGCAGAAACCATCGGCGTAGCCAGCCCTCCCGCTCCCCCGAAATTTTTTTTTTTCCAATTTTGCTTTAGTATACGTACGCACACATACAAGTGCCCGCACGAACATACATCTTTCAGTTTCAGTTTAGCTAGCCATCTTTTTCAACATTCGTGTTAAAGGGCAATGTTAGAGTTACAGTGATTCAATGTTTTCATACAATGGCAGTGGTGAACACAAACCATAATGCAAATCAGATTAAAAAGTGAAAAAAAAATGCAATGACGGGAATTAAAAGCTGCTAACAAAAAAAAACAGCTTGAGATTTCTAATCCTGAACAGTTTGGCTGCAGACTAGTGATCATGTAAAAACATTCTGGCTACGCCCCTGATCAAGGGTTACCATCAGGGAGATGGGGTGAAAGTCGCAACGGCCTCCCTCCCGAGTTCACCCTAGTTTAACCCAAAACACACATACTTCGCGTTGGGTGAAAAAAAAAGATGAAAAGGAAGAGGCAGCATGCTTCACACAATGGCCCGCTTTTAGTCCCTGGCTTTCCGGGAGTAAACCATTCTTGCAAAAGCAATATCCAGGGCTTTCGGCCGCCATCACCGTCAGAAACCCGCACGGCCATAACCTTTCTTTTTGAACAGTGATGTGACAGGTGGAAGTATGGTGCTGAATTCGCGTACGCGTCTCTTTAGGTGATTAAGGAGTCAGCACGCCTATGGCAGAAATACTCCCTATTACTCGTTTTTTTTTTTTAGGGTGCGGTTCTGCATCTTCCAATATTTCTTTCCTATTGTAATGATGAATGTAGTGGGTCATGCACATCAGGTAGAGTCCGGCTTCGCAACTCCAGGATTGCAAGGAGACCCCGCAAACTCCACCAATTATAATAAAGAACCGAGACAGTCAAAAACTGTTATTCGAGACCAGGTATAGGAGCGTAGGCCTAGCTAGCGAAATCGGCGACAGTCCGGGCCGAGCGTCTCGTGCTTAGCACTGACAACGTGTTTTCCGAGATGTGCATGCCCCACTACATTCATCATTACATATTTCTTCATTATACTATCGAATATGACGTCAGTGTATTCTGTTCATCTGTGACGTGACGTTCATGTGACTGTGACGTTCATCTGTGACGTATGCGCACCTTGCAAGACGTGCTTGGACACCCGCGGCTCCGTGAGCGCCTCGCCGTCGGCGTAGCGCGCGCTGCAAGAGTACTCGCCGGCGTCTGCGAAGTCCACCGCGGCCAGCGACAGGTCGCCGCTGAAGGCGTCCACCCACGGTTCCCCGCGCAGCTCGGCGCCACTCTGGTCACCGTCGTCTGCTAGCGTGACGCCCCGGGGATCCGTCCAGACGGCGTCGAACGTCGAGAGACCACTCAACTCGTCAGTTGTCTCGACGCTATAGGTCGAAAACGGAGATCAAAGGTCAGCTTATGGGATCACAGCGCATTCAAGAGCTGGGAGTATACGCGAACTCTCAAAGCAGACACCCTAACTGTTTCGTGCATGTGCAGTAGGTGACACATATAAGCCGAGTTTAACGCCAGAAAGAACCCCCAAGTTTACTCAACGCTGCCTTTTATGTATTCCAAACAGGAAAGAAGGTCCCGCGATAACGCTGTGTCACAGTGGATGTGCAGTGACGTCAGAGCACGGCACTTGTACGCTCAAAGCTCGTGTTTTATCACACTTGCATGTAAACACGATTACACTGTGCGGCACGAACATACACGATACAATAACGTGCTATTGTATTATTCTACATCCGGCAGCTTGCACCGAAACTAACAATGCTCATCGCCACTGTCATAAAAGAGCCATCGATGGCAGAAAGGAAAGGGGCGGGGAAGGAGGGTTATCCTACGTACAGTACTTTGCCTGGTTCTTGCCCTGTGACCAAAGACGTGCGCAAGGTTCCCCCTCAATGTGGGGGTGGGGGTGGGCTTCATCACAGCAATCCCCCCTTATTCGTAACTCAATGTATATAGGGTAGATCTAAAGCCTCTTCTTAGGTTACTAGAAGGGGGGTGGGGCGAAGAAAAACCCGACTTGTATTCGTATACTCACTTTTCGTCACATGGCAACCTGACTTGCGTGCCGTACTCAGCCGCGAACAGGCGAGCAGTGTTAGTAATGCCGCTCACGCTGAGGATAATGAACACCAACGATGCGGGTCCCGGTAGTTCCATGCGACGGGGCTGCGACTCTAGTTGGGACCCTAGACCACTTGTTAGAGGTTGGCCATGATGATCTTCGCGTGGTCGTTCACTTCCACGAACAGCAGCAGCTGCGTGTGATAGCAGAAAACTTAATACGAGATGACCTACCGATTTATCACCGCCTCTTTAGCTGGGTTGGCATGCGGTAAGTGTCCAATAAGTGGACTGCTCATTTTAGCACGCTTACAGAATACCAGGGGCGTAGCCAGAATTTTTTTAGCGGGGATGGGTGTGGGGGGGGGGGATAAAATCTCTCCCCTCCTAATCTTTATGTTCGTGCGTGCGTTTGTATGAAGCAAAATTGAAAATTTTGGAGGGAGGTTTGAACCCCTTCCCATGACTCTGCAGAATACCCGAACCAAGATAAAAAAAATAGTCCAAAACAAACGGCACTCCATGGACATAGGAGCTCGCAGTAAACATTCAGCATCGGTTGCTGCTACACATACAGTTTCGGATCACGATCTCAAGGTCAGGGTCGACCAGACCAGTAGGAAACGGACAGTGACTACAAATGAACTCTTGACCCTCTTGTTACGATGTATGTAACTGTAGCTTTCTTGCACTTTTTCTTCTCGCGTGAATTGAAATATTCAACATTCCTTCAAGTTTGTGCGGCATAAGGAAGATGCCCGCTAAAACTTGGCAAAGCGAGACTACAGTCACGTTTCTCCTTTAGAACAGCGCGCAGCAGGAATTGGTGCAACGTGTCGTTGTATATTTCAGGCTTAAGCCCAGGGATGTTGCAGAATTTTTTTTTTCGTGGGGGTCACCTTTTTGAAATGAAAACTTTCACTCTGCATGCCATGGCCGGCCAAAACATTTCGGGAGGGGAGGGGGGCGTTCCCGGTGTCTTACCTCTTGGCTACGCCACCGATTCAGCTCATTTATTTTTCCCGCTTCTTTTCTTACTCCTGGCAGCAAAGAAGCCACATCCTTCTTACTTCTGCTTATATAAATAACCTTTGTCGTTAGCCTAGTTCGGTCAAACGGCCTAGGATATCAAGATGGCGAACCAAATCACTAGCGCTTACCATGCAAACGCCCAACGCGATGTAGTTGAACGCTTCCGTAAGCCCGGATATGTGGTGCCACAGAGGCCAATCTCCAACTTCTGCAGGCACAGATTAGAGGAAAAATAAGTATTCTCACGCCTGGTTGAGAGGCAGGCCCAACGAATGAAGCACGCAGCTCACCGTCGAATCCAGTGATGGACACGGCGAGCCTGTAAAGATTCATCACGATCACGGTGACTCCCATGATGCTGGTAAGAACCTCGACGGTCGGCATGTGGTCACTGGGAAAAAACGCCGCCATGAATGAGTTTTCGGACTTCGCGAGATTAAAATACCGAATCAACGTTGAATACCGATCGACCGTTTACGCGGAATTTCGATGTCACGTAGCGCTACGACAAATGTTTTACAAAACATTCTTGCGAGGCCAGTGGAGGCCTGACCTGCACATTTGCGCAGGCGCGCGCGCAGTCTTCTTCGGCACTGTTCTCAAAAAAGCGACAACGGTGTGATCGCTGCAAGAATACATTGTTGTTCGACGTCAGAAGTAAGATTCGTAGGAAGCAAACAAGAAAAGACTTTGCATCACGAAAATGTCAAGCTACGTCGATTTCTTTTTAAACATCTCATTGTGCTAGTTTCGGTTTCGTTATCTGCTGAGACACCACAGGGGTGCTTCGTTCGTCTTTATGTCTCAGTATTTCAAAAATATGAAGTTACGGACATAAATGCACGTTTGTGACGTTTAATATAGTGGGAAATTTTTCAATTTGTTGTTGAAACATGGTAGTGCACATTCAGTGCGAATATTCCGTGGTTTCTCTGAGTCGCTCGTCGAAAGCGTTTTCGAAAGTGGCGCGCTTTCCGCCTCACGCAAGCATGCAAACAAGAAACGACAAAATAGGCGAGCGACGGCTGGCTGGCGCTTGCCTTGTTTTCGTTTGCGCTGCCACGGAGATTACGCTCCGCTCTTTGCGATCGCGGGCGAAAAAACACAGTACTCCAGGATAGCACAGCAAGCAGCCATGGCTAGCGGTGACCACACATGACGGAAAACCGAAGCGGTCGACCGTACGACGGAAAGCACGTTGGTACAAGCGCCGCTGCAGCTGCTGAAGTCTCATCAGCTGGGATCCTCGTTCCTTTCTGAACCGCTACGGTGTTCCCTTCGTGCAGTACAGGTACGGAGATCGTCAGCGCGTTCGCCCCTCTTTCGGGCGTCATCTGATCTTTGCCGTCCGTGCGACTCGATCCGTACGCGACATGCGATGCCATCGAAGTGTACCAGTAGTCGCAGCACTTCCTGCGATGAAGCAGTCGCTTTATTGTGCATTGATGTCGGATTGTGTCGTTGCAGGCGTCAGTCTTTCGTTGAAGCCACCGAGTGATGGATGTTTGGCCCCAGAACTTGGCTGCAGTAGGACGCAGAAACGCTTGGCTCGGTAAGTGCAATGCATGACCCGGTTTATATTCATCTTAGCCTGATCACGTTCTTTTTTTTTCATTTCCTCCAGGTTTTGTGTGTGTATGAACTGTCAAACCAGCTGCATGCTTGCATATGTTATTTGATGAAATGGCCGATTGATTAAGCGTGACTAGTTTCGTTACCAGTGTGTTATTGAATTCATTGTAGAAGAATATAGCTGTACGTTTTCGTGGCTTACGATTTATTGTCAACTCGGAGCTGCAACTTTTTACTCCGCTTGAACAGAGGCGATGCTGGAGTACGTGTTTAAGAGGCCCGTGTCATCAGATGCACAAGACAAGTAAGTATTATGCTACTCTATAATAGAACGCTGGTACACTGTATCTTATGGGCTTGTGCTACACACAAGGAAATTATTCCTTGTGTGTAGCAATGTCAAGCAACATCTTCGAAGATCGTCTAGCCTGCAAGAAATTGAGCGCAAATAGACCAGAACACTAACTTTTGCATGTGAACGAAACTGCAGCTGACATATTTTTCAATCTTTTATTATTGCTAAAGTGAGCGATGTAATCTAGCACTTGAGATTGACATACATGCATCCTCAAAAGCTTCTTAATATTTTTCTTGAATAAATGATTCCTCCCAATGTATTTCTTATGACAAATAGCTTGAGAACTGTTGCTGATTTAGATGCCTTCCTGGACCACCCAGGTATTTTATTTTTTAAACAGGTGATATACTCTGTTTTTAGAAGTGTGTGTGTGTGTGTGTGTGTGTGTGTGGTGTGTGTGTATATATATATATATATATATATATATATATATATATATATATATATATATATATATATATATATATATATATATATATATATATATATATATATATATATATATATATATATATATATATATATATATATATATATATATAATTTTAGCATCCATAATTCTCCAGTTTATGTACTCATCACGTGTTATTGGGCATAAAACGATAACTTAAGATGGGTAGAAACAGCAGAATAAGAATTTCATTTATTCTTCATATTTCTTGTGGGAGACCCTCTGCATGCAAACGGCCATTGGTACTCTTTATGAGCAGACCTACTTTCTGCGGAATTAAATGTGCCGAAAGCAAGATTTCATTCTGCAACTATGGCTTGTTTCAACTAAAATTGAATTTCCACTTTCATCACTGAATGCTTGTGACGATCACTGTTCCTTTTTTTCATTGTACTCATTACAGAGCCACACTTAAACTAGAGGATCTGGACGACTTCATTGACTTTGAACTTGAGAATCTGTCTAAGGCACAAATCGTTGAGAGTGAGTATCTCATTCCACTATACAAACATTGGTGCTTAGCATCGGTCTGTCTTGTTGCTGTGTCGTTTATCTCGACTGGTACTGGCCTTTTCAGGTGACTATGGCAGACTCGGCCCCGACCACGTCACGTTTGACATCTGCTCCAACGTTGGGACGTTCATTGTCAACCAAGACAGACTAGGGGTGAGGCTTAGCATGAATTTATTTTAGGATTAATAAGCTTGTTAGGTGATGAATAGCATTAAGCAAAATGCCATTCGACTTATGAATGCCAGTTGATTTGGCATCATGGAAATTGAATCAAGTCATGGGGTATTGGGAAATTAATGCCATTTTCAGTGCCCCTGTGGTAGGGGTGTTTGGCACTATTCTCGCGAAAGCAAACAGACGCCACTGTGATTAGTAGCTAGGGCGTCACTGTGACAAGTTTAAGTGTGGGTTTTCAATTTATAACTCCAGAGACTCCATATCAGTAGGAGCAATACGAAAACCCACCTCTGTATTTAAATTTGGTGTACAATAAAGAAGTACAGCTGGTCAAAATGATCTGGAGTCTACTAGCGCAACCTTCATAATCATATTTAGGTTCTGGGTCATAAAACATAAAAATTAAATTGATAAGAAGCACATAACATGAATCTCATGTAACATAATTAATTAGGGACCTCAATTCCAAGTCGTTAAAAAGTTTCAACATACCCAGAATATTGTTAGTGCCATACCTGTAACAAATAAAAATTTGGAATGATTTCTACCTAAATAGCATCCCAACTATAATGCCTTTTTTCTTAGTTGTGTGTTTGGTAACTGACGAAATTAAATGAGACAGTTCACCTATAGTTTTTCTTGCTTCTACAAGAGTTAATGCATTAGTTGGCAACATAATATAGAAATGATTACTTATCTCGTGTAGGTGTCGAGTCAAGGTAACTTCAATACGATACGGGCCTCTTGCTGTGTTTTCAAAGGTGAGCCCTTGGATTGTTTGCCAGCACCTTGGTGGGTAATTGTTCTCAATATTATGTTACAACCTAAGAAGTATCGGTTCCGCCCTCTGAAAGGCAGCGCACTTGCCGTTCACCTGGGAAAGACAGTTGTTCTAGCTTGTTTCCACTCTTACCGCTCATACTTTTTTGTCGGCTAATGTGAACACCGTGCATATGAAGAGTCAAAGGTTCATCAGTGCACAAAGCATTCCGTTTTGCTAAGCAGAAGTGTCAGAATCTGATTAAATTTACCATGATGTCGAAGTCTCCGACCAGCAACGTGAATGTGTGTCTCTATGGGAAAGTCAACCATCTGAAGCACTCGAGATGTACTTGATGTCGAAAAAATGGGTAAGAGCTATTGGGTGGGGCATTTATGCAAATTTTCTGTGGGAGGGACTGGGGTGGATGTGGGTACAGATGACATTTCTTCTTAGGTTGTGACCGAGCCTAGACGGGGCCACATAGCATGTGATCTTTCTTACAAGCTTGCAGCTAACCTATAAGCATTTGAATACTGCTTACTTGTTGTTCATCGTCGTGCCAAGTTTTCTTTATACTTTCCAGGGAAGTGGCAGTATGAGCTCATGCTTGGCTCCAAGGGGGTCATGCAGGTCGGCTGGGTCACTAACAGCTGCAAGTTTTCACGAGAGGTAATGTGGACAGGACTACCTGTGATTCTGTTCCTGATTGTAGACACTGCCTTGCTTCTGATTCACGCTTGTCTTGTGTCTTTCGGCAGAAAGGAGTCGGCGACACTGCGGACTCCTACGCTTTCGACGGGAACAGGGTGCGCAAATGGAACGTGGCCACGTACAAGTATGGCGAGGTATGCGAGCTGCTTTCGCTGATGTAAGCGTTCGTGTCACAGTTTTGAGTCCTGGTTTATTATAGCGTAAATACAGTCTTGGTCAAAATTTTCCGACCCACATATGACATAATAGGATGTTCGTAGACCTTTCACTGAGAAAATGAAACATTGCAGGCAAGTATGAGAGGTGTGTGGCCTGCTCCCAGACATAGCTCAACATTACCACTGTTGAAAGCTCTGGCTCTTAACACGTACAGTCTTCAGCAAAAATTTATGGACCATGTAAGGCATTCTCCTACAGGGCCAGAGACTAACAGTCCACACTTTGCTTACCGTTGTACCTTTAGTATTTTGGGAGTCTAGTAACAAGAACCCTGTATATCTGGTCAATGACAGTAGAGCCATAACAGTTCTGATAAAGACTGCTCTCTATCAAAGCTGTGGTTGACGTGAAAACTAATGTACTGGTGGGGGGGGGGGCACTTTCTTGCTTTTCGTTTCTCCAGGCCTGGGTGGCTGGGGATGTCATTGGTTGCTGCATCGATCTAGACAATGGCACAGTTAACTTTTACAGGTAGGTAAATTGACATACACCGCTCTTACTCTGAAAAGTACCCAGGAGTGGTGCATTATTGTCACTTTTAAGAGTGTGTGAAACTAGTGGAGCCATCCCAGACTGGGTTAGGCAAACACAACCAATTGAAAAAAAGAAAAATCTCATGCTAAAGTTTGTTATACTATCAGTAATGCAGCCAGTAGAAGGATAACACCAGAGTTAATTATCTGCCCAGTTGAAAACAATTCCATTTCTAGTGGGATTATTGAACGGAGAGTTATTCCAGCTGGAAAAACTTTCATTTTGACAATTCAGCTCAAAGTGGATAAATACCCAGCTGGCTCATTCCCAGATGGAATTCGGCTGTATTTCAGTTAGATATTCATTCATTTGGAGCTGAACTGCAGTACTATAGCTGAAATCATTCCAGCTTGAAAGATTTTGGTTGAATAATGCGACTGGTGATTGAACGTCTTTCACCTGGGTAAGCACGCCTCCAGAGTGACAGTTGCGATAACTATTTGAATACGGCCAGAACATTACGCTATTTAATCATGAAAATACTGTTTTGGTTGCTGCTATTCATACTTCAATAAACATGCTCATGTAACATACTAACCACAACACATTAGCCTCGCTGTTTGATTTTTTGCAATAACTAGGTTTAACATGCTGTATCAAAAAAAACATTTCGCTTATGTATAGCAGTTCACTCAGTATGGCATGGATAACTGCAACCTAAATTCCACACCCTATTTCTCGACTCATCTAAATAAAAAAATATTTGTGTAGGAACAAAATGCCAAAGTTGGGAACTTGAATCTCTATAATCTCGAATTCACCACTCTGGCAACAGGTTGCCACAACCAGCGTTTAAAGCTCATGCATGCCTTAATCTCCACCTGTTGTACTCGCTTAAATATATACTTTAAGCTTGTTCAACCTCCCTGTCACTGCAGCTCGCACAATCTTAATCTTTTGCACAATTTTGTTCTTTTTTCACCTAATTCTTGAACTGATTTGAACCAAGATAGAGGTGTCCGTTACAACTTAATATTGTAATGTGTTGCCTGGAACTGCTAGATCTTTGCAAATGACTCATTTTCTGTCTACAGTCAACATGTGATGTTGTTACCATTCCTGCCGCAGCCCATGATTGGCGACAATAGGTAGAAATAAAGTAAGATTCTAGAAGATGTGTACTGTGGTGTTACTCTCTTTGTTACCTCTCTTCCCGTTCAGAAATGGTCGGTCCATGGGTGAAGCATTTGACAACGTTCGATTGGGGCCCGGCCTGGCATACTTCCCTGCTGTCAGCCTCGCCTTTGGCGAGAATCTAGTGGCCAACTTCGGCGCCACGCCTTTGCGCCATCCAGTCGAGGGCTATCGGCCCCTTGAGAAGACGTCGCTTTGCGACGCCGCACGTGCCCGCCTCTTGCTGCTATGGACGAAGCGGCTACTGCCCGTGTATGAAGAAGTGCACAAGGTTCGTTTACTTCTGTTGGGCTTTGGTAGCGTAACCTTGTAGTCGGCATGGCAACCGCAGACTACGTATACTGCAAGGGTTGAACGTTGTGTTCGTTAGTCTATGGCTCCAGAAAGTAACAGTGCTACCTGACGAGACAGCTGACCGATGTATCTGTGTACTCTTTCTTGGTGTGTCTTGTTCAATATTGCTGTTTCTTTTGTTTGTTTGTTTTGTTTTTTTTTTGTAACCGGAGCACTGTGCACGTGAAATAATCTGTGCATCTGTCCTCTCGCAAGCATTCCTGTGTGCAGTTGGTTCATGCCATATTTTGATAGAATGTGGTGCGAAATTAAACATGGACACCAGAAAAATTATGGAAGCAACAGGCTCTGTCTGAATGCCATATTCTGTCAAAAATGAACAAGTACGAACTAGTCCATTTATCTGTGCTAGTTCTGCTGACTTACTTGCCTGACTTGTGCTTTACCACAGAATACTCTGTTACCCTGTTGTATACCCTGTTAAACACATTTTCCTGTTCTGCTTCGTTGCAGCAACAGCTTACGAGTCGCCTCAGGCTGTTGCACTTTGAAGATTGACAGACTTACCGTAACTTTCTGGGAAAGTGCCCCCTCCCCCCTCGGCAACTCAAAACTAGTGGCGAAGTGGAGGGGGGCGCTTTCCCTCAACAGCACCCAAATTCAACGTGGTGACGACAAACTATAACAAAAACATTTCACAGAAGCCATGGCTTTGTTCGTAGCATAACACATTACAACGAGAAAGGCAATGTGATCAGACCGCGAGCACATACCAATACGTCGCTCAGCAACAACGCTCAGCAACAAACACAGATCTGAAAGGTTTTACTTTTGTTAATTAGTGCGCCACAAACACCGTCATCATTGCAAACACAGATCTCAAAGTCCATGCTTTTGCTCACATAAACTGTGCACTGAATCGTAACGAGTTTAGCATGCCCAGTTCTGGATGCAATCGTTATGGAGTTTAACAAACTTTAGACACAGGTGCCTCGAGATCAGCCCATGTGCTTCGACGAATTTCAGGCATAAGTTCTTCTAAAGAGTCTGGGGGGAGGGGGGGGTGCATGTTTTAGGAACAGCGCAGTAATTAGAAATGAGCTGTGGACTCAGTGGGGGCACTTGTTCGGCTGGTGGCTCTTGCTGGGGGATTTATGGTGTCGTTTATGCAAAAGTCAGTCACTCAACAGCAGGTGCTCCTGATTTTCTGTGGACCTCCTATGTCCCATCGAATTGCACTTGCCACAAGTTTCATAGTAGTAGCAACCAGCATTGGCCTGTCCAACTGTATTAGCTACGCACCTAAGATGATTGTATGAATGAATGGATGAATAACTATGACTGTATCTTGGGACAATCGTTCTCAGGGCAGACCCCAGTCGGCATACCTCACCGATGGCCTGGACGTTTTTCGGCAAGGTACGAAAACGCAGGCTCTTCTCATCGCTGCACCCGTGCTCCGTCGCCTTGGCCCTCTGCTGGTAAGGCTGTTGTCGGCAACTGTTGATGGGCTTGGCAGCCTTCGGAGTCCTTTTTTCTCACGCAGGAATCTAGTCACGTGACAGAAGTCTCGTTCCTCCCATTCCTGTTCCAAGTGTTTGAGGAGAGCCCTGACGGGAGACGGATCTCAACGCTACTCGAGCTGTTCTGGGCCCTGCTGGAAGTGAGTGCGGATGCAGTTTGTTTAAATGACGATAGTATACTTGAATGCAAAAATTTTGGTCTGTCTGTCTGTTACAAGATTAAGGCAGCTGGCCAAAGCGCTTGCTAAACACCCAGCCACCTTGAACTGGTGGCTGCGTTCATACTTGTGAACATTATCATTCAAATAGCAAACATTACGCATGCCTGAGATGCAACATCAATATGTAAGTATTTAGAAAATGCACAGATACATTATCATAAAGACCTTAGTCGCAATCCGCCTGCGAAAAATTCGAAATAGCGTGCGGCTTGCTGAAGCCACAACGTTCCTTTGCGGGAAGCGAGCGTGCTGCGAATGTGTGTTAGTGTTTGTGCCATTCAAAAACTCGTATGGTGCCTATATGCAAATGCTTTGCCCGGAACACCCACTAACTTTGTGATACACTATTCGAAAACTTCCTATAAAAGGCTGTTATGGCTAATGAAATTATGTAAGCTGCATTATGATGGAAATTGCTGAGGCTATGCAACAGTAACAGCACGATTCAAAACCAATGTTTTTCGAAAAAAAAAAATTTTTTTGGACAATGTTTTGTCCCTAAAAACAGTTTCCCTGCTCACGTGCTTACAGCTCCACACAAACTATGATCGAGCACTATTACCTCGGAGTGCATTCACTGAATCTGCAAACTGACAGCTTGCAGGCTGCTCACTTGAGTGTTGTGCACGTACCAAGGGGCATGCGCTCATGAGCAAAGCTCTACGCGCTCTTGAGGAAAACTTTCATAAAAGGCCGTGGCTGTACAGGAAGGATGGAAAGAAATGCAGCTAGCATGGTGAGCTGTCTCGACGATATGCCCTCGGTCGCCATAAATGATGCTAGATTGGTTTTGATTGCATCGTGGGCGACTACAGTGGTTTTTTATCACCATCTAGGATACAACCACTCGAAAAAAAAGGACATCAGCAGAAAATGTAGATGCTGCATGTCCGCTTTTCTTTCCGTCACCACTGTACATGCTGCAGATATCTGTTTTACATACACAAAAGGTAAAGCACGCTGTCATATTTTGTGCAGGGCCTGAATTACATGCCGTGTCTAAATTCAGGGCCAGTTTGGAATCGGACTGTTCATGTGTGATTGGTTGCGTGGTTTGGTTTCTTTCAACGCAGCCTCAAGAGATCAAGAAATGCCTGGAAAATGTGGCCGTTGCATTGCTGACCGGATTTCGTTTCTCTCCGTGCACTCCCGACTTCCTGCACCAGAAGCGCCACCTGTGCCTCATGCTTAGCGTCTTGCAGCACGACTCGTCGCGCCGCTATCTTCTCGAGAGTATTTTATATCCTTTATGGCTTTGTGTCACCTCGTTCGACTTTTTTTTTCAATGCTTGAATTTAAGGATGAGATGAAATGACTTCGATCAGACCTATGCCTTGACTGTGCGCAGAGAAACACTTCTCAGTAGTTTCTATAGAGATGCTTTGTTACATACGAGGTCACTTGACTGGAAAAATTGTGCTTCATAATGCATCGTAATGCTCGATACATTGTCGGTATATAAGGAATCTTTTTTTGCGTGGGGCTTTTTGCTGAAAGACATTCAACTGTATATAGCTTGTAATAAATTTTTGGGGCAAATATTGCTTGTGTTAGTGGGGCTCCTGAAATGCCTCAGTTAGACATCAGCAACAAACGAATGGAAATAAACTTTATTAAGAGGCCCTCGAGGCTTTAAAGACCGTGGGAATTGAGTCTAGCCCGCGGGCTTTGTCGCCTATTTCTGCCAATCTCATGTCCCGACATGACTCCCTTCTTCCACTGTGTGCCGCGCTGGGGGGAGTGAGGAGTGATGTTTAACCCCGCTCACCTAGTAGAGGATGTCGACTGTGGCATCGTGCGCAAAGTTTCTTTGAACGATTCGCGTGCACGCGTCGGGAATGAGTCATATCTTTCCGTGACAGCTAAGGATGAGCACGCATTTCTTTTCCGTTCGTCGACTCTTATTGTTTGGGGCTCGTCGGACTTCGCCAACGGTGCCTCACGCCCACGGCGAATGCTCACCTTTTGTTGCCCCTTTGCGAACGCTAGGCCGAAGAGCGGTGCGGTGTCCTAGTGCGTGGCCAGGCTATGCCGACCTGTATCTCTCCGAAGCCAACGTGAGCGTCGTTGCTCTCGCTCGAGGAACTGGCACCTTTGTCCCGGTGTCACCGTGAATAGCTTTTGCCCATGGAGACGTGCTCGCGGCACCTTTGTGCAGTACTTCTTGTCCGTGGCATGAATAAGCCCAATTGCTTTCCCGCCGTGCCTTTGCAACGTTCTCTGTACTGCATTTGGTGTTGCCGCAGACAATAAAGTGTTGTGACCTTGAGCAGTACTGTGTTCTCACCACGGTGAGGGTCAACGCGTGCCCTATGGCTTGCTAAGACCGGAGCCACACTAGTAACCGTACTCTTTCGGGATACGTGTACACTACAAGAACCAATCTTAGGTATCCCATGACAGTACACGAAGGTGTTTTCTTGATTCACTTGCTTCAGCTACAAATCTAACAGAAAACTTGCCAGTGAGAAATGTCTCTAGCTAAGAGTATCTGCTCGACTAGTGTCCTCTCAATAACTGGGGATATAGAACTTGCTATGTCCAGACTGAAGGGCTAACAGGTAGAATGGGGCCAGCACAAAGTGGTCTGAACCAGGCTGGACTGGTTATGAGCCAGATTGAGAAACCTGTACTGTAACCTCGGTGCCATAAAACGTGGGCTGTGTGCTTCGGCAGGATTTTGTCATGGGGTGATACAAAGCTGTGTAGCATTGCAATGAGGTGGGGGAAGGGGGGGGGCAGTGCTGGTCTAAATTGTGTAGGGGGCAATCATCGGTGTGGCTTTGGGGTGGGGGGGTGAAGCAGATATCCATTTTGCCTCCCTGCCGAGGCTTGTAGAGTGAGTTCATGCAGGCCAACGTTCGGCGCTTTCCAAGAGCAGAAAATACTTCGCGAGTTGCTGTATTATAGAGGTTTGTGACCAATTCGCAGCCGCATTGCATGCACAAGTGTCGACCTCTGTTCCTTGGCCTGCAATCGCCGCATCCTTGACAGCAGGCTTGCACATTCAACAAGATCAAGTTTGCCATGTTCATGGAGGTCAAACCTCCAGACAATGAGACCCTGGCCACGCTTGTACCTGATGTCTGGTTTGAGCTCATGGAGGAGGTGAGGTCACAACTCTGCGTCTTTTCGAAGAAGTCTAACCAGTGCAGAGCCTTGTTTATGCCGTCCGTGTCAATGTGTTAGTGCCTTTCCTGCGTGCCTGCGTGTTGTCTTTCTTAGTGGTGAAATGTGATGTAGTCATGGAACTCTAAATAGATTTTCTGAAGTTCAATCAGTGGTGTTTCTTATGAGATGCTTGTGTAAGGCTCGTTTTCATGGCACGTGGGTGTGGGTCAAGAGAACAACTTCGTGTGCCAGCTTGCCTTGGTGCCCTTGATTTTGATGGTCTTCAATTAAATTGGGCTAATCACAATCAACACGAGAAAGACTACATTGTGTTGTTTATGTAACCAAGAGCTTGACCTAAAGTGTTTTGGTGTTTAGCAAGGAAAAATTTACCAGTATGATTCATACAGTTGTGTTGGCACTTATTTCTGTCTTGCAGGGCTGCCCTTGCTGTAAACACATTGAACTTGCCATGTTTATGCTCGCGACTCGTCTTACAGGCACATCCTACCGAGGAAACTTACAGAAAGAATTTGTACACAGCTGCCAAGCAGAGGCTGAAGGTTATGACCACAGGTGGGATCGTTTTGCCCGTTTCTGCTGTAATTGAAGTCTACGAAAGCAATTTTCTTAAAGAACCACTCATGAAGGCAGACCCATATCCATGGATTGTTGTCTTAATTTTCATTAAACTATTAGGTTGTATTTTAGAATCATTAATAACGTCTTCCTTAACTTACAATGATTAGCCATTCCTAGAAGCTCTAGTTTTCTATATTTTCTTATCAGTATATAAAAGAAAGACAAGTCAGTTGGTAGACAAAACCTAGTTTATTTCTTCTTGAGTGCATACTGCTCTGGACTCGTTTCACTTGTAATTCTAATGCATTATAATTAACCTTGTAGTTGTACTTTCATATGAATACCTGTATCATACACAGTGCAGCAAAGTGTTTGCAGGCTTGACTTTTTTGTTTGTTTGTTCAGACATTGAGAACATCCAGCTGAGAATACTGGAGCAACTGACTGTGGAAAATGACGCACCACCGGTATGACATCATTTAGTGTATCACGCTCACGTCAGCTACTACATGCCATATACTTATATTCATTTGTGAAGTCATGTTGTGTATTGTGTTGTTGTACTAGCGTTTATGATGCCCAGTGCAGCATTTCGAGACCTACATTAGTATTAAATTGAAATCTGTAATTTTTTTCAGTCTTTGTATTGTTTAAAATGCCATTGTTTTGCATAGGGGAAACACATATTGCAATTCCCACAAATGTAAAAAAAACGCCATGGTTGACCATGTTTAAAGCAGGCTCGTTGAGCGGTAGTAGCAACTGCCACAAAAAGCATGCTCCATTGGTGTCTTCCTGCACTGCTTGCTGCACGAGTCTTATCTGAGCCATATTTCCTAAATAGTTATTTCCTGCCAGCTGTTCATAGTGCAGTTTACAGGCATGGAAATCGCCTTTCGAATTAGGACGACTAAAAAAATGCAAGCTGTTCTTTTAAACATGTTAGATGTGTTTAAAAGATTATGATTGGGTTTCACATGTCGGTGTATTACCCGTCTTCCCCTAATTCTTTTTCTTCTTTAGGGTCAGACCAGCCGTGACCTGTTTCTCGCGAAATTGGAAGCCTTCGTAAAGGAAAATAGTCCGGGAAGCAGGGTACGTTTCTTCGCTTCCCAATGTTGTTTTGTTGCTTGTGAAACATTGCATTGCCAGCTCTGTTTCCTTGTTTTTTGTCGTGGACATTATTATAAAGAAATGAAGAAAGACGTATCAAGGCAAGGTTAATGCGCTTATGACCACCTTTGATAAATGAAGTCTTATTTGCTTTAGTTAAATGATTCCACAGCTAAATTATTTAAAGTGGAACTTTAATGCATACATTTATGTATGTCACGAAGCAATGTTGTGGGCTCATCCTACCATCATATATGAAGTTTACGTTCACGGCCAGGAGATCAACAATGGCAACCTGCCAAGCTTATGTAAGCTCGTGGGATAAAGTTATCAAAGCTTTCAAGTGTACGGACCAGGTAGCTAACACACCATCTCTAGCAAACTCAGTAATGACAACGCTTTTCCCGATGGGAAATTCTTAAGCGCAGTTGACAAGAAAGGGATCGCACGTATTGAGCCACACGCAGCTGACAGCAAGCGGCGCTAGTGCAAAGGCTTCCTGGGCAACCGCCCTCCTCTAAGCGCCTCCTCTCGGCGTGTGTGCGCTTTATACCGCGATGTTTTTCAAAGACGATAGTCTTTCTTGAGGGCCTTCCGCGCAAAAATTTTGGTCTGTCTGTACATTTGTCTGTTTGTCTACTCTTAACGGCATTGGGTACTTGAAACGATCGATCCCATCCGCAGCACCCACCAATGTTGCTCAAGATTTAGCGTTCATACTTGTGCAATTTTCCATTAAAAAGCAATTATTGAGCATGTCTGGGGCACCATAACAACACATAATATTCTGCATATGCATCTTTTACTAGAAAATAGCATACACAAGTAATTTTAAGGACCGTAGCGCTTATCCCGCTGCGCTGACCATGCAGCGCTTGCACGAAAAGGCGAGTGTTTCCAACACTGTGCTAAGAAGAGACGGTGGTGGCACCTACCCGTCACCTTGCGTTCTACACCTTATCACCTCTTGAGACGGGACACGCACACCCGTCTCGGAGCCATGCGCTTCGTTTTACAAGAAAAATACCAGATGGCGCTAATGTCTCACGTGTGACGTGACTTGATGCACTCGTTCGCCTCCTGCTGCACGCTCGAGGCACTCTAACGCAGCGCCTCCAGAATACTATTCACCGATTTTCTTGCGCAGAACATCAAAGCAAATGTTTAGTTCACTCTCTCCACACGCAAGACTATCGTCTTTTCGACGGCATTTGCAGATTAACATGCAGATACGAGGCCAATTTTTTTCTTTTCTTTTGCCTCCCTCTGCCCTTTCTCAGTTAATTAGTCCCTCTATTCATTTTGCCTCCCTCCACGTCCCCTCTTCCTCAGTAACGACCTCGTTCCTCGCTCCCCAAAGGCGCACCCAGTGCGCCTCCTTTCAGACGCTCATTCGCTACTTCGTTTGTCACGTTTTTCTGGCAACCGCATTATAACCAGTCTTTCATCTTGGGGGACTGCACAATAAGTGGTATGCTTATACAGCCGGACCCCTTTATAAGAGACATTGATGTAAGAGACAAATGGGTATAAAAGACACCAGCCTGCCTACAGTAAAATACGGGTTGATAGGAAAATGCATATGTGGTACCCTGCTTATAGGAGACATCTCATATAAAAGGCGAGAATTGCTGCCTGGTGCATGCCTCTTACAAAGGGGTTCAACTGTACATGGGACTCTGTGGGAGAATAAGCGGAAGTCGACAAAGATTGCATTGTAACCGGTTCTGCATTGCAAGTGCCGGTTACGTTATAGGTGGTCTGCACTGTATGTGATTGTTTGCCTGCCTTCTGTTCATTCCGTCTCGATTACACGGCAACTCTTTGCAGACCTTGACCCTCGACCTGTGTCCGAATGCGGTTGCCTTGGCGTTTTTCCACCGGCTCCTCGCCTTGGTTCGTCGGTGCCTCCCCGTATTTCACACCAGCACCGGTCAGCTGCTTCAAGAACATAGTAGGCTACCTCGTGTCTTCTGCAGTTCTTCCTTGAGTCTTTTGCCATTTGTTCAGTGTGGTAACGAACATTTCGTTTTACGAATGTTAAGTCAAATGATCTGGCTTTTTCAGCGCACACGAATCTTGTGAAACACCTTGCGTCATTCACATATAGGCACTTCATTTTTTCTCTTCTACATAGTAAATTCAGGTTTCTTTATTAAGGTCATTGTTACCAATGTAGTGGGGAATTCGCAAGGCAACGACTAGTGGGACCATCGCTGAGTGCGAAGCGCGAGCGGGAGCACACGCTGTAGACGCTGGACTGCCCGAGCATTTGTTTCCGTACCGGCTGTCTGCCTATTACCTGGCGTCGCTATTAAACCCCCTTACACCAAGTCTTTTGCTCATTATAATATTGCTTCACATCAAACCAAAATGCACTTTACCTCAATGAACTTTGCTGTCATTTTCTTTCAGTTTCATTTCATTAGTGCTAGAGTCTACTTTGTATCATGAATGTTATTCAATGCAATTACATGCAGGCCTTGGTTTCACTGTAATTGTGTGACACAGCATGTTGGGGTCTTGATATAGCCACTCTCAGAACAAATGGACGCAAGGGTAGTGAGAACTTGTACATTTCTTTAAAGCTCTTTACGTAACGGTGAACTCACCAGCTGAATCTCGTGAATAACTAGTAATCTGCCAAATAGAATGATAATCTAGTGCACCAACAACATGGCCTATACAATGAAGCAGGGATGCGGCATTGACCGCGTTCAGTTTTTCGATGGAGTCCTTGGGAACGTGCCGCAGTACTTCACCCACAAACCTCCCCAAAGGCAGTTCATTGCCATCCAAGCCAAATTGAAACAGAGAAAAAGTGCTCTTCCTCCTGTGCCCATGTAGCCTCGCTCCCGCCAGGCAGCGCACCTGGTGCCGCTGTGTGAACACAGCGCCATCTCTCGCTTGGCTACGCTTAAGCTGACTACGACTAATCCGCTAGGCATGCTAGACGCGCTATGAGCTGAAAAACATTTTACAGGGGGCAATAACGCCCCCAAAAAAATGCCGATGTAAACATTTTAAACAGGCTTTGTTGACGAGTCATTGCGACTCTGTTTAAAAACTTTGGTCCATGGAATACTGCTTAGAAAAAATTCCACCAATAATCAAGTTTCTCAATCGTGATGTAATTGTTGTGATAACAACTGAGCTTGCAGTCGTGTCGTTGTCACATTGTTGGTCAACTATAACGCAGCGTTGACAGCTAGTGCAGACTGCTCACTAGCAATTGAATAGGGTTGCGTTGTTCGATCTAATCTTCATTAACACAAACGGCTGTCCTCCTTCAGACTTGTACATTCCGCCATCCTTGTTTCTGACCACTATCGGAACGGGCCCCGAGGTGACCCACGTCGGCGACACACCGGACCAGAGGATCGTGGCAGTCAGAAATACCGACCTCGACGTCCAATCGGATGGCGAGGACAGCGCAGCAGAGTCCTGGTAGGCATCCTTGGCTCTGTTTTTTTTGTGTTCATTAGTTTAACGTTTTCACAAAGAGCTTCATTTATTTTTCGATGAGAACTTATAAGGTACATCTTACAGGTGTTTCTTTTGTGTAAGTACAAGAAGTGCATGGTAGTTTTTACACTAGTTGATTAATATGTTTCAGAGTTCCTTTCACATGCACGCCCCTACACAGATAACATGCACTTTTATATCCTACTGTCAACTGGAGAACCATGGCTGTTAAGCCAAAGATAATGTAGCTGAGGAAAGTGAATTGGCATTACTTGGTCTTACTAATGGTATTATAAGATAAAAGGGAAAAATAATGTAAAAAAAAAACTGCTTGCAGCTGGTGTGGTTAAAAGTGTATTGAGTAGATGGATTAACAATAGAAAGGTGATGTCATCGCTTGCCTACAGACACATGCTGCCAACTTGGTGAGCATTTCTTGTTGAGCTTTGCACGAGTGTATGCACAGCACTGCAGTTGCACTGCAGCTGCACTGCAGTTGCACTTTAGTCCCACTGTAGTCGCACCTGCCTGCTCGAAACTTGCATTTTTCAGCTGGCAGCCCGGCTCGCACGGGGACTGAGACTTCCAGCGACGGCCCAGGAAGCCAAGGAGGAAGACAAGAGCGTCAAGATTCTGCAACTTCTCGATGGAATCGTGCAATTGTACTCCCTGTGCGGTCACGCTCAGTTCGTCAAGGCAAGTGCTGTTGAAAGAATAGATTCTGAGACGATTTGCGTATAAAGTTGTTATGGCTCATTCGTCACTTTCATGTAAGTCTTAGATGTGCATGAAAATGAGTATCCCAGGCATTAATTGCAGGATTAACTGAACAATAATTGTACTGTTAAGTGAACTCGTAAGTTTGTTTGTATTGTCAGTGAGCAGACGATATGTTGCCGATCAGGGAGGGGAATACAGGATCAGGTAAACTGGCACCCATCAGATATGTTTCAGGCCTTTGGTTGCTCTTAACGAAAGGTATAAACTGTGCGAACTAATGACCATGTAAACCAGGGACAATGACAAGCACGGCTTTGCAACTTGTGTTGCAAGTCTGCGCTTCTCCTTGTGTCTCATCTATGTGACCGTTATATTGTGCAGTTTGTACCGTTTGTGAAGATGCACCAACTTGCCTAACAAGTTCTAGATAGTAACGTTAACCTGAAGTGGGTTATCCGTCATAATGATTAATTGGTTAGGTTGCTCTACTGCTGACCTGAAGGTGGCTGTATTGAGTCCCGGCCACAGTACCTGTATTTCGATGGAGGCAATATGCTAGACGTCCGTATGCTTAAAATTACGGAGAACGTTAAAGAACGCCAGGTGGTCAAAATGTCTGGAGCCATCCACTGTGGAGTCTCTCATAACCATAATGCAGTTGTGAGATATACCCACACAATTACTACCAGTATTTTTTTTAATAGGTGTGCTTTTAGCATTCTTGAGTTCTATTTACTTACAGCGAGAAGTTGCCGATTAGAGAGGAGGGCTGTGGGATTAGGCAAACAGGCACCCACTAGATGACATGTTCCAAGCCACTGGCAGTCTGCCGCGGTGATGTAGTGGTTAGTGTGTTCAACTTCTGACCTGAGGGTTGCGGGTGCGATCTCGGCCATGGCAGTCGCATTTTCATGGGAGTGAAATGGCAAAGGCCCATGTACTCTGTGATATCAGTGCACTTTAAAGAACACCGGGTTGTTGAAGTTTCCGGAGCCCTCCACTACGCGGTCACCTATAATTAGGTCAGAGTTTTAGGTTGTTGAACCTCACATATTGAAAAGCCGGCTACCATTATACCTGGTGCTCTGTGTTAGCCAGAATCTGCTGTTGTAGTGCTTCGATATCTGTGTACTTGAAGATGCCGTAGTAGTAGTTTTGGTTTGCTGTACCTCGTTGTTGTAGTATGCGATGTTTGGAAAAAAACTATCGTCACTTGAAAACCACTAAATGCAGATGCAGCTTCAAACCAAATGTGTTATCTATAAGTCTGCCATCAACTGCACGAGAATTATATCGGCATTATAGGTAGTGTTAACTCCACAGTCGTTAACCACACAACTGCTCACTGCTAAACCCTTTCAGATGCTACCTGAGAAGAACTGTTTGTCAATCTTTCAAATCGATAGAACGTTATTTCAAGGCACCTAATATGCTATTGCAACAAGAATAATGAGATAATTGTTGAATTTAGGAGTGTTATAGTGACTCATCCTAATTAATTTGTAATTAAATATCTCTTTACCCTGAAGTTTTTTCATGCTTACATTTGGCATAAACAGAATAAAATTTCAGGCTAGAAATATAGTGCAAACTCATTTTTGGTTATGTCCATTTCGATCAAAGAAAAACTGTGCTTTTCACATTGCTTGCAGGAAGCGGTACGTCGTACAAGTCGTCGAAGCCGGTAGTGCCTTCAAAAAAGTGTTTATAGCTGTCAGTACACAGCAACATGAAGTTAAATGAAAACAAATTTATTATGAAGGAGGTTCAATCTATCCAAGTACGATATATTTTGCTCTTTCTTAGCGTCTAGTCGATGCAAACAGCGAAAATGAGCGGTGTACACCATTGTGTACATGGCGTCTCCAAGGGTTATTAATGTAGCAGTAGCAATCGATGTTGTGCTGACCATTAACTGTGCCGCCATCATACCCGTCAGATGAACACCGTGAAGGACAATATGCGGGAGTACCTCAAGGCCGTGCTGGAGGTGAGGAGGAACACCGCATGGGGCGAAAAAGACGCTGTCGAGGCACTCTGCAAGGTGGAGCAAGTCTTTGGCGAAACGCTCACCGAGCAGGGTCGTCAGGTTGCCTGGCTGTCGGCTGTGGTTTTCTCCAAGGTGCGTGCTGCGTCTGCTACAACTTCTCTTTACTCTCGAGCGAAAAGTTTCATGGAAAACTGCCTGTTGGGTCGTTGTATCCGTGGTCATAGATTCATCGTGAACAAGGTTCTCGTGAGAGGGCATGAACTACGGCTTCATTGTTTGTAGGCTACTGTTTTATAGCTGCCTACCCACATTTCTATCGTAGCAGGCACTTTCATCGAATTGTCTGTTATGAAGTTGTCTCTTGGTGCCAAGCGTGCTGTATGTTATTGAATGTTATGGTCAGTTTGATTGCAGGAAATGCATATCTAGTCACGTCGCACAACGGACTTGAACGTGTACAACATTAGGTATACATGATAAGACAACAGTGGTGATATTTTTTGGAAGGCATCGTAATGGTTCTGTATTGAGTAGACTTGATGTGTGAATTTAGATGAGCATTAACAGTCAGCTGTTATCACCTCGGAGATGCTTAATTTTTTGGGCACGATATTAATCCCATAAAATGTCAGGTTCGTCGTAGATTATTTTCGGTGGTGCGTCTAGCGTTTCCGTCATCACTGCATCGGGACAGCATATGATGAGGTCTAATCACGAAAAACACAAGGCACTGAACGTCGATGTTGGTTGTTCCATTTTTTTCACTCGTTTCAGGAGAAGCAGAATGATATATACTGGCTGCTGAATGTGGTGTTGAAGACCTTGGAAGAAGCATCCTCCGCTGGCATGGAGTTTTGCTTCGTGCCAGAGTACCACGTCGAGGCGTGCATGAGGCTGTTGACGTCGCTGAGCGTCCACTTTCCGCCGACGTGCCTGCTCAGTGACATTCCTGGTAAGCAGGCTCCGTGAAGTCCCCACGATTGCTTGAATTTGTGGAAGTATGTAACTGGCTTTTTGGTGAAGTCGCTCTTTGATATAGGTTGAGTATTGTACCAAGTCATTCTGCGGGAACAAGGCGGGAGCACCGACTCTGCCACTGCGCAATGCATTCACTCGGGACAAACTGTGCAACTTAGACGTGGTAGTCTAACTCCCTCCTTTGCTATCTCTCTCTCTCCTCTTTGGGCTTTTGTTTACACTTCCTCATTCCCTTGCACTACTCACAACCTGTAGCGACATCTATTGAGGTGAATGGGAATCATTCAACAACCCGCTCTCGTGAGTGCATGCACTGACTGGCAGAGGATAGTGGCAACAGCAACAGGGCGCAGCAAGTGGGGAGCAGATGACAAAATGTGTAGGCAAGCAGTTGCAGAAACGTGATGTTAGGCGACCATGTGCCATTGCTGTAGCAACAACGAAAAGCCACAGCCTGTGGCTCTGCTCGAGGCACTCTGTCTCTCCTCCGTGGTTTTTCATCATTGGTTATGCCACCTGGCGAACATACTGTGATGCAGGAACCGGTGTTGCAGAATGTGTCCCATCCAGGCGGGTAGAGTCTGCGCTCCTGTCTTGTTTACTTTGTGCTACCATTTCAAGAACCATCTTTGTTTGGTGCAAAGAAACACAAGGACTAATGTTGGTGGCGCAATGCTGTAAAAGTCACATTGTTTTCACTCAATCTTGGTCCACTGATTGGTTGATTCCCTCAAACAGGTCATTACCATGTCCTTGTGAGGTACAGCACGTTCCTTGCCGAGCACTTTGCCGATCGCCGTGTTGTCAACCCAGGTGAGTGAAGCGATTTTCGCCAAATTGAGTTCTTTTCTTGAAGCTGAAATAAACGGGACGCAAACAGTTGAACTACTCCGTGCACACGCAGATGTGAAAGATGCCCTGTTACGAGCCTTGGCTGCACATGTCTGTCCGCCAACCACCGTCAGGGCATTGGAGTGCATGCCAACAAAGAGGTAAGCCTCACATTGTTGCTGGGAGCAGTTTGTAGGTAATGGTGTCGAAATGTGCAGGGAGGAGTAAATTTCTCGGTTCAACATGCTCGAAGGTTTGAACTACTTTTTCGAGTATTATAATTGAATGACCTCAGTATCTGAGTTTATTGCCGCAAACATTTCTTGCTTGAATTCATCGAGAATGAGCGGAGCTACGGAGTTTTGTTGCACAGCTTAAGCGCTTCCTCTCTCCTCTCATCCTGAAGAGCGCCGTGGAAGTTGCCCAAGGAAGGCTGGCACGGGGTGAAATGCTAGCAGTTTACCACATGTCACGACCTTGAGCACAAGAAGAAATGCGTTTGCTCTCCCACTGTCATTTGTGTGCACGAGCGTCGCTGGCCATGTAATGTTGGCAGACTGTGGTGCGCGGAAGTGGCACCTGGTGGTGCGCCAGTAAAGAAGTGTATCTGATCCAAATGCCACTCCAGATTTGTGTCAGCATTCTGCTGTTTGTCGTCTGGCATCAAACAGCAGGCACCCTACCCACCAAAAAGTGTGAGGACTGGCCTCTGTAAGGAGGGGGTGACCTTGAGAAAATGTTATCAAACTCTGTTTCCAAACTCCACTTGCCCTGCATGACTGCAAGATTTGGCTTAGATATTGATAATAGAGTGCATTTCGTGGGTTGAATTTTCTCACCTAGTCTGAAAAGTGGTTCATGACCCATTCAACAGCCCCAGATGTAAAAGAGGAAGTTTTGTGCCATCTTGCTAGGAAGCGCAGCCACTATTACACAGAACACACAACACAAGCTCTTAACTTCAACTAAACATTTATTGCAAACGTCAGAGTTTATAAAGGAGGTGAAAAGAGAGAAAGAATAATAAAAAATAGGCAACAAAAAGCACACGTGCCAGTCCCGTACGTTACTATCCGTTATTGTCTATCACCCCATCCAAAAACATGGTTCTTTCCGCGTGAGCGAGATAGAGGGTGCACTAACACACTCAAAATCATCGCGTGTCATTTTCGCCGCTTCTACTATCAAACGGGTTAATAAATCTTTATCCCGATATAACACGCACGTGTTATCGAAATAAGGCACACAACCGCACACCTTACAGTGGAACGCCAAGTGACCATCGGTACCCTTCTGCACTTTATTGTGGTGCTCTTTTAGCCTCTCATTAATGCATGTTTCAGTTGTTCCCACATAAACAAGACCACATGACAAGGGCACTCTGTAAACAACTGACTGTGCACACTCAACTTATTTATTGCGATGCTTAATTTGGCATCCTTTCTTTTCTTTTGAAACTGGACAAGTTTTGTGACATATTCTGGACAGTTTTTCAGGAGCAGACATGACCACTCGGACGCCCACCTTATTACCAATATTTTTAAAATTATGTGCCACGCTATGCATATAGGGGACAACAGCCGTTTTACGCTGCTGCAGGGAAGTGTTAATGCGCTGCCTATGTTGTTTCTTTAGGTCCCTATGTAGCGATTCAGCGACGCTTATAACCATTCGTTGCAGGTAACCTGCTGCCTTCAGTCGCAAAACCTGTTGCTCAAAGCTCTTCTTTACGAGGTGAAAACAAGACTTCTTTAACGAATTAAAAAGGCACATTCGTACAACAGACCTCTTCACTACTTTGGTATGGGCAGAAGAGAAAGGCAACAATAACTTTTTGCTCCTGGGCTCATAAAGCCAACAAACGTGGTCATTCTGAAATTGCAACAAAAGATCTAGGAACCTGAGCGTATCACCATACGGCACTTCATGTGTTAGTTTCAGGGGCTGACAAACTGTCTCAAGTACTCCAAGTGTCAAAACAGCAACACTTCGAAACTCTTTGGCATCACACTTAAAAAACCAAATAATCATCCACAAACCTGAAGATCTTTAAAACATTAGTTCCCGACAACCTCTCATCAATTATTCGATCTAAGTGGGTCATAAAAATATCACTAAGGACGAGTGCAATAGCCGAACCAATACAAATACCCTGTTTTAGGATATAGCTGTTCCCATTCCAATTAACGAATGTGGTTGTTAAGTACAAAGCCAGTAAATCCAGAAAACCTCTCACTGACATACCACAAGTGTTCTGAAAGGTCACTGCACCATGCTCAAGTATGCACTGTTCCACAAATTCTAGAAGCATTTCATGAGGTAAAGAATAGTACAAATCTTTCACATCTATGGACAACGCCTTAACGACAGTATTGGCATTCGATACCAAAAAATTCGCAATCTGCTCAGGATTCTTGGTGTGAAACGGGTCAATAAATTGAAGGAGAGTCAGCTTTTCCTGTAGAACAAATGCCACATTTTTTTGCCAAGAACCTTGTTCTGAAATAATTACCCGCAACGGCATTCCATCTTTGTGCGTCTTGCAACTAAAAAACATGTCTAAGCCCAGTTTATTTGTTTTTATGATCTGTTTAGCCAAATCTTGCAATAGAAGGCTGTTGCACAAGTTTTTTACAGCTGTTCGAATAGATCTGAGTGACACCTTTGGCTTAATATCAAATACCGACTCAATCGCCACTTACACTTTTTGAAAAAAAGAACCATTCGGGAAAACACAGAACCCACCTTCTTTGTCAGAAGGAATGACAAAGTCCCGATTCCTTGAGGTATGTGACCACTTTTATGAGCCCAGGAGCAAAAAGCCATTGTTGCCTTTCTCTTCTGCCCATACCAAAGTAGTGAAGAGGTCTGTTGTACGAATGTGCCTTTTCAATTCGTTGAAGAAGTCCTGTTTTCACCTCGTAAAGAAGAACATTGAGCAACAGGTTTTGCGACTGAAGGCAGCAGGTTACCTGCAACGAATGGTTATAAGCGTCGCTGAATCGGTACATAGGGAACTAAAGAAACAATATAGGCAGTGCATTAACACTTCCCTGCAGCAGCGTAAAACGGTTGTTGTCCCCTATATCCATAGTGTGGCACATAATCTTAAAAAGATAGGTGGGCGTCCGAGTGGTCATGTCTGCTTCTGAAAAACTGTCCAGAATATGTCACAAAACTTGTCCAGTTTCAAAAGAAAAGAAAGGATGCTAAATTAAGCATCACAATAAATAAGTTGAGTGTGCACAGTTGGTTGTTTACAGAGTGCCCTTGTCATGTGGTCTTGTTTATGTGGGAACAACTGAAAGATGCATTAATGAGAGGCTAAAAGAGCACCACAATAAAGTGCAGAAGGGTACCGATGGTCACTTGGCGTTCCACTGTAAGGAGTGCGGTTGTGTGCCTTATTTTGATAACACGTGCGTGTTATATCGGGATAGAGATTTATTAACCCGTTTGATAGTAGAAGCGGCGGAAATGACACGCGATGATTTTGAGTGTGTTAGTGCACCCTCTATATCGCTCACGCGGAAAGAACCATGTTTTTTGGATGGGGTGATAGACAATAACGGATAGTAATGTACGGGACTGGCACGGGTACTTTTTGTTGGCTACCTTTTATTATTCTTTTTCTCTTTTCACCCCCTCTATAAACTCTGACATTTGCAATAAACGTTTAGTTGAAGTTAAGCGCTTGTGTTGTGTGTTCTGTGTAATAGTGGCTGCGCTTCCTAGCAAGATGGATTCTTACCAACTGGCCCGATACAATTGTTTATTGAGTTTTGTGCCAGCTGCGTTTGGAGGCCTGTAGCACACTGCTGCAGTGAACCACAGATAACTTTTTTTTTCACCGTAACTGTGACAAATATATTTTTCAGGCCTCTCTTGATGCATACCTAGTTTAGTTTGGCTTCCTGTAATTTCCTCCCGCCTTCCAGCAATAGCTCCTCAAAATCGGGCGCTGAATTGCATGCTTTCGCCCCCTCTTTGCAGCTTTTTTTTTGCTTATCCAAGCCTCTCTGCAGCCTTAGAAGAACCGCTCACAGGAGCACTTTTGAATACAACAGTGACAAATATATTTTTCATGCCTCTCTTGATGCATACTAGTTAGTTCAGCTTCCAGTATTTACCTCCAGAGTAGTGGCGTTAGCTCCCAGTAAGTGGCCGCTGATCTGCATGCTTATACCTCATTTGTTGCAGCTCTCTGGCGCTTATCCAAGCCTTGCTACAGCCTTACAAGAACCGGCCGTGGGCCCAGACGAACTGGATACTCATGAGGCTGTGGAAGGTGAGACCTTTAATTTTTTTTTTCTCACGTGAAATACCATGCAGGAGTCTAAAAACAGTGGCAGAAGTAGACGCTGGCGGCTCCATGTTTTTTCCAAGCTTACATGATCGTTGCATACATTCATAAGTGTGTGCAGAGTTCTCTAGTAGGGGGGGGGGGAAGTTTCACGGCAGCTGACCCCTTCCCTCGTATTGGTCAAGTACTACGAAGAAAACATACTTTGCAATGAGTGGAGAAAAGAAAATGAGGAGATGACGTCCTTTTCACAGTGGCCAGGCCTTTGGTACCCGGCTTTCTTAGGGTGAAGGTGTGAAGTAAAACAGTTGTTAGAATACGCCATTAGTGTTCTCTGGCCGCCATTGCCGACAAAAACGTTCGAAGCCTTAATCCTGCACCCTAAGATGTGACGAGACAGTACCGGTTGAAGAGTAAAAGTGTGGTGTATACTTGACACCCCCTCCCCCTATTCGATGCTTTGAAAGCGGAAGGGGGGCTGCATCCCCTTCTTTCTGCGTATGCGCACACACCTATGCCTACATATACTGCTTCTACTCACAGAATCGTGCAGATCCGATCTGTTGATTTGTTTTTGATTCATAAACTCAATAGAAAGGGCAAGTATGTGTGAACTTTTTCTCTTGTTTGTCTCCCTTGCTGCTTAGGGCTGCGGATATGCCTTTCGTTACACCCTCTCGCCGCACCGAGCCGAGAGAATGGCTTCCAGGCCCGTGGAATCGACGGTACCCAGTCACCCCGGTGAGATGCTGATCGGCATGTTCAGTGATGATGGTAAACTGAAATGCAGAAATTTAGGGCTAAGGTAGTGCGTATGCTTGTGTTTCCAGAATCTGCAGTTTGTGTCATGGCTACGTAGTTTTCACATTGGAGATATACATCAGAGCCAACGTTTTTACCTTCTGTGGCCAGATTTTTCAGAGACATGGCAAGGCTGCCGAGAGTGTTTGCTTATAGTAGCAGTTGGTATGCTAAAGAAAGTTATGTAGTGTTTCAGTCAATGAGCTCTGTACGTGTGTGCTGTTGTCATGATTACTGTATGCACTTTTAACGGCTGCACTTTTTTTCGCCATCTTGATAACATGCGGCTCTTGCACAGTGGGCAGCCATTTCAGTCTTATTACCAAGCTGTGTGCAATACTTGTGATTACTTTGTCATGATTGCTGCATGCCAAAAGGGCCTTCTCCTCTCTTCTTAAACCTAGTCCTATTCCGTCAGGCTACAATGTACGAAAAAGTGAAAACTGCTGCTTTGTGATATGTTTACTATAATATACTTATGTTAAATATTGCACATAAGGGTAGTGCAGTTCTCCATGATATCCATGGCGTTGGGAGTGTCTGTGACATTAAAAAAGCTTTTCACTAGGCTTGTGTGAATAGTGAACTTTAGGATCAAATTTAATAGCAACTTGGTTCGAATAATTTCAAATTGAATTTGAATAGTATATTTATCACATATTATAAAGAACAATGAGCATATTTGTCATGAGCTAATTAACCTGCACAATATTTTTTTCATTGAGACAAGGCATGAACATAAGTCATTTTCATTGGTTCAAAGAAAGTATAAGCAACATTGAATAGTGACAGGGTTTGGCTTTTATAGTAGAATGCTAGTGATAACCTGTGAAAAAATGCTGCATTCTAAAGTTTATGATACCTGGAGCATATAAGTCAGTATAACCAGCATTTAAACTTAAAGAAGAAAAAGGTAGAATAAAGAAGAATGGATGCGAAGGTAATATGCTCGTCAACTTTGAAGTGGTACTTCTTCGCGACAGCGCCGATTTTTTTTTTTGTGTGTGTGTGTGTGTGAAGGTGTAAACGCAGTGTAGCATCTCACCACTGCAGTGAAACCACCTTTACAGTGGAGGGGCTACATGTGGACTAATGTACCCTTATTCGTTCACTTCGAATACGTTGTCATTCGTTTGAATATTTGAAGTGTTTTAATATTTGCACGAGCCTACTTTTCATCCTATTGTACAAAAACACCACCACATACATGCTTTGAGCCACATCCTCATACTGATCATTGACCTATTCTTCTGTAAGGTAGGGGTTGGCAAGTCACGGCAGTATCCTGAGAAATAGTTAGGCATGTCAACAAATAACAGGGCGAAAAAATGTACTCTTTCGTTATGTCATATTTTTCCCACATTCTGGCTCTGACAAAGTTGTGCTATGACCCTGCATTGTATTTGAGTGTGGCGATGTCGTATTCAAATCGGGAAGATGGGATTATCACGTTTTGTTCCTGACTGCAGCGCCCTGCCCAAGCGTGTTCTTCCAGAACCAGATTGGACGCTGGCTGGAGGACCACCCAGAGCCAGCCTCGGCTTTCCTGGGGAGCGTCCTGACGCAGCTCAACTGGTCCTTTTCCCAGTTTATTAGCATGCTTCAGGAGGTGAGCACACTGACCCGAGCACTGTAGTTGCGCTGGCTTGAGGAGTGTATTGCCACTGTTGTCACACGAGTACTTTTGATTGTGGTCAGGGCCGATTCGTGTCGGATTTTTCTATCGCAATCAACGCTGCTACGCGGTCAAAACAAATTGACTGCTGATGTACGGTCAGAACAGCATGAACAAAGGCACGCCGTCTTGTTCTCTCTCCCTCTCCCAGATCCAAAATGCTCAGAGCCGACCCGAGCGGGTGTTCATCAACTCTCAGCAGCTGAAGATCTGCGCCACCTGCTTTGACCTGTCGCTAGGCCTGCTCCGCGTCCTCGAGATGGTTGTGAACGTTGCACCGAGCCTCGTCACCAACCCTACGAGGCCCCACTCGGAGCTGTTGCTGGCCCGCACTTTTCAGGTGACTTGCCTGTGGTCAGGTAATCGGTGTAATCAGCTTTGTGACTGATCGGGCTCAGCTTACTTTCATGAACACATGGCTTGAGTAGAAGTTAAAATTCGTGGAGTATTGGCAGTGGGTTTAAGGAGAGGCCCCTGAACCCTCCTGGCAACTGTTGACGGTGAATGCACAAGCTCTTGCTGAAATTTTTTTTCTGTGTAACAATGAGTTTTTTACACCTGGTGTCACTGCAAATGTATGAACTTCAGTGAAATCTATTCAATCCGAGTTCTTTAAGCTCGTCGAAACATTTTCCTGTGGCCTGAAGTACACCGTTTAACCAACTCCTGCAAGGGCGGCCATGTTTTTTTTTGTTATATTTTAATTAGTAATAGTTTGTGGTCCATTGAACCAGCAGCTTACATTAGAGTGTTTGGTTTCAGCGCCTTTACTTTGAAAGTAAATTCAGGCTGAATCTCTCTCATTAATTGTGCCATCCTTGAAACTCTACGTCAGCATCGTCGCTTGAGCGAACCTTGCTTTTTACTGGAGTTGTCAAGTTATTCGTGAACAGATTCAGCATGCTGCTCCAAGGCGCTGACTGTGACCTTGTAAAAAACATTAGTGACGTGAAAAATGAGCGTGAAATTAATGTCAAAAAGGATGAAGGAGACCGCAGGACAGGTTTTGCTCCACATTAATTTTGTGTAGATTTTTTTTTGCCACATATTATCAACTTGTCCAACAGTGAGTCCTCCTTAGTGACACCGGTTCCATGACAGTGTGTCAGTGACTAACCATCATCGTCCATCACGTACCACACCACGTCCGTCATGTGTTGCCACATTTTGCATAGGTGCTGAGCCACATCCTGAACCGGGTGACGTCCCGGTGCGGCTGCTTTGACCTCGTGGTCGGCATGGACATGGCGGGTCTGGAGGGCATTGACCACTTTCCCATAGTCGCTGCCGTGACTGGAATCCTGGTCGCGCTTTTGCTCAAGGGATCCGTGGAGAGGCAGGCGCATATTTACTTTGACACTTGTGCAGTTTGTGCAACTTTATGCAATTTATGCTAATTGATGGCTGTTCAAAATCTGCAGTGTTCAGTGTTGTACAGTTTGTGCAGACACTGTAATAGTGAAAGTAAATTTCAAATCTGATTAAAACTATCCTTTGAAAGTGCATAAAGAAACCTGGTTTCAGGTAGTATGAATATAGAGGGGCCTTCATGCAAAACCAAGGCATTTGAAAGATTAGTGTCAGTGTTGAGAACAATCTGCTAAAATAAGCCATTTGTTTTTATACTTAAACTGAAAATCAAGCCACCTAGTACTGCTTGCTGAAAAGTGATGCATAGCAAGAGCATGCATCAAGTTTATTCGCTTAGGTGCTTTAACTAATGTGTTTTACCTGCAGTACCTACTTTTGACACAAAGGTGCAGATCAATGAGTTAGACTGTTCAGTTTGGTTTCAACTGAGTGATTCTTGGCATCTTTTGTTGATGGAAATGGAAAATAACCTTCCATTTGGCATTACAAATACACTCTTGTACCAAATTTCTGCATATTATTGAAAAGGTATCTTCAGGTCAGTAGTGACTTGTCACCCCAATTTATGAGCCTACACATGTATAGGCGTGTGTAATCTAATTCACCATCTACGTGTGCATTATTTTTGTTCTCTCTTTTTTCGTTTGTACGACTTTAATTGCATCTCGACTGTGTTTATTCTTATCCTTGTCTGGCCCAAGTCGGGTCTTAGTGGTGCTTGACATGAAGTTTTCAATTGAGTCGCTAAATGATGCTACGGATTAAAAATGGGTGACCTAGCTGGAATACTGCAATGGCATCACTGGTCACGCTGTTTTCTCGCCTTTTGCCTCGTACTTATTCGCATCTGGCCTTCCCAGCCGTGAAACGGCTCTGTCGGGCCTGCTAGCCGAACCGTGCTTCCAGCTGTCGTCCCTCGAGTTCCTGCTGGGTGGTGGACCAACATCGCTGGTGATGCAAGAGGGGCCGTCGGAAGAAGCTGACACTGCCGGCGATGCACCTGTTTTCTCGCTTGCAAACTGTAAGTAACAGTTCGGAAACCCGGCCATGTGCTCTGACGTTTGCAGCGTGAAAGTTGTTATATCTCGCTCCTGTGTTAGGTTCCATGTTTATAACCAGCGAAGTACATTGCCTAGTATCTTTCAGGGATGTGTTCATATGCAGTGTTTGTGAGCGGTAGTACTGTTTGTAGGCAGAAATTTTGTACAAGCACAGCTCAATGTGGTGCACGTGCTGTGACCGTACGTGGGCTGCTGCATAGAGACATCCCCGTGCCATTTTGCGTGACAGTGCTAGTATTGGTACGTTAGTACCGTACATACACGATTGTAAGTCAACATGAATGTAGGTAAACCTCCCAGAAATTGTACATTAAAAAATATCAGGAACATTTGAACACACTCCGTATTGCTAATTTATTTAATTAATTATCAAAAGTTCCAATTTATACGCACGGCTCTTATGATACTCTTGATCGTTGATGAAAGAGCCACACTTCTTGCCAACAGTGGCACTTTTGAAGCCAAGCAACAGCTTGGTAAAAATTGAAGGACAACAACAAAAAAACTTTTCTTTTTTTCAAACAAGGTTATGCATAACTATATGCTACATAGTAGGTTTGTGCGAATATTCAAGCACTTTGAATATTTTAATAAATATTAAGTTATTCGAATTCACTTCGATTTGAATTTAAATCATTATACATTTCAAAGTATTTGAAATGAACGAATAGGTATAAATGAGTCCGCATGTAACATCAAGGACAACTGACTGGATTTCAAAAGAGGGTAACGCATGAGAGGGAGAGAGAAATTTAGGCGGGCAATAGAAGTTTGTTGATATAACTTGACAGCAGAAAGCACAGGACCAATTGATTAGCAAAACGAGGGAGAGGCCTTTGCCCTGCAGTGGGTGTAGTCAAAATAACAATGATGATGAACTTTTTGTAAAGGTGGTTTCACTGCAGTGTATAAGTGCTACACAGTGAAAACACTAGTGTAGGAAACATTCACATTGCCACAATGTTCCGCTTCAAAGTTGAATGAACGTATTACACTCCATTTATTTATTTTTTTTTAGTTTAAAAGCTTGTTATACTGGCTTATATGATCTAGGTATAATAAACTTTAAACGTAACATATTTTACAGGTTGTCAGTTGCATCCTACCAAAAGTCAAATCCTGTTACTATTCAAAGTTGCTTCCACTTACTTTGATCCAAAAGGAATGACATTTGCATGTGCGTTGTTCCAATTACAATAAGTATTGTGCAGATTTGTGCAGTCATGACGGATATGCTCATACTTCCTTATAATACATAATATATACTATTCAAATGCAATTCGACATTATTCTAACCAAATCACTATTTGGTTCAAATTGGCTTTCATCCTGGAATTCACTATTCACACAAGCCTACTAAATGTAACCACACCATAGCATATCTTAATTTTTCATTTTTTCCCACAGTTATTGGTGGCACTAGGTACATTTTAGGTTGTGACTTGTAAGTTGACCCTTCCAACATTGGATTTCAGATTTCAGTAAAAAACGTTGACCTACAATTGTGTAAATATCGTGGTGGTAGTAGTAGTTGTGAGGGTAGAAATACACGTCGCTATAGTAGTTGTTGCTGTAGAATATAACAAAATATCGGTTATAACGAAGTAAATGAAGAATAGTTTTGCAATAGATATGGTGTTAGGAATATACCTTTATGACGAATTTTTTCGATGTAACGAACTTATTTTTATGTAATATGCAACCTTGTTACAAGTTTGAGTGTAGTAGTAGTAGTAGTAGTAGCAGCAGCAGCAGCAGCTGTGTACTGTCTTCAAGTGTTATTGCACTGAACTAAACCGCCCCGTATCTTACCAAGACTCTGAGGTGAAGGAGGAAGAGGTGGAGCAAGCGCGACAGCTGGTGCAGCTAGTGCAGAGTCGGCAGCCGCCTCCAGTCACCTTCGACGAGGACCACATATGCACCATCTGCTACGCGCAAGGAAACTCTGTGCGCTTCGTGCCCTGTGGCCACCAGTCCTGCCAGTGAGTAGCAGTCTTAGGTCGGCAAAAGAAAGTCGAACTCGCTCAGACTCATTCAAGAAATATATATATATTGTGCTTTGGACTCACTCAGACTCGGACTCACCAAAATATTACTCACCCAGACTCGCGGCTCGATCCAAGTTCGAGTGAGCCAACTCACGAGTGAGTTTGCCGACCTATGCCAGTAGCATTGTCATCTCATTTCTTTTAATGGCACGCATGAAAAAGGGACAGAAGCAAAATGCGTCTTGAAGTAGGTGCTCTGGTGAATGACAAAGCTGTACGTAGCATGACAGATGTGATTAAGTGTACCTATTTTCTAATCAAGCATGCTTGTTTGTAGCTAAGTACACCTATTTGAAAACTTTTGCTTTGGGGAATACAATTTTCAAGTGGTACATTTTTCTTTATTGCTCTTGCAAAAATTGTATTTTACAAGATTGCCTGTATTACACGGTGGGCAGTGCTAGCTAACGTTGGCCTTGATTGATATGTGGGGTTTAACGTCCCAAAACCACCATATGATTATGAGAGATGCCGTAGTGGAGGGCTCCAGGAAATTTTGATTACCTGGGGTTCTTTAACGTGCGCCCAAATCAACATCGGCCTTTGCTGGCATATGCGTGTACAGGGTTTGCCATCAGAGAGGATCCAAGTAGCCCAACAGGCATTGTCTGTGTTGTCTGTTTCACCGATCCCATTAGTCTGTTTTTTCCTTCTGTTTTGCCAAACAATGTGTCCCTGCGTCTCTCTTTCACATTGTGTGAGATTTGCTATGTCAATATCGACATTGGCAGCCCAACTCATGTGTAATATAGTTATATAATTGATGGAGTTTATGCCCAAAAACCACGATACGATCATAGGAGATTGTCGTAGTGAAGCGCTCAGGAAATTTTGACCACCTGGGGTTCTTTAACGTACACCTAAATCCTAAATACACTGGCCTCAAGCACTTTCGCCTCTATCAAAAACGCTGGCAGGGATTTTGATCTCGTGACCCTCCGAGCTGTAGCGTTGTTTCGCTTTTAGACCCTTCCCTCACCGTGTTAAGCGCTGTTTCTTTCATCGCAGTGTGTGCATCCTGACTCACCTCGCCAACAGCAAGGAGTGTTTCTTCTGCAAAGCCATCGTGGAGAAGCTCGACCCTTGCAGGACGCTACCTCCGCAGTGAAGCTGGCAGCCCCTCGGCTGACAGGTCACAGTCGTGGCTAGAGTTTGATGTGATGATAAAATGTACATGGGTATCTGTGAGATTTGCTCTTTGGGGAGGGGGAGTGCTGGTGTGGCTTGAGGGGAGGCTAGTGCCCATTTTGCACCCCCCTGTCAACGCCCACTGACATGTCGTGTTGTTTGCAACGTGGGCTGTACAGTAGGAAGAATACATTTATTGTGACGACTGTTGCATAATTTGAGACATGGAAGTGGATCGGTGTTCTAGTATGCTTACACAAGGCCATGTGTCATCCTTGCTTTGTACGCTGTCTCGTCGCAGCTGACGGGGTGTGAGAAATCTGTAGTGCAACAGATTTGTGGTGAAGCTCTGTGCGCTCCACTGTTAGTTGTTGTACGTAGTTAGTCGTGGATAGTTATTGTACAGTCTGCTAGTTCCTTGACTGCAACAGCGCAGGGCACATTCAAGTTCGAAGCCAGCTTCTGGACCGGTGACAAAGCCCGTTGTTTAGCCACTTTATAAAACAAAACAAGTCATTGCTGCATAGAACAAAAACGGAACGTGTGGTACCCACAAGGCATGCGCATGCCTCAAATAAACGTCACATTATTAACACTTTAATGACACGAGTGTCCCCAGGAAGGTTTCATACGTCATTTTGTAGCATTACATTCACAGGCATCGTTTGTCCCGAGATCAAAAATTAACTCACTAATGACAGTCTTAGATGAGTTCAGAGGTTGCACCACTGCAAGGGAGCTAATGAAAGCATGGCGGACATCTCGTATGACATTTCATACGTGGCATGTGGCCGAAGCAGAAGGCATGGACTGTTGACGATATCTGGCCATGCTTATCGGATATCATCAACATGATGCTCAACTAGCCAAAGAGATAAGTAATGGACGATGACTTCCGCTCAGAAATGTGATGCAAGAGCACACTATCTGGTGCCCTGTTGCGACCAGTGAAACTGTTCTATTCAGTCAGCCGAACTCTCATCGGGTTGTTTCGAAACTTTCCGTCTGCCAAGTTGTGATGAAACGAAATATCGATATTCCTTTCGCAACGCCACCATCGAAATCATATGTGCTGTTCAGCGCCTCTCGAGCTTGGCGGCTGTTTGCCACCCAGGGACGTCAACATGTAGGGTATGCTGCTGTGTGTTGGTTATGCGAAACAATGTGACAGGCGACATTATAGACATGGCGATTGCAGAGGCAAATGATGTTGAGGGCTCAAGTGGACAGGCAGCAGCATTCAAAGTTACTTTGCCCCTTTGATACAGCGTGTTAACAATTAACTAGTGGATGCAGAGCACTGTTTGGGCATTTTGTACGTTAGTGTGATGGCAGTAAAGAGATGTGTTTTAACGAATCCTTCCTTCATTGGAGTTTTGAGCCGCAGCGGGCTAAAGCACTGTGTTTGCATTCGTGAAGTCTCGAGTGGAAATCCCTTATATTTTTGAATGTCTCTGTCTTTAGAAATTACGCTACATTATGAAACATTTCCTTTTTTGTTTATAAAGCCCTAGTGCTGGCAGCAGCGGTGCTAGCATAAGCGGCTGATGTAAGCTAATTATAGATTAGTAAAATCTACTAGTTCGTCCTATTAACTCGGATTTTTTTTTCTTTGATTTCCTTGGCACACATGTCGCTATTCTGCTTCAATGAGTAAATGTAAATACCTTACTGGGCAATGTCAAACTATAGTGCATTTCTTTAGAGTGCACAAGATTAAGACGTGTTATGTTGAAAATACTCAGTGTTCCTCACTGTTTTAAGTTCGTATATTATATTTATGGTGCAATAATGCTAGTATATTTCACGATTTCGTGGTATTTTCCTGGTTACATTGTCACCAAAGCACAGTCTTCGTGATGATAACAGATATTTGTGCAATTTGTTTGACGTTTCATTGCTTTGATGCTCCGCAAAATGCAAAGACTTTGTCTGTTACGACTACAGTTTAAATAAAAAATAGGTGTTTAGACTAGTCAATTTTCATTTAGCTTAAATTCATAGCAGTGGTAGAGATACGCCATAGCACACTTATAAGGATGTTTGTCATATTTAGTGGACAAATTTTTGCTAATGTGTGAATACTTGAAATTGCTAATACAAATGGGATTATCACAGGCATTCAATTTCTCTTCAACCTTAGTAGCGAGTGATTTGCAATTACACAGTAATTATTTCTTATAGACTAATTGAAGTGATTCCACCGCAGCATAACTTCCAGTGATTCACAAAGCACACTTTACCTTTATGCAGCCTATGAGTATCTTATCTAGATTTATGCAAAGAAATTTATTAGTTAGCTTGGTTCACCACATTTTTATTACTTGAAGACAACATGTGGTGCCAATGCATTTCTGAATACGTTTAATGCATCGTATGTCTAACAAATGGGTTAGTTTTGTATTCTAAGTAACTTTCCTTTATCTGCCCAGATATGTCCTATGTTACAAAATGTTGCAGCTGGATGGATGTCTCCCAGGTTGGTTTCAAGTTAATTAGAGAAGGACAATTGATTATTTAATGGGTGATTAGCAGATCATAGCATCTGCAAATGCAAGTGATTGGTTGTGAAGACGTTGCTTGCTCACTGTTCTGTGCTTGAAGACTACTTTGTTGAAATACTTGGTGTGTCCACTCGTTTCATCGAAATGTGTATCTGTGTGCCAGTGCCTCCGCATTCTCCACGATTACTTGAATGAAGAATGTTCTTGAGATGGCTACTACATAACCCGTAAAGGGTTGTACGGTACGGTGCATAGTCAAAGGGAATGCACGAGTGCACAACGTGTGTAAATATATTTGCTTCTGGATCACGTGCAGTTGTTCGGCGTTCTAGCGCACCAGTCAAGGTTAGCGGCGCACGTGCCCTTTTCCGTGCAATGAAATAACTTTCAGCCTTTGCTCTCTGCACAGAACAACAGCTAATTGTGGTATAAATATTGCAGTGATTTCCTAAAAGGGCGCTAGATAGAGAGAACAATTTATCTTATATTAGTTGATTACCTTCCCACAAAACGAAGTACGCTCTTGCAATGAGAAGACGCTTTTAATTTAAGTCAAAAGAATTTACCCGGTGGAACTTATGTGCGTGGCCCCTTGATAGTGTCAGATTGTTACTCAATCTTTATCTATTGACTTTAAGCACCAAGCCGTTAAGTTCGAGTCCTGGCATTTCGAAGAGACCGAAATGCAAAAATGCTCATGTACTGTAGTACTCGTGGTTCACAATGAAACAATCTAGGACTAAGAAATGCACGCTCTTTCATTTCCGCCATCTTCAATTCCTGTTATATCAGTTCAGTTTTGACTGACTTACATCAGAGCCAATGTTGCCTTTTGTGGCCGGATTGGCAGAGTGACTACTCATGCCAGCCATACGATATCGCATTTCGGCCGTAAGCACTGTGTTTCTACTGCTAAAAATGTCAAAGTGGACCAACAAAGTCACCCTTGCTGCAGTGAGAAACTAAATAAGTCACAAAAAGCACAGAATGTCTACAAACCAGCCCGCCACATCCAGTAGACTCTCATTAAACAGAACCTGAAGGGACCAGGAAAATAGGCTCCGTTTAACAGGAGCGCCGTTTACCGAGAGACGAACTGGGTGCACATAAGTTAAGCACGAAACCAAGCTCGCCAGAAGAACTTGCTCCATTTAAGCAGCAGTTCCGTTTAAACAGATTTCGTTTACCGAGAGTCTACTGTAGTTGTGTAGAATGACTACGTTTAGTCAGGCCTCATTTGTTGGCCACGGTAAACTACATAGGTGTTCCAGAAGCATTCATTGAATGCCTGGGCTGATTTACTCTGTTTATTTGTAGTGTTCTTTTGAACTCGATGCAACCGAACAATACTGCAGGACAGATCGCAGCTGAAGTATTTTCTTCGCGTGTCCCTGTAAACACGAGCATCGTATGCAAAGTCACTCGGCAATTTTTTTTTCTACTGGCGCATGCTAATTACTTCTGTGGGAGTTGTGTACACTTGGCAGGAATCACTGCCCTTGTGCATCGTTTTGCGTTGATATTTGTTGTTGATTTCAGATATTTGTATGAAACTGCAATAAAAGTGTTCCAGATTAATCTTTTTGTATTTGGCTTTCTTTTTTGTGCACCTTAACCTTAATTTCAACTTTGATATCCGAATGCGCAACTTGACATAGCAGTTGCACGATTAGAATTCTTCACTCGCATCCATGCATTCGCTCTTAATAAACGTATAGTGTAAGAAAGGTAAGTTTATGTTAAAACATTCATTGTAGTCTTTCCTGCATTCTATTGAGATCTCAAGCAGACTCTGGATTAGTATTGCAAATTTTGAATGAGTTTGTTGCTGCTATGGAATGATAGTTAAAATGTTCAGCTGCTGGGTACTCGTCACAGGTTTGACTCCTGGTTGTCACTGCTCGGAGAGCAGGAGAGATTATTCCGCATTCCAGAGGTAATCACATTCTCACGCCCAACCAGAAATCATCTCACAGCCGTGAGTCAGTTTTTTCCACAATGCCGCTTCTGTAGAGAACCCGGGTTTGTCTTGCATACACCCCAAACCTCATAACAGTTTCATCTTACATGAACATAAGTATGTTATATCTGAAAATTAGTAATAAAGGTTTATTCGCAACAATATATCTATAGCAAGGCTATTTTTCATTTAGTTCGTTATATAAAGGTTCGAGTGTATAGCTGCAAAAAATTGACACTAAGACCTCTCCTTCAACTCTTGCCACAGTGATGAGCTTTACGAACAAGCCTTGGTGAGCATCAACTTCAACGATCTGCAATTGCCATTGTACGATTCATCATTGAATAAAAAAACCTTTCCCACATTTAATAGTGGGATCATTTCCAGAGGATGTTTGGTGCCAGGACTCCAACATATCGATACCAATTTTCGGTATGACTAAAATCTGGATGCAGATTCCGAATTATAGTTTTTGTTACACAGTTATGTTTCAATGCACAGTGACCACTTGGAGTGCCTCATGAAACAATGCTTTAGACCAGTCACGCCTTTGTAGCTCGTGAACAAATACTGAGAAAATAGAAAAAATGTAGTGTGAAGACAGCAATGCATGGGTCGTGTGTTTGAGACCTCAGCCATACAAGGCAATCTCCAAGTTTTCGAGCTATGTTGCCATAAACAAAGATGTTTATGCTCTCCCCGTCGATGAAATCTCTGGCTACATGGAAACGCACGAAACCAAGCGAGGAGTAAAGAGAAAACAAGGAGGCTACTTTTTATTCACACGTTAAGTTGACAATTTCTAGGCAAAATGGTCGATGCCTTAGAGTATGACTTCGAAGTCTTCGAGCTCCTCTTCCGGTGGCAGAACGATCCGGCTGGGATCAATCAAGTTCGGGTCGACTAGTGGCAGCCCCAGCTTCTCGCGTCTTTCCAACTCCAGGAGGGCTTCTCTCGCGACCCAGTCTACGTCCCTAGAACGTGTTGCAGGAAAATGAGTGAATCGAAAGGCCCGTGAACCGCTCCGAATCAAAAGCCGAGAAAGTGGTTTACTTTGCGCCCTTGCTACCCTTCCAATGAACACTATCTCCTTCTTGCCACTTATTTGTTCATAGAACACACGAACAATATCAGCACTGAGCCTATCACGATGCGGCACTTTTTGGTTACACACTGTTATGTCAGTTAGTCAAAAATACACAAAACGATGCAAAATCGGTTGATTGCGCACGATATTCGCTCGAGTAAAGGCAGAATGGGTGTGCAACTGCATGGTAAGGCAGAGCAGGAGTCTATCCACAACTGATATCTCCAATCTATAGACCAACCGAGTGCTTATTTTCTCACAATGTCATGTCATCCCAATGGCATCGCGAAATGTGCTGAAAAGACGGGAAATGCCAGCATACAATGATGTGCTTGTTCTTTGAATTTCCAAATGTTGTTTAGGGGCCCTCTAAAGACCACTTAGCAAAAGAATAAAAAATTTTGAAAGTTTTTGCTCTGTCGGGAAAATGGGGGCAAGCATGACATTTCAATTCATCGCATTGTGCAATGCTCCCTGCTGTTACCTTCCCCCATGCACACAATTGGCAATTATCAGCATGACACCTCAGTTGCTACAGGCAACTACGACTACCATGCACTCCGAGCCAAGCAACAATGAAAAGTGGCAACGGGAATTGACAAGTGACCTCGATAAGAAGATCAGATTGCCGTATCAGAAACTGCTAATTGTCGTCAAGCCGAGTATCGAGAAAGCAATTATTTAAGAACAGCGCATAGAAATAAGCATCCGACCAGCACACCTAGGGACCCACACTGATTTTCTTTTATGTCATAATTGCTACAATTATGACACACCTTCCTAGCTTCAGTGTCAGTTCCATTACGGTGTGCCTAACAAAGGGAACAAGCCTTTGATGCATTCCCCGTTCAAGGTTGATACAAACATCGTTTCACAGTTTGTTGAGAAATAACTGCAGTTTGCTGCATTTTTAAACACAAATGACCACCTCTTGATGGCGTGTAAATGCTACCTTAGACAGGTGCGAATCATTAAGGTAGTGGCAAACACGCAGGCTCTCTCGGTATTGGGTGAAAGTTGTGTGTTTTTGCGTGCTCCAACGAAACCTTTTTTGGATGCCCTTTGTCACTTACTTGAAGTCGGGTGTGTACATGAAGAGAACGATGCAGACACACGTGACCAGCGAGATGCCCGTGAACATGAGCGTATGGTGGGCATCGGAGTCTTCGTAGTAGTTCTCATCACTGTAGCCGAAGCTCATCCAGTACTGGAAAAAAGTGACAAGTGGATGCGCACTGAAAGCATTAGCCACATATCTTCGTGCTTCGGCAAAAGACAATAGTCTTTTGTTGGCCTTGTTTCATGTGAAATAGCGTTGCATTTTCAACGCAGCCTGATAATTCTAAAGACACTAGGGTCTTTAGAATTACATATATATGTATTTCCTAGTGAAGGAACACACCGCCTAATACTTACGTATTGATGTTGCGCCTCAGATATGTGTAACATTTGCTTTTCGATCGGCAATGTTTACCGCAGCCACCACTTCAAGATGGCTGGGCGTTGAGCAAGTGATTAAGCATTGGCCGAATGACTGAATCGTGTGACAGGCAGAAAGACAAACGAAAATTTCTGCGTTCAAGTATCCCACGAAAGCTTGTCTTTAAAAAAAGGCGGGGGGGGGGGGGGGGGAATGATAAACAAGGATTGCGAGTGGGATGTGACAAGCAGCAACATGCACATTTGATTCCCACACCCGCACGAAACTTGGGAAGACGTTAAACGTTCGAATTACAGCGCGAAGTGGTGTTCTAATGCCGCAACGGGTGGGGGCTCGCTTTCTTTGTTAGACGCATTATTAACAAGAATTAATGCACAATGATATTAGTTCTCATTAATATTGTGTTCAGATAAAGCAAACCCTTAAGTTTACCCTCGACCAAATGAATGCCACCTAGATTGGTCACAATTCGACGGGAAGGTATGCAAAGAAAACATATCTGCACGCAGGCACAAGTTTGAACACGACTACATGACGTTAGATGCTACAGTATGCTCCACCGGTTTAACCAGCGCTTATAAAGAACGTTAGAACATCATAGTGTGTAATAACCGTGTCTCGATCTCATGTTCTCAGAGTTTGGCACAGACCTGCGACGTGCAGTTGGATATACCACTATGGATATACCCATTTGCGAGATCCGCCACGATTAGCGTGAATGTGAAGTTGTACGAATCAGGACCCCACGAGCTAATGAACTGTCGTCGGCAGGCACAGTTTGCATAACGGGTCAAGCCGTAACACCACCTTCGATACTTTGAACCAAATTGCAAGTGGTAAGTTTCGGGGTTCCGAAAGGAACACTCGCACGTTTCGGCACAGGTTCAAGTATAGAGATGTCGGGCTCACGGCGAAACGTAACACAGCCGGTCGCGAAAAGCTTGCGACATGGTCGTAAATAACGGCGAATTTAGGAGCACGAGCGCGCGAGCACAGACCGGGCAGGCGACACGGATGACCTTACGTACCCGTGGTTTGGTGTCCGCAAAGTCGGCCGCTGTCACAGGCGGTCTGCCGACCGTGTCCGGCACTGTGGCCGCGGTGGTGGGGACTTCCTTGTTTTTCGGTGTAGTCGATATGAAAGCGCCCGCGGGCCGCGTCGCCTTGTAAAAATTCGCCAGCCGGGGCAGCAGGTTTCGCCTCAGCAAGAGCGCCATGTTTGTCGTGTTTAGAACCGCACTTGACTGCCAGATCACAAATTTCTTCTTATAAAACAATTTGCTTGCTGAAAAAAACTTTTAATGTTTAATTTACAAATTTTATGTTAACTTTAGTTTTAATATTGTTAAAAACATTCTAAGTTTGAGCAAGTGCGGATCTGCGTTGTTTTGTTTTTTGTGCAAAATGGCGGCGGCCTGCAGTGATCGTCTGCTATATTACTTTTAGTCTCCTGTCAAGACTTCGTTTCGGCGGAAATTGGCCGCCACTGGTCACAAATTCGGCCCGGTAAGAGCGCTTCGAGAGTCCCGGCTACTATCACGCAACTGTGTGTCGCTTCGTCTTTCTCCCTCGACTCTCCATCCTTTCCGACGCTCGTGACAGTTGCGCCTCTCGCAGAGAAAGCTGAGCGAGCATGAGTCATTCCTGTCATACCACTTTCGCCCGAAGTAGAAAAGCGCGCTCCCGCTAAAGGGTTTGTTCCAGAGACGCGCTGCGCCGACCGATTATTATGCAATTGCTTTTTTCTCGCACCTTGCTGGCGTAAGAAATCACTTCCGTTTGCGGTATACTACGACCAGTCGTGCGCGCGCTGTGCATACTGCGTCACGTCGCGAAACCACCGCTGTGACGACGATGTATAACGTTTTCCTTCCCTCGAAGAACTGCGTTTGCCCGCGTCTGCGTGACCCGAACGCATTATTCGCAATGTGGGGGCACGAACTTGCGATGAATGCCGCGAACGTTACGACAGCGTGGCGTGTGCACGGAAAATCCGGGCGCACGCGCGAAACCGTCGGACGTAGTGACCGCCGCTTGCATCGCGACGTTTGCCGTCGTACGCCGTTTCTGCATAACCGTGCTTAGAGGTGTTTTGTAAGCCACAAAAAAAAAACAATTTTCTGAGCGTTATCAAGGCTGTGTGCGGGCCAGGGGATCGAGTCGGATGGTTCTGTCTGTCGCGTACACTTGTTGCTCATGGGTGTTTGTTTATTATATCTCTCCATAGACTAGAACATGAAAACCTCTCGTAGTTCATATCTGTGTGTTTGTGTGTATTTTTATGTGTGTAGCGTGCTTCAGTCACGTATTACTCGTGCTTCATTACCTCCACTGTGACAACTTGGGATAAATCAGGAGTGTGGCAGCTTGGGCTAGTTGGTATGGCATGACGATAGTTATAGCGCGTTATAGTTATAGTGTCCTTCTTGTCTCTGTGTCGTCGTTTTGTTCTCGCGCTATAACTATCGTCATGCTAAATCAGGAGTTCGCCGAAAGCGCATTTTAGTAAAATCGTAGTCGTCCTTCATAAAAGCGCCGTTATTTTTTTCACGTGTATTGCGTGAGACGCGATATTCGTCTCTGACTTCAAGTTTTCAATTCTGTGCGCAATCTATTGGCCATGAAATGAATGAGTCGTATTTGATATGTAGTTGTGTTACACTTATTCAAAAGCTGTGCTGTGCACATCAGGGCACGTAGAATTGCTCGTGGTCAATACGGAAGTTTTCATTTGTTTAGTATTTACTACAACAGAAGACCTCAGAGGCCCAGGAAGGCACTGCGTAAGGCAGTGTGTACGAAAAGATTGCTACAGAAAGAACCTACGAATTACTCAGCACTCAAAACTGTGAATAGGTGGAAAAAAGGCGAGAGTGCTGACAAGCAAAATACATATAATAAACCAGTTTAACTCAGTTACAGGGAAGGCAATTGCAAGTAGTATTAGCAATCACATAATTGCGGTGACCAAGCTCTGCATTTGTGGGTGGGGGGGGGGGGGGGGGGAATGAGACATATCTGGTTTCTAGGCTAGTTAATGCTATATATATCCCACTAAGAAGGACACGTAGCACTATCAGAGACAATAAATATGAATTGGCAAATGTCACATTGCAAAACTGAATCCAGTGTTTAGAAATAACAATAATGAGCAATACATGACAGCTAGATGCAGCATTACACAGTGCCATTTGGAAAAAAATGCGCATCTCAGAAACATGAAACATTTTAATGTCTGGGCTACCAGCAAACACTGAATGTTAAAGAAGAGGTCATGTTGTGAGAAGTGGTCGCAATGTTACATAGTACGAGGGCATCGAAGAACCCTAATTATACATACTGGACGAAATCTACAGTGTATCCACAGCCACCCTAGTTCTCCGTAAAGGAAGCGACAGAATCCCCATAAAGAAGGGTGTAAGGCAGGGAGACACGATCTGTCCAATGCTATGCACCGCGTGTTTACACGAGGTTTTCAGCACCCTAGATTGGAAAGAGTTAGGGTTAGGAGTTAATGGAGAGTATCTTAGTAGCCTGCACTTCGCTGACGACATTGCCTTGATGAGTAACTCAGGGGACGAATTACAGCTTGCGATTACTGAACTGGACACGGAAAGCAGAAGAGTAGGTCTGAAAGTTAATATGCACAAAACTAAAGTAATGTGCAACAATCTCGGCAGAAAACAGCACTTTTTGATACGTGGAGAGGCGCTGAAAGTTGTGAAGGATTATGTCTACTTAGGATACGTGGTAACCGCGAAGCCGAACCATGAGAGTGAATTAACTAGAAGAATAAGGATGGGGTGGATCACTTTCGGCAGGCATTCTCAAATCATGAATGGTAATCTGTCACTAACCCTCAATAGGAAGACCTATAACAGCTGCATCTTGCCAGTACTTACCTACGGAGCAGAAACCTTGAGGCTTACAAAGAGGGTTCAGCTTAAACTGGGATGACGCAGCGAGCAATGGAAAGGAATATGATAGGTGTAACCTTAAGAGGTAAGAAGAGAGCTGAGTGGGTCAGGGAACAAACTAGGGTTAAGGATATCATAGTTTAAATCAAGAAGAAATAGACATGGGTAGGGCAACTGACTGGATTTTCAGAGAAGGCAAACGCACTAAGGGGAGACAGAAAGTTAGGTGGGGTTATGAGATTAAAACGTTCACAGGTATAACACGGCAACGGGAAGCACAAGACCAGGTTGATTGGCAGTGGTCGTTGTCAGGCTGATGATGTATATGAACTTCATTTGGCAGTGTACCGATGCATATGATCACTTTTCTTGAGGCACTATCACGTTTGACAAGTCGTGCGGCGGGCCGCTTCCTGCAAGCAGTGTGAAAAGCAGAATTTTTCTTTGCTCAAGATTGACATAACTAAAAATGAATTTGCACTATATTCCTAGCATGAGATATGCTTCTGTTTGTGCCAAGAGAAATCAATGAATTCAGGATAAAGAGATATTTAATTGCAACTTAATTAGAGCAAGTTACTGCAATGCACATCAATTCAACAATTATCTGATTATTCTTGTTGCAATAGAATATTGAGTGCCTTGAAGTAACGTTGTAATGATTTGACACATTTACAGACAGTTCATAGGTGGCATCTGAAAGGAACATACTGTGAGGAACATACTGTGAGCATAATAAACTTCAACTCTGATAGCACTGAAACATGTATCAAATGATTTGTGACATTTTCATCTTGTTGAAGTTTGACAGCATTCAAATCAGGAGAAGTGTGCCGGCTAACGTAATCTCCACCGATCCCCGTCTTGGCTTTGGTGCTGCACTACTGATCGCATGGTTAGGGGTTTGATTCCCTGCCCCTGTGGCCATGCTTCAGCGGGTTCCAGATGCGAAAATGCTTTCGTGCTTAGATAAAGGTGCATGCGTAGAAACCACATGCTTCCCAATCGTACCTCTGTTTTGGTGCACTAACCAGTATATGTAAATGTCTGATGATACTAGTGTGTGTGCTAGTGTTATCTGGGGATCCACAAAGCCAAAAGCTTGTTGATGAGCTAGAGCAGACCCAGTGAATGACAGCCACGTTTATTTGTCCATGCTACCAGAGGATGCAAATATTGACCTTGTTACTTCACAGTTAACAGGAATTTTGAAAACAAAAAAAAAGTAATAAAAAATGTGCATTCACAAGACGAGAGAATAGGGTGGGTGCTATTGCCCTTTTCATCCTCTTTGTCTTGTGAATGTTTGTTTTTGCTCTCAAAATTTTTACGAACTATGCACCATCTTGCCGAATTTCAAATTTTGTTAAACATGTTACTTCACAGTGCTAACCCTCAGAAATTGTCTATGTGCGCAATAATGGCATGCTTGAAGTTTCTATACCAACTGTATAATAAAAAATTCCCCCACCTCCACAAAAGAAGCGTGAGGAAATCGGAATGCATTGCCTAGCGTTCATAATGGCGTTTCGCACGCGAGAACCCAGCATTAGAAGGATAATGTTTCTTTTTCTTACGTCAATAGCGCCGCACGTGGCATTTTTATGTCGTGAGAAACGCGCCGTGCGTTTCCAGCTCTAGTAGGTAGTGTGCACGGTTCAAAAAAAATACTATGAAGTGAACAAAACAAACAGCGTTTCCGGCTCGGCATTGGCGTCTTGAGCACACATTTCCAGGTGTTCTTGAGAGGTGCCCAGCCAGCGAACGGTCGAGAGTGAGGTGTGAATGGATAGGAAAGGGGGCACAGGGAGGAGAGAGAGAGTGAACGGCGAGAGAAAGAGCGGCAAAGCACTGCACCTACCCCCTCCTATACTCGCACCACATGCTCCGGTTGCTAGGGGCGAGGATAAGCACACGAGCCGCAGCTGTTGCTGTGGAAGAGGGAGTGAGAGCGAGGAGACAAGACCTACCAACATGCAGACAACGCCGGATGCCTGACATAGGCCGACTAAGAAATGGATTCGCATTTAAAAGTAAATAAATACCCAACATTGTAAGTAAACATAGATCAAACATTGTATCCTCCAGCCCGAGTGTCACCACATATAAACCATCCACACTCTATTATTTTCTATGCCACACGAATCGATGTATTCAAGTTTTATTTTTTGCCTTGTACAATCTCGATTTGGAACAAGCTCACTTGCAGTGAATTTGCTAACTGCGAGTCGGCTGTCATTTGGAATTGATTTATACAGCTGTGACCACGTCTGTAGGGCATGCGAGCAGGCAGTTCTTGCTCTGCGGACGACACCTTGAGACAGTTTTGTGCTCTGATGTGGTGTATCAGGAGCATTCCCGGCCTAGCAGTCAGTCATGCTAATCACGTCTAAGCCTGAAACTGCCTTGAGGTGTTGCCCAGCAGAGCGAAAACGGGCTATTGCCACGCTCTATACAAATGTGGCCCCGGCTGTATATAGGGTTGTGTACTGTGCTTTCCCACGTCCGTAACTGCCAGCGAGTGCTTGCAGTATTGTAAATAAAATGAAAATAAGCTAACTTTTTCTTTTTTATTTTTTCAAAATTTAACTGCATTTCAGATGGAACAAACGGGAGGTCAGCATCCCTAGGAAGGTGACAAGCGAGCATAGCCATGCTGCTCTTAGCGAGCACAGCTGGCAATGGCACGGAGCCGCCGTTTGCCGGAGTGCCCTCAAACATCACCGGCGAAGAGGCGCCCGTGCTCGAAGCATCGGCGGGCTGGGACTCGACAAGCCTTGCCTACGTGTTTGTTCCACTTAGCCTCGTCATCTGCTTAGGCCTCGCCACAGCTCTGGTAAGATTATTAAAAATCAGTCAATTTTAACACTCCTCATAAACGTCATTCCTTGTACTGGAGCACTTATTCGGGCCATTTCGTACATGTCTGAGGAAGGGATAGGCAGAACAGCACTCAGTTTACAAAAAATGGACAATTATAAAGTGTGTATTGGGGCCAGTGTATACAGCCTTTGCATTGGTCAACTTTGCTCAACGTGTTTGTGAACTGTCATCATTGAATGCAACTCATCAATTTAGAGCTGAGTAATGTTCTAGTTTCATATCAGCTGGCTTCAATTTATGTCACACTGGCATAATATTGGTGAAAATTACATCAGTCGACAGCGCATTTAGTGGCTGGATTCATACTGACGCACGGCGTGGTTCTCTTGTAAATTTACCTTTTTCATGACGTAATGGCGCATGCGCCACTCCCCCTGTCAAAAAGCTAAGAAAAGCCTCTTGATTTTCGAGGATTTTGTTCTGCCAATGCCGGCTATCCCGACCCCTACCAAAATGGCAGAAAACAGCACAGCAAGTTGAAGAGGCGGGAAGGGTAGTGCGTACCAGTCGTCGCACACAAAGTTTTGATGCTGTTTTCTTTAATGAGCTGTGTACACTGAATGATTATGGCAAGTCAATTTTACGGCGACTCGCCAAGCAAAGTAAGGTTTGTGGAAAGAAAAAAAGTTATAAACTACTCATACGTAGTGAGAGGCTTATATTTCTGGTATTTGATGTCCAGGCAAATGATTAACGCTTTCAGCCCTGGATTTTTTTATTTTGGTCGGATACACTTTTTGTGCGCGTTTTTCTCGTAGTTAAGACCTCAGAAGACCACAAACAAAAAATTGAGCCACTGGTACAAGCATTTTGGGTGATTGGAAAATGAAAAAAATGGCTTCTTTTTTCCTGCCAATCGATGGTGTGCACAAAATGAAAACGAATGTCTTACTTTTTAGCTTAATGCTCACTGAAACAGCTTCGGTACGTCGTCCTGAAAATGGCGCTTACCCACCTCAACTTACGCGCCTCGGCTTCTCAGAAGACCTCGGTCGCGGTTCTTCTTTTTTGTGGCTGCTACCTCCACAAACGTGCCGCAATATTGGTGTCAATTGCAGCGGGGATCATTGAAGAACTATGCCCCCAAGAATGAGTAGTATTGGTTACGTTTCCAAGATACTAGGGTAAATGTTGTGCGGTGGTGTCAATTGACTCGGCCAAGGCCGAAAAGGTTACGATTGTAAATTAATTGACCCTTGTGCACCTACATGCTAGTTGCCCAGTTGACTGAGATCATAAAGCAACTGCCTTAGAAAGGCATTGATTGGTCCCAGGTACAAATTTTGAGCCAGAAAGAATTTTTATTAAGTAGGAAGCTTTCATTCTGAAAAAAACTGAATGTATTTTTTGGGTGGGCTTAGTGCTATGAAAATGTGGGTGACAATGTCTCCCATTCATACAATGGTTATGTTCCGATATTTTTTACTTATTGTCGCGTGGTTGTGACTACGAAGCACCAAGAATAGTTGCCCCTGCACGTAATGCAGTCTTGTGTTTCATTGCTTTAGGATAAGTTGCCACCCTTTAAAATGACGCTTTTTTTTTTTTAAGTTGTGAATTTTCATTTTTCATATTTTGAGAATCTACAGGCATTGAGGGTGGTGGTGCAGGAAAATTTGTGTCTCCGTCAGATTTTGTCCCAAATTTCTGGTCTTTTTCCTTACTACCCTCAAGCTGAAATAAAGTGTTTGTGAAACCTAATTCATTTTTTCAAAAACGAATTTTCCGGTGTTCTTTATTGTGAAAAAACTTGTAACTTTCGAATGAAATAATATTTCTAATGAAATTTTTTGCGCTCCTATCTGTCACACTAGCTGTGCAATAATCTGGCATACTAGAAAAGCTTAAGTAAGCCTAAATGTTTTGGCTGTATTCAAGTAAGACTTAATATGGCTGTATTTAAATACGGCCATATGAGAAGACACAACTTTTTCTAGTCTTTGGGGCTGTTAGATGCTTAATATTGATGATACCACAGAGATGTTTTTTCATTGAACAGTTTTTATATGCCTCTGCTGGTTTTGCTGTAATTTGTTAAAGTAACATGAACCAAACCAAACAGCTCATATCAACTCTTCGGCCCCTTCAGTTGCTACTGAGCTATTTTTATTTCTTGCGCTGGAATTAATTTCTATGGCTGGTGATGAGGTTGGCATGTTTTGGGGCAAAATTGACAGTTAAATCTTAATTAGGTTCAATTTGTCTATTACATGACCCATTTGAAGGGCGTTTTTTAAAAACCCTTCCGAGAGCAGACTAGAAACAGTCTACGTACGACTAAAATATAAAAATATATTTAGAAAGATAGTAGCATGCCTTACAGTTGGGAGAAATGAAAGTGGCAAAAGTGTTGTGCACAGCTGTTAAAAATATTTTAATGTTACGTCCCTCCATCCTCCTTTCTTTTTTACAGGTGGTGTTTCTCGTTAGAAAAAGCAGGTACGTTGGACATCCTCATTTCCTGCACAGCTTTAACGCTATATCTGCAGCATGTGGCTGTCACACGCATCACACAGCTTGCAGCACTGCTGTGCAGAATTGTTATATATATATATACGTAGTGTAATTTGCAATTTGTAGTTGGCCTATGCAACTCGGACTGTTTAAAGAGCAAAACTTATGCTATTTCGAGTCCACACACATGAAGCTTAGCTATGCCTCAGGCATAATAAGGAGAAATTATAAGACAGTTCTACATTGGAATATTATTCTTGCCAAATATTCCTGTTAACCCTCCAAAATATTGCAAAATTTTTACGAATTTGCAATCACTTTATGATTTTGTATACATTGCAATGTCTTTTACAAAAATGAAGTTTTACTCACAAAATTACGTTTGATGTTCTGAATGTTCTTTTGTGACTCCTGCGATGATGAACGGAAGGGAGATGCTTACTTTGAACAAACTTATGCGACGGCAGCAAGGTCACTGACAAAATAATTGCGATATACGACAGCACCAAGGTCACTAAAAAAATCACTGCGATATAAAAACGGGTTGTTGCTTTTAAGCCTGAACGGTGCAAGGTTTGTGCACTGCACCCACCGCCTGATTCACACAGCCTTCAAATGCACTGTGACGAGGCATTTGATGGCTATGTGAATTTGATGACCGTTTACAGCGTTGACATTCATCACGCAACACCATGTTCCTGTTAGTGTTAGCGGATGCCGATCCTGTTGCCGGCACCTCATTTCCAAGTAGGAAATGGCTGTGAAATGCTTCATCATCACAGACAGTGATGCCGTGACGTGACAGAGTGCTCGACTGCTTTGAGAATGCGACCCCCCTGTCTCTGAATTCATCATGTGTCAGCATTTCCTGTCCAGTTTCTTCTAAACGGTGTCAACCGGCAACCTTCAATCGTGAGCATCCCTCTTTGAAGATGAAAGCAGCGATCAAACACTACGTTGTGACAAATGCCGTGACGACACGTGACAGAGCGTTTGACGACCGTGCGAGCCCAGCGTAGAGGCGAATCACTTGCTTCTCACGCAGGCTGGACAGATTGCGGCACCACCTGATGCCCTTTTACAGCTTCGACCCTCAAGACGAGGGCGAGGACTGGGAGGCCGAGCTTCTGGAGGAGGGCCTCACGCACAGGCCCAACCCTGCCAACAAGGTGCGTGTCAGGAGCATTGAATGCTGGGCACGTTGGTAATCTGCATTGAAATTCACTGCCCGAAAGTGCTTGATGAAAGAAAGATGCACAGGGGGCAAGCTGTGAGCCTACAATATAATTTTCGTTTGAAGGGGTACAGGCACGGAAATTTCCCACTGCTGTTTTCTTGCATCGAATGAATGAGAAAAAGCCCTTATGAGCCCAGAAAAATGTACTGGCATGGGTGTGCACAGAGTTAGTACTCTTCAGGGGGCTGAGGGTTCCTTGCAGTGCCCCTTTCCTATTAATGTCGATGTATAAGGCTGACTTTGTGCAGACACACACACCCCCACACTATTTGGGGACTCGAGGAGTACTTGTATTCGTTGTTGTGCTTGCATTCTTCTCCCTGTTCATCTCTCTGTGATGGAACGCCTGTTAAACGGAACATGTCTTTAATGAGAGTCTACTGGGTCTTCTCAGCCTTTCCTGAGCGTCACACGAGCTCCAAGCCGTCCTCATATAGGGGGGACTTGTATGGCTACGTAAAGCCAGCTTAGAAAATTGGTGTCAGCACCCCTTCGAACGACGGTTCGATCGTTTGCTCGATTTGAAACTTCTTTCTCGCTCGTGCGTAATGGATGGAGTGATTCATTTATGTAATTCCCCCACTCTCTTTTCTTTTTGCCCCTACAGAACCCGGAGTTCCACGAGCCACCAAAGCTGGCATTCCGGTCGGTCCTGTAAAAAAATTTTTGCTCTTTCGTTTCTTTTTTTGTCCGAAGGTCCCAAACAAAACAGTCCTGTAGGAACCTGGGGAAGGAGGAGGAAAACCAGCAAAGCTTGTACATTAACGCCCTGTCGTCCGTGTGTGCCTGTCGCCAATGTTGTCGTGCATTCATGATCCATTCCCACTACTATTTATTAATAGTCAAGATGTTACTGAGCTCTCGTTGTAAGCTTAGCTTTGCAATCTAGTCTCTCTTGTTTGTTGATGCTGTAGATCTCAACAACTCCATTTTTTATTGTTGCTCGTTTTTCCGCCATCGAGTGATAGTAGTGCAGTCACACCGCCACAGTAACAATCAGCGATTGCATAATGAATTACCAGGTATAGCAAACCAGATCTGGTATTTGCTCGCAACAAACGTGTACTTATAACAAATGCCATTGCTACGATTTTTGTATCGGGCAACGCATACTACGTTTAGGTGTGTAGCCAACACTCTTTGTGAATGAAAGATCTGATCGAAGCTCCAAATACTCATGTGTAGTTTGCCGAATAGCATTGTGAACTCTTCTCATTTAATGTAGCGCATAGAAGGTTGTGAACAAAAGATTTACGAGTATGGTGCTTGTGTCACAGCGAGGGAGGGGAGAGCGATCACTTCTTAACCCGGTCAAAGTCGTTGTGAATAAAAGCAGATTATGAACAAGACTAGTGTTGGTTTGATATTGTGCTTGCACAAAAGTGGTGCGTACTGTAAAAGCACTGGCACATATTTTTGTATTTAACGTGTACATGGTATACAGTCATACCTCAATAAAACTAAGCAGCATATTACATGAAATTAGGTTTCTTATATAAAAAAATAATGACTTTGTAATGACTGCACACCCAGGAATCGTGCAGGATGTGGAAGTGGTTGGCAAGGTACGATGCAGTGACCATAGAATGGTACGGTCTCGAATTCGCCTAGACTTGAAGAAGAAACGACAGAAACTGATACGCAAGAAGCCAATCAATGAGCTAGCACTGAGAGGGAAAGTACAGGAATTCAGAGTGTCGCTGTAGAACAGGTACTTGGCTCTTAGTGAGGAAACCAACCTTAGCGTAGATACAATGAATGATAATCTGACGAGTATCATTACGAAGTGTGCAGTGGAAGTTGGAGGCAGGGTAGTTAGACAGGACACTGGCAAGCTTTCCTAGGAAACGAAGAACCTAATTAAGAAGCGTCAAATGATGAAAGTGTCAAGTACAACAGACAAAATAGAACCGGCAGAGCTTTCGAAGTTAATTAATAGACGTAAAGTATGCGATGTAAGAAGGTATAACATGGAGAGAATTGAACACCCTCTGAAAAACGGAGGAAGCGTCAAAGCAGTGAAGAGGAAACTTGGGATAGGCAAAAGTCAGATGTATGCACTAAGGGACAAAGAAGGCAAAATAACTACCAATATGGATAGGATAGTTAAAATAGCGGAGGAGTTTTACAGAGATATGTACAGTAGCCAAGACAACCACGACCTTAATACTACAGGAACTAGCAGTAACCCAGATGACACCCCACCAGTAATGATAGAAGAAGTCAGAAAAGCTTTGCAGAGCATGCAAAGAGGCAAAGCTGCTGGTGAGGATCAGGTAACATCACATCTGCTGAAAGATGGAGGACAGATTGTGTTAGAAAAAAAATTGCCCGCAGCTTCCCTCGGGGGAACACTGAGGAGGATGCGGAGCATATAATTGGTTACCGGGGTGTTAAAGTGCGACTTACTTGGGTCGATGGCTAAATTGGTTAACGTGGTTGTGAAATGGGGTGTTAAATTGCGACTTACTTGGGTCGATGGCTAAATTGGTTAACGTGGTTGTAGGAGGGGGTGTTAAATGAGTGAACACGTACACACGTATGCGAAAGGGCGGCGCTGGTCGAAGGGACGTCGATCATTGTGTTTGTGGATTCGTTGGAATTCATTTCACCGCGACCTTGGACGTCGACGCGCCATACAAACCAACCGACGAGCGGCAACTGAGCGAGCGAGCGCCGACCTTGAGTATATATACAGCGCGACGGCGCATGCACTGTCAGCTGTCGAATGTTCGAGAAGGGGGAGAAGCGCAACGGCGCATGCGTGCGCGTCAGCTGCCGATGTTCTCGAAGTGTGACGGCGCATGCGCGCTACATTATACAGCTAGCGAATGTTCGTGAAGAGGAGAAGCGCACGCGGTGTGTAGAGGAGGAAGGGTGCACAGATGATGGAGGAGTGAAGCACGCGCGGTGTGTAGAGGAGGAAGGGATGCACAGATGGTGGAAGAAGGAGGAGGAAGCTTGGGGACGGCGCCGCACTACAAGCCTCGAGTATTAGATGCTCCGCATCTAAAAACTAGCCTCCCTGTTTACGAGGTGTCTCCTGACGGGAAGGGTACCAGAATCTTGGAAGAACGCTAACATCATCTTAATACATAAGAAAGGAGATGACAAGGACTTGAAGAATTACAGGCCGATCAGCTTGCTCTCTGTAGTATACAAGCTATTTACAAAGGTAATTGCTAACAGAGTAAAGAAAACATTAGAATTCAATCAACCAAAGGAACAAGCAGGATTTCAAACAGGCTACTCAACAATTGACCACATTCATACTATCAATCAGGTAATAGAGAAATGCTCAGAGTGTAACCAACCACTATACATAGCCTTCATAGATTACGAGAAGGCGTTTGATTCAGTAGAAATATCAGCCGTCATGCAGACACTGCGGAATCAGGGCGTAGATGAAGTATATATAAACATTCTGGAAGAAATCTACAGGGGATCAACTGCTACCATTGTGCTTCATAAAGAAAGCAACAGAATACCAATCAAGAAGGGTGTAAGGCAGGGGGACACAATCTCCCCAATGCTATTTACCGCGTGCTTACAGGAGGTTTTCAGAAGCCTAGAATGGGAACAGTTAGGGATAAGAGTTAATGGAGAGTACCTTAGTAACTTGCGCTTCGCCGATGACATTGCATTGCTGAGTAACTCAGGGGACGAATTGCAACTCATGATTACGGAGTTAGACAAGGAGAGCAGAAAGGTTGGTCTTGAAATTAATCTGCAGAAAACGAAAGTAATGTACGACAGCCTCGGAAAGGAGCAGCGCTTCGAGATAGGTAATAGTGCACTTGAAGTTGTAAAAGACTATGTCTACTTAGGACAGGTAATAACCGCAGAGCCTAACCACGAGATTGAAATAACTAGAAGAATAAGAATGGGGTGGAGCACATTCGGCAAGCACTCTCAAATTATGACAGGTAGACTGCCACTATCCCTCAAGAAGAAGGTATATAACAGCTGTATCTTGCCGGTACTTAGCCACGGAGCAGAAACCTGGAGACTTACAAAGAGGGTTCAGCTTAAATTGAGGACGACGCAGCGAGCAATGGAAAGAAAAATGGTAGGTGTAACCTTAAGAGACAAGAAGAGAGCAGAGTTGATTAGGGGACAAACGGGGGTTAAGGATATCATAGTTGAAATAAAGAAGAGGAAATGGACATGGGCCGGGCATGTAGCGCGTAGACAGGATAACCGCTGGTCATTAAAGGTAACTAACTGGATTTCCAGAGAAGGGAAGCGGGTTAGGGGGAGACAGAAGGTTAGGTGGGCAGATGAGATTAAGAAGTTTGCGGGTATAAATTGGCAGCAGCAAGCACAGGACCGGGTTTACTGGCGGAACATGGGAGAGGCCTTTGTCCTGCAGTGGATGTAATCAGGCTGATGATGATGATGATATTAAAAAATCTGTATAACAATATATTGTGGGCATTTAGTACATACCCATCTTCTTCATCTGTACGTTATCATCACCACGTGTTGTTCACGCATCCTCATCGTTGTCGCGTATGAGCGTCATCATTATTGGTTCATCGTAGCTGTCTGGTGCTAAGTCCCCGGGTCTAATAAAGGTCATCCAAACCAAGGCCTCATATGTGGTGGAGGTCGGTCTTTAATTCCCCTGTCTTCATCTCGACCACTGTACCTCCCGGAGCTTCGTTTAGGTCAACACTGGGGCCAGCTGTCCAAAAATATGTCGCAGCAGGATCAGGTCGGCGCTGCAGTCGTTCCCTCCTCTGCCACCGCATACCACGCTTTTTCATGTCCTAAGCAGCCACCAGCGTGAGCCTCATCCCTTCACTGGTGTGCGTGGAGATGTGAAGGACTGGCTGGGCGATTTCGAATGTGTCGGCTCTGCTAATTGGTGGGACGACACCTACAAGCTAACTCGCGTTTCTTTCTACCTTACGGCTGTCTCGAAGACGCGGTTCTTTAACCACCTGATTGACATCCCCGACTGGGAAGCCTTCAAAGACCAGCTTCGTCAAGTGTTTCGCACACTGGCTGTTCGTTTGGCTCTCGCGAAGAAAGCTCTTGCAGCTCGGAAACAGCATATCGACGAGTCAAATACATCCTACATCGAGGATGTTCTTGCACTTTGCAGCAGGGACAATACATCAATGCCATAGTCGGACAGGGTACGCTACCATCGATTGCACCTGTCACATTCAATGCTCTTGCCATCAAAAATCCGGCTACCGTTGCTGACGTTGTCACAACCTGTCAGCGCCTTGACGAACTCGAGTCTATTTGCCTACAAGCGGACAGTGACGCAGCACATCTTACAGTGGACCCAAACCTACGAGACATGAGGAGGGTGATCATTCACAAAGAACTGCAATCTGTGGGATTCTCGCTACCTCCGGTGTCTCTACCATATTTGTTGCAAGACTATTCTTAACATACTTCGTTGTGATCAATATTGCTTTATATCGAGGCTTTAGCGTACTGGACATTTGAACCCTAACTCATAATTTCAACATGCCAGGTGGCTTTATGGCAGTTTTTTACAGCCGTGCGAAATAGGTCGGTTCACGACAGTAGGCGGGAATTATTCTAGGAAGACGTTCTGCAGTTCTTTGCAGAGGGTGTGGGTTATACACAAGAATATACACTGTATAAGCTGTGTGTCAGGACGTCCCTGTAACTTCACAGCCGCTCTGCATGGGTCTGCAGAATAAGCTGACACAGCCTAGTACTCATTTTCTCGTTGACACTTGTGTTATTCGTTCTCATTCGTACTCGCGAACGCTCATTCGCATGTCCCGAACACGAATGCCACGAACACGACTATTTGCCATTCTTAGACAAAGGGTGCCAGCTTGACGTCTCCAAATACTGGCCCACACTCGTAATAACCAGCTATACGGAACGGCACCGACACATTAGTCACACTTTCACAACGGAAGGTAGAACTTCTGAACATATTACGCCACTGTAGTGGCTGTGTTGCTGCATGCTAGCTCTCCTGTTTGGATTTGCCTGCTCTTCTTTCCTATCCCCTGGCCAAGTACCACGAGCCTGACTGCACTGCCAATTGTGTGTCTGGCAAACTAAATTGTCGAGCGTCTCATGGTTTTCCGACAACCACCATCGTTGCAGTTGTGACACGAAGTAGACAGTCAGCTGTCTCAAATTGTACTACAATCGCTTGATTTAGTCACCACGAGTCATGAGGATGGTTTTTTAAGGGCCAACTCCGGCGATTTTTTGAGGTCAATGGATTGAAAAGAAATTCGCTGGCTACTTTCCTTCCTTTGCTCGTTTCCATAATTTGTTTCCAATTGCGGGCCGGAGATGTACACATATTCTTTACAAATGAATCTTATAGATTGCCCCGACTCTCCCAACTGGCTGCCTGCAACCATTATTATTATTATTTAACAATACTGCCGACCTCACAAGGAGATCATTGCAGGGAGGGCATACATATGATACAGAAAAGAAACACGAAGCAATCATTTCTAGCATGCAAAACAATAAGCAATCGATACATGAGAAGCAGTAGTAGCAATGAGCAAGGTGAGGGTACAAATCTCTGCAAAACTACCAATTACAACAACTCTAAAGACAATGTACAATGATGCAATCACGTTATCAATATACAGAGCCTGCATACGAAATACAAGAGGACAAAAGAAAAGAAAAAGAACAACAATTTTCAGAGAAACTCCTCAGCGTGTACCTTTGCTTCTACCATATCTAAGAATACATTCAAAGATGAAGTGTTCGTAACAGAAGGGCTAAGTTGGTTCCAATTTCTTATGGCTTGCGGGAAAATGAATATTTAAAGCAGTTTGAATGAAAAGTGTATTCATTAAGTGCTTGAGAGTGCCGGTAACGTGTTAATCTAGATCGACTGAAAGAGATTAGTTTTGACGCGTCAATGTTTGTGTCTCCATGAATTAACTGAAACAAAAACTTTAGTCTTGCTATTTTCGCCTGACTATGTAGTGTTGACAGACCAGCTTTGTGTAATAATTCTGTAGGAGAATCCATTTGCCTATATTTATTATAAAGGAACCTTACTGTCTTCCTCTGCACCCCTTCGATTCTTGCAATTAGTTCCTTTGTGTACGGAAACCAAACAATATTGGCGTATTCTAACATTGGTCTGACAAGCATCTTGTATGCCAGCAGCTTTGTATTTGGGGGTGCCAGATGAAGGCGTCTTCTCAAAAAGAAAAGCCGCTTTAGTGCACTTGAAGTTATATTGTTGACATGGGTTTCCTATCAAAGATCGTGCGTTAAAGTGACGCCTAAATATTTATGTTCAAATACGCGAGTAAGAGGTGTGTCATTAATAGTGTACGTGACATCAGATATTGCTTTCTTTCTTGCTACAGTAAGCGTAACGGATTTCTTAGCATTGAGAGTCATTTGCCACTCCTCACACCAACAAAAGACAGACTCGAGTGCATTATTCAGTACATGGCGATCATCAACGGAATTTCACGGTACAAGATACAATCATCAGCGAATAGCCGAATGTTAACATTCAATCTGGAAGGCAAATCATTACTATACAGCAGAAATAAGACAGGACCCAATACACTGCCCTGGGGCACTCCCGACGTAACAAAGCGACATTGTGTGTGCCAACATTTTTGTCAATGCGACGGAAGTCACGGAACCGAGGTGCGACTAAATCGCCTGCTGTTCATAAGGCCACAATCGCGTGTGTTGCTTCATTGGTTCGACGTGTGGATTTCAGTTTGTAGTGGGCCTGTGTGTGATGGGTGGTAAACGGCATTCCGTTTTGGTTGCCTGAACCTGAATTACCTGAGCCCTCACGAAACACTCCGAGGTAACGATTACCCTTTATCTCGATATATTTTTTAGCTGCCAGTGTCGGCTCACTTCACGTAAACTGTGTTAGTACCATACCGGTCGAGGAGTGCCCATGCATGAGCATTACGGTAGTGTACTAAGCGAGCACATTACCGTGTGGAAACAGTTCTTCAGTGAAAAGTGGCAGATACTTGGTTTAAATTCCTTCAGCCCTGCCGGCGCAATTTTAAACTCTGCTATTGCCAAACATAGGCACTCGTCCTACAGCAATATTAAGAAGCATCAGTTAGTCTGCAAACTTTTCAGTGACAGCAGTTTATTTCAGTGGTAGCAGTCAGAAGGTGCTACTCGTCATCTGACTGGAATGCACAACCATTAATCACCATTCCTCTTTGGCGATTTTTCTTGGCCTCCATATGCGTCCGAACCTCAGCTATCGTTTTACGGCAGCTTTGAGGAGCTTGTCCACATAGCACGGTCACTAACAGACGTGGTGCGGCTGTAGCGATAGGGTCGCCTTCTCCCCGAGTGAAGGCGCCACATTCCAAAAGACAACATCCAATCATGACCAAACTGCACCCAATCACACTTATGCAGGTCTACTTCCTTTCAACAGAACTTGCATAGACACTTTATGTGCGAACATACTTGTCTGTGGTCATTTGGACACTTGCTTCCGCTCGAAACCATGGTTACCGACTCTCACACATGCTCATCTCAACTAGCACTTGAGGCACTTTTACAACGATTCATAATGGGCACAGTGGCTGAGCGGGCACATGGATGCAGCCAAGGGACAGTGGTGACCTTTCCAGCAAACGAAGAAATCGGAAAAACCACACAGCCCGGCCGGTGGTGCCTGAACCGCTCTGATTTTTCCTCACAGCCAACCAGATCATAAGGAGATGCATTGAACTGAAAAATGTTTTTCGGAAAAAGGTGGGGGTTAAGTGGAGCCCCTAGTTCAGGGCACCGCTGGCCTCAGCAGCCCGCCAGGCGTGGTCAAGGAACATCACTTGAGCCTCCTTTTTGTCACTGGCGAGCAGGGCTGTTCGTCTCGAATTTTCTGGCAAGTCGAGCCGGCTGAAAATAATGCCCGGGTATCGGCAACACTCCAAATTTCTGCGGCACTTTTAACCAACACTGCAATTTACAGGCTCGACTAGCAGAAAACAAGGCATTCCTGTGCGACGAGTCCCGCAGTAGGATGCCGGCTAGTCTCTCGTGGTTCTTTTAAGCTGACCGTATGCACAAGCAGCTATAAGGTATGAGCAGGCAAAAGGTATAAAAGGTGCTGTGCTGGTTTAATTATTTTTCCAGTCTCAGCCATGTACAAACCAGCTCAGTTGGGTGCAGCAACTTAGTGGGGCAGCACATCAGAATGAAAAAGCCAATTGATATGCCCTACCGACAACTCCTGCGCATGAGAACTGAATATCGCAGCTGCGTTTTACGCTTTCACAACAGCCATTTCGCAATTGGCCATGCGATGCTATCCAACCCAACTTTTCCTAAAGGACACCTTGCTGGTCTACCTGGTCGGGACAAAAAAGTGCAACATGTAAGGCACTGCATTCACGTCTTCTCTCTTGGTACCCGTGCCGTTCCATGTAACACCAGAGTTCGGACAAAGCCTCGTCACAGGCTGCAAAGGAGCTTTGGATTTCTGGCCATCGGTTTTCGCATCCAAAAAATTGCAAAGATCCGAATTTCTGGCACACACTAACACATTTCTGAGGAATGTATAAGAATCCCATACGTGGTGTACCATGTGAAAAATTAACGGTTTTAGAAATAGCCCGTTTCCAGCACCCGAGGAAGTGCGAGCAGACATCACTTGTACAATTAACTGGCCAGTCGCTCAGGACATCCACGCCTTACCATCCACTATGAATTCTTGTAAAGCAGGGGCATGAAAATGGAAAATTGGGTACATTTAGTTCTTTAGGGTAGCATTGTCATAGATAGTCCTTAATAACTGCCAATAATGTAATGGCACATGCAATTGAGGACCAAAATTTAGCATGTCCCATGACATCTAGTAGTTGTTAATAGGCATGTGCAAATTATAATTTTCAGTTTCAATGCATATGATTTGGTCAGACAATTTCTTGACAAAGAGTAGATAACCAAAAATAAAACATTTGACATGAACAAATTAACCAGCATTTTGTTAAATTGCCACAAATTTAGTTGTTCCAATGGGAAGCAACTCCATTCGGAACAGAGGCAGGAATCTACTCACTAGAAGGAATAAGCTGCAAGAAAGTATTTGAAGTCATAAAACTTGCATGGCATTACAGTACAGCATATAAACCAGCATGAGCTTTTTAACTTAAGCAACGAATCGATACACAGCCACCTTGCCTAGCTGGGGCTTTACAGCTATGCAGACTTCCCCTGTATAGGTGCATGTACGGTATAGCACAGCTCCACTGCAGAGAAACTGCTTTTACAGGGGGGGGGGGGGGGGGCTTTACTAGCAAGTTGTGCACTTATTTAGCGTCAAAGCAAGCTCAGATACTGTCAAATGCTCAAGTATTTGCACATGCCTACTTAGGATTGGCTCATACTCACCATTTCACACGCTAGTGGAGAGCACCAGGAAACTGCCAATGTTTTTGAAAAGGTATGGCCACAGTAAAAATTCTGAGGTCTCCAGGCAAAGCAGGAGAGCTTGTCACAATGTTAATCGGGCTTCGTGGTCAGCTGTACAGCGCACAATACTGCCAAGGACGGAAGAGACTGGACACAACCACAACGTACATGAAAAGACTTGGTGCTTTTTATTTCAACTGAAATTTAATGACAAATAAAAACGATGGGAATATGCAGCGATAAAGGGTGGGTGGGCAGCACATGCCTTTCTCTCGGACATGAATGGGTAAGCATGTCTGCAGCACATGGTTCACAAAATGGCGGGGGAGACAAATCTACACAATGTTAAAAAAATGGGTTAACGGGGGGAAAAACCCATTAAAAAAAATGAGATGAGTCCTTGTACGATGCGACTTGCTCGTCAAAGTACCCCCCCCCCCCCCGCTGCCCTCAATGAGTGACCTGCAATTAAAAAAAAAAATGTTTTGTCAGGCATACTTGCATGCAGCGTAGGCAACAGGTGTAGATGTCACTAGTGCATGTGCAGAATTGTAGTCAAATTCATTAATTAAAACAGGAGAAATTTGAATTGACCACCCGTACAATAGTTTTCACATCAGACATTTAACAAATTCTACCATTTGGATTAAATGCTAACATATTCCAGTGCTAATATTTCTGAACATTTCATTATGAAATACAAATTAACAACACCTCTTCTTTCAAGCCTTGCCAGAGTCAAATGCAACTCTTATTTTCCAAACGTTCATGTAAATTTTCACACTTGGCTCTCAGAAACAAGGTATTCCAAATCAGCAGTTGCACATATGCCAAAACCTAACTAACCTTTGTTTTTTGTTTTCACACTTTTATGGAAACTATGTGAAGCACACAGATTTACTCGGGATTTGTTAAGGTACACAGGCTACAACTTGTGATACTCCAATTTTTTTTTTTGCCACCCGTGACCATAGTTGGTACTACTCTAGGCAGACATGGACCCTGAAAATAAACATTTGGATCTAGCTAACCACATAAAAATTTCAGGGAAATGAAACTTGCACTGGTTCCTACAAGTTGTCAGATAACATGCAGCAACAATGGCTAGTCATCAGCGCAGTGTTGACAGTAAATAAACCTAGCAGGAACCTTTAGCATAGAACATTTTGCAGTGCACTTTTGATGAGCACAAAGGGTAATTTTCAACAGGTCACACACCAATGTCAAGAAAACAAATTGATGTTTTGTTAACAAGTCAAAAATGTTTTGTTAACATAGGTTAGTGACTTGCTTTTTGCAACAATGCCTTTTACCAGACCGAACAGTGTTCAGTCAATCTTAATCCTACGCGAGCAGTACTTCATATATACGAGTCTCAGTGTGCACCGGACTGACAAATGTGCAGTTAGAGAAACGCCAATGAATGCAGACTAGGGTAACAGCCCAGACAAGGTATACTGCTAGGAACTTGCATGTGCTCAAACCAAGAGAGTAAAAATAGCTTGAAGGAGGGCATGACAGGCTGCTTTTTACAAGTTCAATGCCAACTTGAGATCCAGTGAGCGGTGCAATGGACACTATGCAACTCACCTACGAAATAATGACAGATGAATGCAGCAACAGCAGCAGTCCTTTAGTCGGATCCCTCCCCAGCATCGTCACTTCCGGTGTCCTTGTCGGCTTCGGCTGCGGCCGACTTCCGAGGCCGTCCGCGTCCGGCGCCCTTCTTGGCGCCTGCAGCCGCCTTGGTGGCAGTCTGCAACCACACACAACGAAGCATCAAGACAGCAGCACTTGATAATCAAGCACACCCGACAACTCGTACCGCTGTCAAGCGCCCACCTTTCGATCGCGATCAACAATCCGGCGGGTGCATTTTAACGAAAACGTCAACGAAAATCGCGGTTAAGTCACTCGTGTAGCAGCACTTGAGCTTGTTTCAGCGATAATCTGAAACGCGCCCCCCCTCACGACGATCAAAAGTGACCGTGTGGGACCTGAATCGCTGTCCACTCATCGCGATCGGCACCGCAATCGACTGCTTATCGGGCAGATTTCGCCGGGCCGCTGACAACCGAGTTCAAAAATTTCGAGTCCCACCTGAACTAGATCGCGATTTAACGTTAGAACACAAGTGCCGCACGACGATTTCTGGGATAGCGCCCAACCAAATTATTCCGGCGATTTCGTAGTGTTCAAAATTTTTTAACGCTAGCAGCGCAATCACAATAAACAACAAAAAAACATGCGCGTGACACATGCAAAATCGTGCAGCCAAATTCAAACAGTTGTCACTAGATTGAGTGTCAAGGGCGCCGCCATTGAGGGGAAAAAAATTGCAAGCAAAGCAAAAAAATAAAAGTGGACGTACCTTCTTTCCCTTTTTGCTGCTACCCTTAGGGCGGCCACGGCCTCGCTTAGCCTTCGGTGCATCGGCAGACGCATCCTGCACACACAAAAGAAACAAAAAAACACAGCGGGTTAAACGCTGCAAGGTAGCGGTCATAGCGTTACGCATCCGAATAACAAGGTGGCGAGCGCGCCGTTAGGCCTACCTCAATTGATCTTCGCGCCAAGAAAAACGGCGCCATGTTTGACACGCCACCTAGCACGACACCACCGGAGAACTGTGCGCCTAGCACCGAGGTTAGGCCATAACATCGTTACGGTTCAAGTCGCGTTGTACAGGGGTAACATACAAAAATGCGCAAATGCTCTCCGATAGCGCAACTACGCCGCTAAACCGCGGTCGATGAATTTAATCAATCCCGCCGAACACGGGGTCCTACACACAAAACAAACAATTCCGTTAACTGTGGCAACGGCTGAATTTATTGCGTTCAACGGGCGAAGGTTTGCCTAGCTACTACAGAGGTTCGATTAACGAGATTTGAGTTTGCGGCTAATTAGCTACACCAAGGAAAAAAAAAAAAAGCGGCGGGCGCTTACGGCGCCAAAAACGTCACAAAAACGGCAAGAAGTTTGGTCAGCCAATCAGCGCCGCGCGTATCGATTTCATTTTTTGCCGCCAAAGTGGAAATATTATGGCGAGCGCGAGGCAATAAAAACGGGCGCAGTACTAACAAGACCCCGCTTTGACAGCTCAAGTCACCGCGCCCTCGACCAAACTACAGGTACGGCTATCGCGCTACGCGGAGCGTCGAAAAAAAAAAAAAGTCGTGCCTCCTTCGGTCTTTTTTCACCAGTCTCGGCCTTCTTGGGGCGTCCGCGCTTCTTCTCAACGGCGGTGTCGTTGTCAGCCATCGTGTGTGTGAACTTCGTTCTGGAAACAAAGAAAAGAACCATAAAAATTGACTCAACACAGTCGACACGAGCGGCAAACAATCCTCGACGCGTACAAAATCCAACGAGTTCGGTACAAAATACAGAGAACACGAAAACCGCGACGAAATACTTCGAACCATTGGGATCCATCGCGGCCTCCCCGCGCGAAGTCGGCAGGGCCCCCCCACAGCTTGGACCATTTTTGGCAAATCGCACAATTTTTTCCCACAAACGGCCGCCGGCACTAAATTAGTTCAGGGCCCGGACAAATTTTTCGACCCGAAAAACGCGGCCAAACTCGAATCGCAAACCGGAGAAATAAATTTTCCCTCCGAGGCGGTTCCATGGCGGCTACCGGCCTCTATTTACGCCGCAGCAGTATTAGGCCTAGGGAGGGAAAAGCCGGCCGGCCGGCTCTGCAAACTCCAAAGTGGCCGCGCGCCGTACAAATAACATATCCCAGCGGCAGCGCAGCGCAAGAAATTAAGCCTAGCAAATGCTCGTAGCTGGCAAAGGCGAGTCCGAAAACTATCTCTACATGCGCGAGGGAGACGCCGAAGTCGTTGATAAAGAAGACGGCTACTAGCGAGCAGACCAGCGCAACACGGGAGTGCGTACTCACAGCTCCGAAGGACAGGATGAACTGGGATGTGTGCCTGTGCGGTGTGCGCGGGTCGGGCACTGAAAGGAGGGGGAGGGGGGGGGGGGGGGTCGAGCCGATTTTGATGCGTCGCTCGCTCTGAAGAGGGCGACCGACGTGTTTTCAACGGTCGTGCGAGCTCTTTGCCAACCTGTAGTGGGTGGCCGCTATTTTTAAAATTTTTTCCGGTGCAAATTATGTGCGGGAAAAATTTTTCCCGCCACCGTCGACCGGCGCGAAAAATGCGCTATCGTTAAAACAGCGCGCCAAAAAAATCGCTTGTTGACGAGAGTAGCGCGCCTTTTCGCCCCTCCTTTAGTCTTTTCTTTCTTTTATTGCCCTTCGGAGTGCTTGCGTAGGGAGAGAAGGGCGCTGCACCCTCCTCTATTGATGTACTTTTTTTTTCCTTGCTTTACGCTGTTTGCTATTTACAAGCAACGGCCTCGCCGGTTAGGTTTAAATTTGAAACACCGAGGGCTGTTCAACGTGGTGCTGCAAAATGGGTGGTTATCAGACCGAATTCGCAGTCTCGATGGCCCTTTATTACGTAGAGGCGTGGTGTCAGTTCTTTCTGTAGCGACCAGTGCGTGCCTGCACGCGCGCGCGCATTCCGGTTAAAGTGACACGTTCGCTTAATGCCGAGGGAGCGGGTGAACGAACCGTCCGAGTGTTAAGTGGTGTACGTGATAAGAATGTCGATAATCGCGGCGATCGCTGTCACCTCGCAATCGGACAGCGAGAAGAAATGTAATCACAAGCTCGTATCGTAGCAGTGTTTTGGCGTCGTGGCGCGCTCTTGGTGGAGCAGCTTCATTAGCGCTGCCTGCGTCGAATAAAGAAAAGAAAGAAAAAGAGAACACGCGATAATAAAGATGGCGGGAAATCAGTGCCGCGTCGATTTTCCGAACGGTGCAATGTGTTTACAGCAGCTATCTTACGTCAGACAGGTTAGCTTGAAAGGTTTGCTGTACGCCGCTGAAATGTGTCGCGACAATCGATTTACGAAAGATAGTACGGATAGCAGAAGCGACTCAGCAGTTCGCCTAATGGAACACTTCCGAGCCGTGCTACTGCCACACGGCCTTCCTGATTCAATTGAGTCAACGCGTGGCGAATAACAAGCTCGTGTTTTCATTTTCTCGGGGCAGTTCAGTTTTGGAAAAATTGACGAATAGAACACAGCGTTCAGGAAAACGCGTTGCCCAAAAACCCTTCGATCTTGCAAGGCATTCCGATTCGCGAAGTGTGACGTGTTGCGTTTCCCGCGTTTACCACCGCTATCGCGACTTGGGAAGTCGTCCGCTATTTGCTGCAATGCTTTTTTTAATTGCTGTCTTGCCCGTTTGTGCCAACATAAGTTTACCTGTTCATTAAATTCTTTGCCCTCGTCATGAGCGTGGATGATGTTTTCATTCATTGTTGTGATTTAACGTCCCCAAACCATGATGCTATTATGAAGGAAGCCGATATGCTGGGCTCCGTAAATTTCGACCACGAAGGGTTCATTCACCTAAACATGTGCCTCAATCATTTCCGCCCTCATCGTAACTGCGGCAGGGATTCGATCCCGCGACCTTCGACAAAGCATTCGAGCACCATGGACCCCCGTGGCGGGTATGCAATATGAGTAAACTCATGCGAAACCTGAAACTGCCTTATCACTTCACATTGAAGCAGGTTTTACAGAGACTGACATGTACATGCCATTATGGTGCTTACTTGTATATATTGACACAGCAACATGAGAAAACAAGGCTTTATTCCATTCTTTATTACACATAGAATAACTAAAGGCTGTGGATCACAGACTCTGCATACTTCCTGAGCATGCAAATCACGATTACCAACATGCATTTGTACAATTTCGGAGAATGACTGGTAACGGGATGCTGTGGTGGCAGACTGTCACTGCTGCTGCAGTGGTTTCGGCAGCGCAAGTTCGGCGATCTTCTTGTAAAATCCGTCTTTCTCGCAGTTGTGCGGGTCGACCACAGTGATGCTGGGGATGTGAACACGTCCAAAGCTGAAGTCGCGGTTGCGCTGCACAATCACAGAGGGAGGAAGCAATACGTTAAACGCATAGTGGCAGCACGTTCAAATACCGCTTTCCTTGTCGAGAACAGAGACAAAATGCCCGGCCTGCATGGAACATGAAACACGGGCAGAGCAAAAGCTAGAGTAACCCCTCTTGATCCCGTTGAAAAGTTTCTTGGCGCCAACCAGCACAAGTAAGATTTCAAGGTACCCATTACAACGTAATCACAATACCTCAACGGTTGTGGGAAAGTACCCACTATGCCATTATTCATAATTTCTTGTAGAAGCGAGGTACCCGATACACATGTGTAAGGCATTACGTGCACTCTTCATGCTATGGCTGATGACTAGTTATGGCGGGCCTTTCGTAATAGGGGCAAAGCGTTATAACCCACTCAAAAAAAAAAACAATAGGAGGGAGAAGATGGAAGCTTGCAACGAAAAATCTGCAAACAGGGGTTGCGTCGCTTCAGAACAACCACTCGTTGCACAACTAGCATTGTGTGACGCCTGGTGCTTATTTGGCTTCTCTACCGTGTTACGCTGCACCTACCAATGCGATTCCTTGCCCCGACATGATGCCTGTATAGGGTCTTTTCGAGAAGGAGTTCCAAGATAGGCGTGGCTCTCTGGTAGAATATTCGGCCACCACATAGGACCCATGCAAAAGGCCTGGGTTCATATCATGCTCGGCTGTGAATTGTTTTTTTTTTTTCTCACTTCCCAACAGCCGTTATGGACATCAGCGGTGGGCAACTGCACGACCTAAACCTGCCGTTATTGTCATCTCGTAACAGCTTTCACAGCAAAATGTCACATAAAAAAACCCTGAAAAGGCTGAGCACAAGTAATACCACTAGTCTGCTCTGAAAGCCTATATGAAGAAGCATTGCTTGATTTTTCATGAAACACTAGTGGGCGCCATAGTAATTTTTTTTTTAGATAGGAGCTTGCAAGTGTTACAATATAGATCGATGGCCGTGATGTGAATCATCCCTCTATACATCAGATGTTCAATGAATTTCGCTATTTCATTTAGCGTCACCTCTTTCCATAAGCCACCTCACTTCGCATAGGTCGGCGTTTCAATATATGCAACAAACCACATTTCTCTGCATATTTGCACATCCTATTAGGTATAAGAATTAGCAATATCGCACGCAGTTCTAAAACGCTTCGCGCTGCTCCGTAGTCATGATCGAGATGTGCTCCGGCGGCCTTCTTTCGTGAGGAGAAGCTCTGCAGCAGGCGCCAGCATACCGCGCCTCAGCGATGTGTGGATTTCGCCCGTAACCAGAGTAGCTATAAGATTGTGCACAAAGGTCAGCAGCGATGCACTAGCGGCAGAGAAAACAACTTGAGGCCGTAGACAACAAAACAAACGCATGAATGGCTGCACATATCTCAGGCTGACGCAAGACATCGTCGCCATAAAACTTGAAGTTGAGGAGCCGTCATCCTTAGACTCTATAGGCTCGTCCTCACTCAATATAGGTGTGGTTGCAAGACATTTTCGAGCTGCGCGTGTTTTTGGCAGTGCAGGTGCGCACCCATGCGCACGTGACGACGATGCCACAGTACCGACTAGTGACACTAGATGCGGCCCAGTGTCTTATTTAGCGATGCGAGCGAAACCAAATCTGCTGGAAACTGGTTGAGAAGGCCACCTCCATACAGGTGCGGCGGACCATCGGAAATATTTTTTGTAGAAGTTTTCCTCGACTCCAGCAGCAGTTCTCTATTGAATGGCTGACATAAAACGCTGGCAATTATTACTTACTGCTCAACACCGTCAGATTGCTAAGCTTACATCTTAATTTGATATTTGACTTGCAAATGTTTTGAATACAGAACTTTGATGGCACTGTAGCATAAGCTCGAGGGGCACGCACTTCTGTAAAGTTTGCCTACCAAGTGTAATTTCCCAAAAACACATGCAAAATGGCTCACAATAGAGTCTGTCAAAAATCACTATGTTGCCAGAAATGGCAAATTCAAACTGATTCTGAAAGTTGAGTGGCTGGGCTCAACTGGGTGCACTGAAAGTACTGGGTGCACGACAAACATATTTAACATGCCAAAATCAACAATCTAAAGCGTCGACCGATCACCACTTATTGATTTTAATAGGCATGGTAACGAAAAAGTTGTGGGGAAGGTAAACACACCAATTATGAGAGCCGTTATTACGTGGACAAAGGTGACCATCCCAAATTGCACAATTTCTTCGCAGGGACATGTGAATTTAAAGGGCTGCCTAACCACTCAGAACAGAGGTCTAAATTCAGTTGTGGTGTTGCAGTTGAGCGCAAGTATTCAGCAAACACGTAGCAGGAAGAATTTTACGAAACAGTCCCGTAATAGCAGAATTACACACATTTGATGACAGAGGAAAGGCGTTCACTCGTTTCACTCCTTCTTTTGCTATGCTCTGTTCTTTGGCTCGTATCTCTTCCTCGCCGAGTGTTCCTCCTCAAGAAAGAGTGGCGAGTCTGTATGCCTGAGAGCACACAAGCAGGCTCTTTTTGTGCATGGCATGACCAGAGGCACATGTTGACGTCACGGCCCGCAAGTGGCCTGGAGAGGAGAAGGGATTGTTTCTCGGTGGCCAAGCCGCAGCTTGCAGTGCCACTGCATTTGGCGTTGTTTGATTATCATGGCATCCTGAACTCATCATAATGTTTTAAAAAATGCTTAAATTTTTGCAGGTGGTTTAGGGTTCCTACATTTACGTAGCTCACTGCAGTTGCATACATTTTAACTGTCAGTTGGTGGGCATATCAACCACGTTGCATAGATGGATGGATTGATACTATGAGCGTCCCATTTATGATGTGGTGGTGGCCTGATAAATATTACAGTGCCTTCTAAATTCAGAACAAACAAGTTCACTTACTAACATCCACGGTTGAATCCGGTTGGGGGATCATGATTTTGGTGTTGGTATCGCGTTCCATTTGAATCCTGAAGGCATGCTTCCTTCCACAGAGCCGCCTTCAAGAAAGACGAAAAGAGCGAGAAATGGTGAGTAATGCAAGAGCACATCAAGGAAGTGCAGCGCTTGAAAGCCACAAGGCGTTTTACGGTCAAGGCACGGTCGAAATCTGGATCGACTGTCTGGCCGCTAGAGCAAATAAGTGCCTGAGCTGCACATTAATATCATGACCAAGTTCTAAGAGATTTAGTTGACATATCAGAACCTGTATGGCTTCCTTGTCCAAGATGCAACAAACATAGCGAAATTCACTTAATCACAAAAAGTGCAACGCAGTGCTCACGCATTTCATCACACATTTCTGGGGGCATCCTTCTCTATGTCCTGGTGTCAACTGCCAGTAAGGGTTCGAGCAACAGCTAGTCTTGTCACTTTTTTTTTTTTTTAGCTGCGGTTCCACCGTCATCCCAACTGACAAAGTGACGACTCTTGTGTGCATGCGTCACAAGTGCATTGGGCGAGCAACGACGGTATAAAACATAGTGTTCACACTCTGTCAATCACCGAGTGAGGCTTCCCGCTCCACCAGAATGTGCAGTACTTGCATGGTATCTTACAGATAATGCCCACAAAACTTTTCTACTCGGCAGTCCTTCACATTGAAAATTCTCTGACGAAGCTTATTCGACAGCATATACACAGTGCTTACGGGGCATACTAAGATTGTTCAGAAGAGATAACCGATTCACAGCTAGACACCACAAATTTTGAAATAAGCTGCATTAAGAAAACCTAGAACAGCCCAATTCCTTTTATTTCCAATTACTCAGAGTACATTTACACAAAAAACAGTTATTTGCAAAAATTAATTATTACAAAAACACACACAATACTAATGAGCAGGTTTTGCAGACATCATCAAGACCAGCATCACAGAGGACCAGTGCATAAGAAAGCGGTTTAACACTCGTGTTACATGTTCACTTTGACGACAATCGGGCCTGATCTCGATAAAATTTCATGATAGGTTAAGCTTTTTTATGCAAGCTGCAGAAGGGGGCCAATCACTGTTGAGAAGTGTTAGACTATCGGGCTCGGTCGCGATTGGAACTGTACTGTGCGACACCAGCATGAGTTTTGAGTGCGACATCTCTAGAAGCCCACCAATAGGCAAATGAATAAGAGTAAAAGTGAAGTGACAAACTACGACCATCATCACAAACATGCATGATGACATCGCGTAGTGCCATCACCATGGCAGGTTTGGGCATTTGCATAGTGATCAACTACTTCCAACGATGTAATGTGCACTATATACATATATACATGCACACACGTTTACAGTACGTTCGCTGCACATTCCACTCAAGTTTAATGAGTGAAAGACATAACGAGTGAACCTTGCCAACTTACGGAAGAAATCGATGCGGCACGTAGTGTGTTCGTCGGAAGTATCCTTTCGGCCCTCCATCCGAGCTGTCGTCATTTGACAGAGAAAGAGTTTTCGTCTTGGACACCAAGCAAGTGGGCTCGTCATCGTAGGAAGTTACTGCGAGGATGAGAAAACGGGGCCATCAGGGCTACGTAGTAAAATATATGCGCAATAACTAAATGACCAGCACTAGCTGTAACGCCAAATTCGACCAGGTGCAACTATGTAGGAAACTGCTTAAACGCAATTAGCTTTGAGATGTGCCTTCCTTCCAAGTTCCCCATGGCTAAGCTCTTGAAATTAAGCTGCTATATAACGTTTCTCGGTAGTTTGAATTCAGTCTGATAGCAGCTGTACGTACATGTTTGAACAGTTTAAGCAGCAAGCAAGGCCAGATACCATTAAAAACAGCTAGGACAGCAAGCAGAAATGTTTGCAAAAGAGAACATTGTGAAAGCCCAATACTCTGCCACAAATGATAGAGCCCCGTGGTCACCTTAATTTTAACGTATTTCTTAATAGAGATCAACAGTAGTCACTGCTGGACGGATGAGGCTAATCTGAATCGCGTTCGGCGTAAATCGCGATTTCCTCGATCACCTCGGTCGGACCTGATCGTGATTAATGTGCCCATTAGGCCCCGGTGTTTGACAGTTCTCTGGCCTCGCGCTCAAAATGACCCTGATAATGACCGCGAGACAGCATGAAATGACCGCGAGACAGCATTCACATCAGTAACACAGCTTAGCGATGCCAAAGTAAAACATGCTTTTGTCAGTAGGGCCGAGATTTCCAGGTTTCATCATGCGCGTTTGCATCAAGCATTTTTATAAGGCCTATTCCGCAATCCGGTTCAACTGAGATTACGTGCATACGCTAAGCTTACGACCGTATCCGCCGGAACGTAAGTAGGAGACATGTATAGTGTCGATTTGCAACAACTTACGTGGACAGCTCGATCAAGAAACGGCTTCAATGCACTAAACTAACCGGCGCGTTCGGTTCGACTGCCCAGCGGCCGCAGAACTCACTCACCACCGTCGGCACCGACATCGTTGACAGCTTCGTGGCGTCTGTCCGCAGTCTCGACACTTTTGCGACGGCGAAAACCGACTGATCGGCGTCAGTTTGCGGTAGCAAGACCCGTCGATCCAAATTAGCTCGCAGTTCAGAACATCTACGTTCATGATGGGGAAAACTACGCGCAGTTTTCCACGGGCCAGCTACGGTGTTGTAATATAAAGTCAGTCGCGAATTCACACGAAACGTAGCGCGTGTGTAAAGTCAAACGTTAACGAGATAAATAACGAAGCTTGGATAAAGAGAAAGCAAGACTGTGAAGCGTAGAACGCGGCGTTGAGGGTTGAGTCCTTCCTCCGTGGTTGAGCCGGTCCACAGAACACCAGCTGTTGTGAACAACGAGCCTGATGACGTCACCGTGGGCAAAAAAAAAAAACGCAGTTTTCAATGACGAATTAGAAAAAGCGGGAAATTTGGTTTCTTTAACGTTGCGGGACCAAAGACTAAAAAGAACTCCAACGGTTAATCTTGCGCTACATCCGCAATTATCCGGCTGTAATTGTGCCTTTAATGTAGCGCTGATGCAGTTCTCGCGCAGGTTTTGCATATCCCGCGCTAAACCATGCGCTAGTAGTGCCGTGTTGTTCGAAATCCGCACCGGCGCTAATGTTGTTCATGTATATGTGTTGCCGTAGTCCTAAATCCTGCGCTTCACAGAGCTCCACTGCCGTCACACCCGAGGAAGTGCGTTGCGTGGGTGACCAAGAGGTTCCCTGGGCAATTTGATTAATTATGAACAAAGTGTAACAATGTGTCCTCTATACATTTCTGTACGTTCTATCAAGCATTTACGTCACCTTAAATCCCAATGAAATCTCTCATGTATTTTTGTTCATCTTCTTGAAAAGAAAAATGTTTTTTTGATGTTTTGATTTTTTATGCAAATTGTATTCTGCTTGTATAGTATTTCCCGTTAGACCCCCTACTAGCATATGGCTATGGGTCTAATCAGTGTTGTGCATCTCATGGAATGTAATCAAAACAACCTCAATAAAAAAAATCGCAAGCTTGCCGATGTGATGGTGCACTCTTTTGCGAGGCTCGGATATCATCCATATGTTTGTGTTTATCGCGATCTAAGATACTACGGCGATTAATTTTTGGTTATTTTTGTAGTTAATACTCAGACCTTAATTTTTCTCTGCGATGGGTACCTGAAGATGGCGGCTGCCATTTTTTTTTTTTATAGCATTTGAGAGTGCCAGGGTGCAAAGGGCGACAGAGCAACACCGACACCTAGAGGGTATCTTTCACCCCTCGCGTTATTTTGTGATCTACACGATAGCTTCTGTTCGGCATACGCGCTAAGGGGGGACAAAGACAATTGGAAGCGGTATCCGCATCGGTCCGATGTCACCGTTTCTTTCACCGCGCGCGGTTGGGGAAGAGTTAGCGCAGCATCTCAAGTAGCTGATACCTTAAGGTGGCGATCACAGTGACGTTGCAAGCTAATTATTTGACCATGCCGCATGAGCCAGCTGATGGAGGAACAATTAAGCCGGTCCCCTAAGTTGTTTGGCACTTGAAAAGGCTCGCGTCAACACAATTAAGTGAAATGTGTCGCCTTCACACAATTTTTAAAGCGCATCTTGACTTCTCTTGGGTTAATGAGACACAAGGCTCGAGGTGAGGCGACCAGGGCAGACAGTGCTTCACGGAGTTGCCCTATCGTATCTGCTGCATGCCACCGTGCTAGCTCACGGAATTATTTCAAGTATGGTTCGGAACTGTAGGGTGTGGGCAATTAGTATAAATTGCATCTCGAATCGAATATAGTGCCAAATAGACGGCCAAAATTATCGAATCGACATGGGCGTGCACTGGGGCAGCGGTCGCCCTCTTTGCCACTTATATAAGAGCCAGGGAGGTGCGAAATCCGAATTCATACATTGAACTACAATTTGGAGTGGGGGTCACGAGGGGGTGCCCCCCCCCCCCGTACTACTGATGAGGAATCGTGCACGCGCCTACGCGAATTTAATAACAGATATTTCATCGAATGTTGAAGAAAGAAAACGAAGAAACTCATGAAATCTTCTCACATCATCGAGCATATTGCGGTAATTATAAGTGCACTGCAACCAAAACGCTACAAATTGGGATGCAGCAGCGCAAGTTGTCCACATGACCTGGCCTCTCGGCGTGACGTTTCGGTACGTGTTTCCTACAGGCAAAACATATATGGGCTCAACGTTTACTTCAGCAGGCATGAGAAGATATCGCAAAGCAATTTTGGTGATAATTGCATGAACAAGGTCCAGTTCCGTGCTCTCTTGTATGTCAAAGATCATCATACTTTCTTGGTATATCAGGGACTCGTTGAAGACAGACAGGCAAAGAACTTTACTCAGGTCCTGAGAAACTAACCGCGGGATAACCCGCTGGGACTCTCGGCCCGCCGCTGGCTGCTGCCATGTCGGAATCGGGAGGCTATGACTCTCCCCTCTTTCACAAGCCCTCTCAACAGGCGTTAAGAGGGCCCGTTATTCGGGCATGATCATTGAAGTGTGTGTTTTTTTAATTATCTGACTATACGGTTCAGTGTCCTGGTTATTTTTTCACTCGGGCAGTTCGACGGCCTCACTGACCGTGACCGATTATTATTAATTTGCTGGAGTTACGACTTGTGGAAATGGCATAGTCTTATTTAAAATAAATACGGGCTCGCTTTTAAACCAGCTGAAATAATATCTGTGAAAAAATAATGAAAGGTCGACTCTAACGTCATTAGTTTTAGCCACCTTGGCCTGTATCAATAGGAATAAGCTTTGCCGCGTTTTAGATATTCGTCCTGTGGAATCGTTCGAAACTAAGAATATTAGCTTAGCTATCCGAAAATCGAATCAATCGATTCGAATTAGAAACTCGAATACTAAGTAGTAATACCTGGGGTTTTAAGTCCCAGAGCCACGCTATGATTATGAGAGACGCCGTTATGGAGGGCTCCGGAAATTTCGACCATCATCGCTGTAACAATGTTGGCTCAAATGCAGCGTCCCCACGCGGCGCTGATAGAGCTGTGCGAGCCTGGCACAGCGGGGGGGGGGGGGGGGGGGGGTTAGAAACAATAAACAACAGTTCGTTCTGGGCTACGCGCTCAACATGTTCTGATGTTCTTCGCGGGCCTGATGGCCTACTGTTTACGGTATCACTACCGCCTGGCCATCCGTTAATCTACACATGTAACAACTGATCCCATTCTCGTCGCCAGTTGTTACATCCGTCTGCTGTGCGATTGTAACAATGCTGGCTCAAATGCAGCGCTCCCTCGCGGCGCAGATAGTTGTGTTTAGCTGTGCAAGCCAGGCACAGCGGGGGAGTGGCTGTTTAGAAACAAAAACAACAGTTCGTTCTGGGCGTAGGTGTTCTGTGGCTACGGGCTCAACATGTTCTGATGTTCTTCGCGGGCCTGATGGCCTACTGTTTACAATATCACTACCGCCTGGCCATCCGTTAATCTACTCATGTAACAACTGGCGACGAGAATGGGATCAGTTGTTACATGTGTAGATTAACGGATGGCCAGGCGGTAGTGATACCGTAAACAGTAGGCCATCAGGCCCGCGAAGAACATCGGAACATGTTGAGCCCGTAGCCCAGAGCGAACTGTTGTTTATTGTTTCCAAAACGGCCACCACCCCTGCAAGGCTGCACCCACGGAGGAAGGCTGCACCGCAAGGCTGCACCGCACTGTGCCAGGCTTGCACAGCACAACACAACTATTAGTGCCGCGTGGGGGCGCTGCATTTGAGCCAACATTGTTACAATCGCACAGCAGACGGGCTTCAACCATATGTCGCCTCCATCAATATATGCGACCGCTGTGGCCGGCATCGAACCCGCGACCCCCGGGTCAACAGCAGAGCTCCGTATCCTCGGCGGCGGACAGACTCGAATATTCGCACAGCGGCGCCATGTTCTTTCTTGATTTGAGTATTTTAAGCACTAAGTACATTTCTCGTGCCATGGCACTTCGGCACATGGCGGGAAAGTTGGCATGTGCATCAGACGCTTTTCGATGGCATGAAAGATATATTTACACAGAATCAGGCTTTTAAATCAGGTCTACGAATTACTATGTCTTTGTTTCAGCTGTAAACGTTTTTATTGAACCATGCATGTATATTGTTAGTATTTTTCCATTTCGTTATAGTGAGGATTTATATCTCACATTCGGCAGCTTTTTCATAAAACAGCCCGGCAATATAGTATACGTGCAGCCCCACTTCCAAATACGTCAATTTATATACATGTCAAAGCCGCACCATTACGGACGTTCGAATGTTGGTAAGCAAAGCTCTGCAATTCCTTGTTCCGGCCGTACTTGCTTGAGGGCTGAAATCTTGGTGTCGTCTGATCGCATGCTGAGAACTGCTGACGTATATCGTCATCACACCTCAGACGTTCAAGTTGCTCAAAGAAGAAAATCGGCTTGGTAGCGGAATGCACAATGTTTTTTTTTTTTTTGTTTTTTTAGCGCATAGCATACCGTAGAATTCCGAGTGCGCGCCCGGCCCGGCCCCTTCCCCTAGATTTTGGGGAGATGTGAAATAGGTGCGAATAACGAAGCTACCCCTTACCCCCACTTCCCCCTCTCTCATTTCTTGTCAACCTGTTCTCTGATACAAAATCTGCAACACATGTTTACACGAACCCAAGTTAATCCTGAGGGTCTCTTTAGATGTGTGCACTATTCAGTGTGGCGCGAAGCTGTATAACGAGTTGTCACACGTTGTTGGAATACTTAAAGAACTTCTTTCGCCCGTCACCGCGTGAAATCTCACACGGGGATTTCCGCCGGCTCAGTAGAAAGAGCACATGCATGTGTAATCAATACCTTATTTAATTAGACGGGTGTGCATCTTTAGATTGTTCCGCCGCCATAATGAGTTGGGTGACCGAGCAAGGGTCAGCTCCCTCCCAAGTCCAAATTTTGTCCGAGCGCGCTTGCTAGGAATATTACGGCGTAGTTACATTCTATAAAAATTATCGTACGAGACATCCATGACACTAGTTTTCAAGGTGCGAAATGCCTGTCTTAGCACACCCCGCATGGCTTGCCTAAACTCAACCCGATCGAAGATCGCATTTCGTCGCTGGCATCGTCCCATGTGTGATACGTGGCACGACGTCATTTCGTGGATGGTTTAGTTATCTAACACGCATGTACTGGACACACGGCCAGACAGAACTCGAAGGCAATAAACTTAACAATTAATGCGTACGAATCGCAGAACCAGCAGGTGACCCGCAATTAAAATTTAAAATTAGCGCTTCAATGCTGTGTACATCATTCATTGACGCTAGGGGGCAATAATGTCAAAATATGACGTCACGTTTTTGTTTTTTTGTTTTTTGCAATCATTGCAAAAAGTACGAGTGAACGTAATACATGCCTAAAATTAGTAAAATTAGCTTGATAAACAAAATAACAAACGTTCAAGCTTAACACACGAAGTTCTTGGTTTTATATTTCACAGGTTCCGCTTCCTTTATCCATCGCGTATGCTTTTGTTTTAATATTGATTTTCTTGCTTTTGCGCATTGTCAAGAGTTTCGCTGGCCTTCCACGTGGGCCAGCCGGACGCGTTGTCATATGTTGAATGAAAGTAAGTGACTAGCGTTCCGTAAACGTCACTGAAGTTAATCTCTGAAGTTAATCCTTAATTCATCCTGTGCGCGGTCGCGGGTACTAACCGCGTGCGAACTTTCGGAACCAGTTGCGACAAACGCGTCAGTATGGCCTCATCCAGCGAGAGAAAAGGAACTTTCAAAGTCCGAGCTCTTCAAGAGATCGAAGCCAGCGTACAGGCGAAATGGGAGGCCGAGAAAGTGTTCGAGGTAGACGCGGGCTGGTGATCAAGGCGACGGCAAGTTCTTCGTCACGTTTCCCTACCCGTACGTGAACGGGCGGCTACACCTGGGTCACTCGTTCTCGCTGTCAAAGTGCGAGTTCGCCGTCGGCTACCAGCGTCTGCTGGGCAAGAAATGCCTCTTTCCGTTCGGTTTTCACGCCACCGGAATGCCGATCAAGGCATGCGCCGACAAACTGGCGCGCGAGATGGAGGAGTACGGCTGCCCGCCCGTCTTTCCGGAGGACGACGCCGGCGACGAGGTCTCCAAGATGCCGCCGGCGACGCGGCATGAGGCCTTGCTCAAGAGCAAAGCCAAAGGAAAGAAGAGCAAGGCGGCCGCCAAGACCGTAGCGGCGAAGTACCAGTGGCAGATCATGCAGTCGCTGGGACTTTCGGACGCCGAAATCGCCAAGTTCGCCTGACGCCGGATACTGGCTTCACTACTTCCCGCCCATAATCCGCGAAGACCTGAAAAGGATGGGCCTCAAGGCGGACTGGAGGCGTTCTTTCGTCACGACGGACGTGAACCCGTACTACGATTCGTTCGTCCGTTGGCAGTTCCTCCGGCTGAAGGAGAGGCAGCGCATCAAGTTCGGCAAGCGCTACACCATCTTCTCGCCCAAGGTCAACCAGCCCTGCATGGACCACGACCGAGCGCGGGGGAAGGTGTTGGACCGCAGGAGTACCTTCTAGTTAAAATGAAGGCTGTCGAACCTCTACCGCAAGCCCTGAAGACGTTGCAGGGCCGCAATGTGTTCCTGGTCGCAGCCACTCTACGGCCGGAGACGATGTACGGGCAGACCAACTGCTGGGTTCGACCAGATATGGATTACGTGGCGTTCGAGCTCAAGAACGGCGACGTTTTCGTTTGCACGTACCGGGCCGCTCTCAACATGAGCTACCAGGGCTTCACGGCCGACAACGGCAAAATCAAAGTCCTCATCAACCTCAAGGGCCAGGATCTAATTGGTCTTGGGTTGTCTTCAGCCGCTGACCTGCCACAAAATAATTTACACACTTCCCATGCTCAACATCAAGGAAGACAAGGGAACGGGGGTGGTGACGTCGGTGCCTTCGGATTCTCCGGACGATTACGCCACCTTGCGTGACTTGAAGAACAAGGAACTCCTGCGGCAGAAGTATGGCGTTGCTGACAACATGGTACTGCCGTTTGATCCAGTTCCCATTGTAGAGGTGCCTGGCTATGGCTCGCTCTCGGCCGTTGCGGTCTGCGACGAATTAAAAATCCAAAGCCAGAACGATCGCGACAAGCTTCAGGAAGCAAAGGAGAAGATCTACCTCAAGGGCTTCTACGAAGGTGTGCTCCTGGTGGGACCGTATAAAGGAAAAAAGATTCAAGATGTCAAGAAGGACATCCAAAAAGGTATGGTCGACGAGGGCAAAGCGGTCGTGTACATGGAGCCTGAGAAAAAGGTGATTGCGCGCTCAGGTGACGAGTGCGTCGTGGCACTGTGTGACCAGTGGTACCTCGACTATGGCGACCCCAAGTGGAAGGACATGGCGAAAACTTCCCTGTCCAAGATGGAGACATACTCTGAGGAAGTTCGCAAGAACTTTCTGGCCACCCTAGACTGGCTCTGCGAGCATGCATGTTCGAGAACTTATGGTCTCGGTACCAAGCTGCCATGGGACGAATCGTGGCTGATAGAGTCACTGTCTGACTCCACAATCTACATGGCTTACTACACAGTCGCTCACTACCTCCAGTGTGGCGACCTCATGGGTGGATCGGGTTGTCCTCCATATTTCATCAGGCCCGAAGATATGACGCCAGAAGCCTGGGACTACTTGTTTCTCAACGTTGCCAGTAAGACCAAGCTTCAGAAGAAAGATGCCCTCGATGCCATGAAGAAGGAGTTTGAATTCTGGTATCCCATGGACCTGCGCTGCTCTGGCAAAGACTTGATACCAAACCACTTGTCTTACTGCATATTTAACCATTGTGCCATGTGGCCCGAAAACCCTGAGAAGTGGGTTCTCGGCATGCGTGCCAATGGACACCTGTTGCTAAATTCTGAGAAGATGTCTAAATCTACAGGGAACTTCCTCACCCTTGCAGATGCGTTGGACAAGTTTTCGGCTGATGGAATGAGGCTGGCTCTAGCGGACGCTGGGGACGGCATTGAAGATGCAAATTTCGTTGAGACCATGGCAGATGCTGGAATCTTACGTCTGTACACGTTCCTTGAGTGGGTGAAAGAGATGCTTGCCTCACTGTCTTCACTGCGCACAGGCCCAACAGACAGCTATGTAGACCGAGCTTTCGAAGCCGACATGAGCCATGGTGTCTTGACAACCAAGGAACACTACGACCAAATGATGTTTAAGGAAGCTTTAAGGACAGGCTTTTTTGAATTCCAGGCTGCCAGAGACAAGTATCGTGAGCTGTGTGTGTTGAGAGGAATGCACAGAGACCTTATCTTGAAGTTCATCGAAATGCAGGCTGTCATCCTGAGCCCTATATGTCCACACATCTGCGAGCATGTGTGGTCTATGCTCGGAAAAAAGAAGAGCATTATGCACACCAGATGGCCCGTCGTCACTGCGCCCGACGAAACTCTCTTGAAGTCATCGCAGTACCTAATGGACTCCGTGCATGATTTCAGGCTGCGACTAAAGGCATTTCGCACTGCTGGAAGCAAGTGTAGCAAGAAGAAAGACCTCTCGATGCACCCTCCGGGACCCCAGATGGTTCGGGCAACAATATGGGTAGCCAAGACTTTCCCTCCGTGGCAGCTGACAATTCTAACCACACTCAAGCAACTCTTCCAGAAGCACAATGGTCTTCCAGACAACAAGGTCGTCTCGGCGCAGCTCAAGGACAAGCCCGAGCTAAAGAAGCACATGAAAAAGGTGATGCCATTCGCGCAGGCAGTGCGGGAGAAGGTTGAGAAGCTCGGTATCGGCGCTCTCAATGTGAGTCTCGACTTCGACGAGCGGGAGGTGCTCTTGGAGAACTCGAGGTACATTCTCAACACGCTAGAAGTAGACGACATTGAAGTCAAGTTCAGTGACGACCCGACGGCCGAGGAGGTCATCCGGGAAGAGTGCTGTCCCGGTCAGCCGCGCGCGGTGTTTTGCAGTGACACCTTCGTCAACGTCTGCTGCATCAACCAGCAGCAGTCGTCCGGCTGCTTCGAGGTGCAGGTTCCTGTGCTTGACGGAGACAGCGCATCCAAGGTGTTGGCGCGGTTGGGTAGAATGAGCGGTCATGTTAGTTTCGACGGCCTTCCTGTAAAGCTCCTCAGGTACGAAGATCCGACGATGGGCCCACGGAAGATTCCAACTCTCGATTGTGAGGAAACTGGCAAGGTTGTCGTTCCCAACGAGGCTATCTTTCGCATCAAGGCCGACAAGAGTGGCGTAGAGGTTGAACTGGACGGTACTAGAGTGGATGTGGGAAGCCAAATGTCGTATATTATTGTGCCTCAAGTTTGATGCAGCTGCTGTGATGTGTTACCTCCAGAACCATTTAATAAAATGGTTTCTGTGCACATTTATGAGTGTTTATGCTGTAGAAGGACGTACATCGTTGTGTAGCTTAAATGGCTCCGTTATGTACCGTTCAGTAACGGCACTATGTAAGGCTGCTGTACAATTAACAGGCAGGTCTATTGTTAATTGTGGTACTGGTAAATAAATAAAATGAAGGATCAGATTTATTCATTCAGTGCTTTTGACACAATGTTAATGGGCCAAAGAATTATGTGGTATCACGATAGCAATTAGGAGACTCCAGACATACTTATGCCTTTGCCTTTAGCGTGAGGTTCTCTATAATGACCAAATTGATAACATCACCCTGCACGATATGTTTGATGTATGAAGGCAGCTGACGAATGCAGCTCAAGCAGAAAAAATGTGCTGGCTTTCTCATCGTCATGTGAAAGGCAGCATGGGTGGTTGTGGGAGTAAGGGGGTCCTGGATGTGGGAGAGATACACCACTCCAGCAGTAACATAGCACTTTATTAGCTCGGTGCAATTGCACGTTCCCTCATCTTAAGAGGGATCAGCAAACAGCTTATACCTTCGTGCACGCTCTGTAGTTGGTGTTCGAAGGAAAAGGTAGCACGAAGGTCACTTTGCTTCTTGTAGCATCTGCGTTCCTTTTAGCATGTGTTTTGGTGAGAGAAGACAAATTGGATTCTAAAGAGCTGGCTACTAGCATCACTTCATATAACACTGTATTTTGTTGCTCCTGCATTTGTTGCTTTGCCCTTGCAGTGAAAGTGACTTTTTCGATAAGCAGCAGTGTATTCCTTTACCTTTGCATAGGAAATGTATAATCCTTTGCGACATAGTGTGTACATTTGTAAATGCGGCTTACTTCTGCTATTTCTGTGCATTAGTGGCACTAAAGAGGCAACAAGTGCCAAGTTATTGGTAAATTATACATTTTTGTTGCCGAATGTTGTGATATATTCTGGGTGAAATAATTTGCGACACTAGGGACGCACTGTCTTAATGAACGAGACACTTGATGTGGGACGTTTCGGCATAAATACATATTTATGTAAGGCAAGAAACAGCGCGAACTACAGGATGAAACAGAGGCAGATAAAGCAGACTCTTAATATTTTTTGGGAATGCTTGGCATCAGCAGATAATTAGTGGATGTCATTCTTGTAGGCAATCAAATTTCTCTCACAAATAAATGTAGAATAATTAACTGTACAATGATAAGATAATTATGTTGAAATGGCAGTCATTTGCTACGAAGTCAGTATAGGTTAGTGAAACGAAAGTTGAAGTATTTAAAGTCTCCATAATCTTTGTATTGAATTGAAGAAATTTCACGCATTTAGTACGGTCGATCATAATACAGTGTTGCAAAGGGATAAATATTTGTAGAGAAGATGTAGCGCTACTAGAACTGGTGCACCTAGGATCAGAATGCATAAAAATATAAAATGGAAACGACATGACACATTTGTTTCAACCGCATAGCTTTTATTTGAAATTAGCCCTTCCAGGTATGACTAGTACAGAGACGTCCACCGCTGGCCGATGGAAGGTGGAGCCTTGAACGTATAGCCAATGTTCTGTTACGAGATATACTGTATCGTACCAAGTGCACACAACTGAATGTAAGCAAGGGTTTTGATCACGCATTGCACGTATGAGACGAGCTCTTTTCTCTATCAAAAGAACATTATGAAACAAAAACAAATACTAAAAGCCACACACATACTACTACTCGTCATACCTAAAAACAAAACTGAAGGACTGCACCTTTCGTTGGACAACCTAGAAACTACTTTGTACAAGTATAGCATCACAGAAGAACCAATCGCGCAACGGGCTAAACTTCTTTCTCTTCCGAAACAACTGTACAAAATACCCCACCGACGCTTGAGTCTTGAAACAGCAAAATCAGCAAAGGTTCTCTGCTCACATTTGGGAACCTAGAATACTTAAAACTCGCAGTAAACAAAAAAAAAAAGAACAACAAATGGCAAAGGGGGGTTGCCAAGAGAGCATTGTAGTTAGGATCATAACTGCTTACTTTGTGTCGCATGGTCTCTAAGAAGTTGCAAGAATCACTTTCTCTTAGTACCCCATAAATTCTACAGCAGCTTCCTTTTGAATGCTCTTTTTTTTTTTATGGCACTGATGACAACAGTGTTGCGAGAACTTTCTAGTTTCTTTTCGTGTAGAATAAAAGCCTTGCTGCCGCGAAAGATACGCCAAGCCGAGGGTGGTTTAAATGTAGAATGCTTAAATGCTACCGTTACTTCAGTCGAGTTGCGTGTGCCCACGACGTTTCCGGAGGCACTCGCGACGTGAGGAGATTTTGATCGCAGTAACTACGGAGCGGCTGCATTAAGAGCTTTGGTCATCACCGCGGCCGGCACAAATGCGAACGGATCCGGCCAATAGTAACAAGGCAACAACTGGCAACAGTCCGTTAACGGAGAGGACGTGGCTCGCTTGTCTTGGAATGCTGTCGTCTCTATGTAAGGAGCGCAGTGACACTCGGACACATCGGTTTGCAGCCACGGTCTCGAAGCCACTGCACTTTTCTTTTTTTATTCCCCTCTCACAATCCATAGAAGTCCATCAGCAGGTAAACGACGAAGATCACTCCGACAAGAACAATGAGCAGGCGTGCAACTTCCATAGTGGCTGTGGAGGGAAAAAAAAAAGAAGAGAAATGAGTACGAGATGTTACTGTAGTTGTGACACCAGCAGAATACCACAAAGTAGCACCTGCCTCGTAAACACAACATTGCTTTGAAACGCTACGATGCCATCGTCAAATCGCCAAACTTTGTCACCCAATTCGAAACTCTGCAGCAACTTAGTAATGTGTAGTCTAACATTAACACGCCAGAATCAACCTGTGTTTTTAGGGACAGAAGAAGCATAAACAAGAACGATGAAATGCAACACATCTTACAAATGACAACATGCATGTATCATGTATCACCAACTCGGCCAATTAATCATATTTAAAACATGCGAGTATAATTTTGCACTGTTGCTGATGATAGTACACCAGACTTGCGATGATTCAAACTCTGCTAATTCATACTTTTGGTTAATCCAAACAAAATTCAATTTTTTGCTTGGCTCTCTATTCTCTGTGCGTATTTAAAAGCCTTAGCAACCTTAATTAAAACTTCATCATTTGGTCAATTCATACTTTTTGACCTTCCGAACCAGAAAATATCTGCTGCTTTCCCACTACTATTTAAAAACTTGCGTGTTTGTATTCTTAACAGTCTAAAAATGAAAACCACCTCAGGCTTTCAGGAAGAAAGGTTTTGCTAGTAAACAAATGGTTGAAACAAAGCATGCGCAGGGTAAACTCTGATGCTTCTCAAACGATATAGTAGAGAGCTTTGCACTGAAGGCACATATAGCAAGGAAGCAGTTTGCAATTCACGATTTCTTTAAAAGGTCTGATCAGAAGTAAATGGCCAATAAACTTGTAGACCTTACACCTTTGCATTTTGTTCATTGTGTGCAGTTAAGAGCTTAAAAACGTTAAAACAATTTTAAATGTGATAAAATAAATGCCTAATCATAATGTGTGGTGTCGCCTCACCCAGAGTCGTATATCTGAGAACTTCTGATAATTAAAACTTCTTAATAATTCAAACAAAATTCTGAGCTTCCATTGATTTTAAATTAATGAGAGTCGACTGTATAAGCTTCAATCATCTTGGGTATGAAAGGTACAGTAACGAATTTTAGTCAGTCGTAATCTGTCTGATTTGCCTAACGTACGATGTAGCATAGCAACACAGTGTGCCCAATGCTTTCTGTAAGAGAAGGGAGTAAAATGTCACAAGAGGGAACCGCGTGGCATCAGCTGAGGCTTGTTTGACAATCAAATGTGGGAATAGCAACCAGAAACGGCAGTTCTGTCAATTGTCTTGGTCAAGATCGGGCACAGAACGGACGGAGGCACCGTTTTGTCTGACAACAGATGTGTAATGGTCTCTGGACAACTTGAGTTGGATCAAAACATACACTTTACGGTTGGAATAACGAATCGGCTTGCTTTGTGTCTGGCTCACCCCAATCTCGCACTGATAGTTTGCAAAAATTGCAACCCGTCTTTCACCACCGAACGTCTAGTGGAGTTACGACATCACCTAGTGCCCAATCAAGGCTTCAACACGATAAATTATTCAAATCATTGCACTCTTCAATTTAAAGCTTTGAAAAACAATGCCTGCCAATTATAATAACTCACTATTTCTAGATGCATTGAAAACACTTCTGAATTCTCCTGGCTACCTCTGGTCCTCCCGTGATGTTTCATTCCATTCTGTCACAGAATGCATTCAAAATAGCCCGGCAGAATAGCACACTTTCGGAATGTAAATTCGGTGCACAGCAGCATTTCTGCTGAAAGCATGGGACAAGTGTCTTCAAAGAGCAAATGATCTACATAGCAATGTGTTTGTAAACCGAATACATAGGGTAATGCACACAAAAAGAGTCAATGACCAAAAGGAGGGCCCCCTACTGACGTCAAGTGTGCTTTGCGAGTGTGATGCTGCAAGATACTCCGAGGGAACTAATGGTGACCCTGTTCGCCGAAAATGATAACTAACCGAGTTAACAAGGTTGACTGTAAAATCCAGAGCAAGTGCCTAGCCTAAGATAAATAATCTAATATTCATCTTTGCTTAATCGTAAAGTGAAATATAAATTAAGGTGCACGTTGCGGAAGCCCAGGCGATCGTAATTCTCGGAGCCCTCCACTACAGCATGTCTTACAATCATATCGTGATATGGAGCATGAAACTCAAACAATTATTATATGGAGCAAAGTTCAATATGACGGCGGGACATTGGTGACCAAATTATAACCGGCACAGCCCTTTTATTACATGAAGGTTTTGTTTAGCATGCACTTGCAGTATTACCTTGATGACTTGGAAAATTGTAGGATGGGGACTCATTCTAATGTTCCAGCAAATGCACGCGTTGTCAATCAGTGCAAAACCCCGTTACATCCGTCGTTCATCGCCGCACCCCTCTTGAATCGCTGCGCGCTCTGCAAATACGCAAGGGAAACGCCCAACGGTTCGTCACAACGCAACTCACTTGGGTACGGTATGTGATGCGCAACGATGTGATTGTCCACCGATATGCTGATGAGGGATGCATCGTAGTTGCCTGCGAGGCGGCGTGTCTCGTCGCACGACTTGAGGAACTCCAGTCCGGTGACAAATATGTTGTGAGCGTGCTCGGCCCGGTACAGTCTCTGTTTTTGAAGAAAGAACAAAAACGAGATGGGGCCTTAAAGCGAGTATGCCAACCTGTGACATTCACGGGAAAGTTTACCAACCACTGCCACAGAGATTTGTTGTTCAAGGTACAAGTAAGGTAGAATCTTGTTGAACACGTTCTCAAGGTACTGCAAAAATGTGTTCCAATGAATAGCAGTTCTGTTTATAGAGGGACACCGGAGCAGTTGCAGTACCATCTTCTGGGGGGGAGGGGACAAAAAAAGCTCTTACGGCTTAACTGGATGGTTGTATATTAATGCGCAGTTGTGCATGAAGAGTTTGGTCACACTTTATTAAACATGGCTTTTAATATACACTCAAACCTCGATCTAGTGAATTCAGATATAATGAATTACTGGTTATAACAAAGTAAGTGACCAATAGCTTTGCCATAGATGCAGTGGTAAAGATAATTGTTTATAAAGAATTTTCAGATATAACGGAGTAATTTCGTGGCAAATGTGACTTCGTTATAGTTGGGTTTGAGTGTGGCAGACAAATGCTAGAAGAATAAATTTCAGATTGTTCCGCTTGGTCTCTGAAGTTCCATTTACAGATAGTTGTGAAAACATTTGGTTGAGATTAGCGAAAGCTATTTTCGCATTACCCCAGTATAAAACCAACCAATTTGAGACTGTTGTTCTGAGATTTCCATCATCAATTGAGATTGTACCGTGTGACATAAATACAGTTATGTAGGATAAGCGAATAGGGCCCCTGTCCTGTGAAGCTCCAACCGTGAAAAGCATTCCACTCACCTGAAGACTGAAGGCAATGTATACTTCAACCGCACCAGACAGGTGGCCGACGCCCAGGAAGCGGCCATCCTCGCTGCAAGAAAACTCTCAAAATCAGCATTGCCAACATGCACAGTGTATGAGCTAAATGGGTAGCCGTGCAGCACTTCACATATTGTAACCGTGAGAGACACTGTGATTCAAAGGGACCGACAACCAATTTTTAAGTGCCTATTTCCTTAGCACAATGGAAAGCTTACCGGTGCGTGAGTTTAATCACAGATTAGTAAAGTGGAAAACGGTGCAAAACATTTGCAATAAGAATTTTTCTGACCGCAGTGAATATGAAGTCGTATACTCACACGCTGCAAACAGTGAACACGAGAGCAGTTCCTGTTCGAGCGCTGTGGCTTATTGTGCACGCGTGCACTTCGCGTGCATGTGCCGCGGCTCGACTTGGTCCACTGGCGGCTGCGATGGCAATGCCGCTTGTCACCGTGCAACTCCTTTTACCTTATAAGCAGTGCAAAATTGAGCGGGGCCAAACCGTAATAGTATACATATTCTAATTTGGAGGACTGGAGCACATGACAGCCTCAGGCTAAGAAAGGGAAAGACAGGAAAGCATCAGGCTACGTGACAACATACAGCAAAATGATGGACTCCATATTCCATTATCCATCTTTTGGTTGAAGGTTAAAAACCTGGAGGCACTGCGACCAGACGGGCTTCCGTCAAACTTTAATCCACCTTTTGAAGATATTCTGCTAGGCTGCGCGGCATAATAGTTTTTGTAATTTTTAAGTATGACTTAAAAATATAAGTCCCAGCCACAACCCGAAAAAAATTCTGGAATCTGTCAGTATATTGCATAGTCTTTTCATTTCTACTAGCATCTAACCACACATTTACATAACCGATCCCTTTACTTCTTTATGGTCAGAAACTTTCATACACACTATCTGGTTATGTATTCTGGTCAGAAAACATTACACCAGTTTTCAGCACCATTAAAGAAATGCAAGCGTGAAAGTACACAGATGTTTCTTTTTGCAGTTAATTTTGGGCCTAGGTCCCTCAGCGACACTGGGGCAGTGTGTGGTGCCTGACAGCAGGCCACTTCAGCCATATTGGGTTGTTGGAAGGGGCCCAACAATTGGACTTAAAGGGTTAGAACATAAAATTCCTGATCAATATTGGTGAAATTTACACCCTACATGTGTACTACTGTACTGATATCAAAGACGCACTTATTGTTTTTAGTACAGCTTGTAGTTCCTAGAATATCAAACACTTCATGTGCTCTGTTAGGAGCAAGATATCTTTCCAAACCGAGTTGAACAAATCTGAAATAAAAACTGTGTGCAATAAAACAAGAATGGATGCTCTAAACCCACTTGAACAAAAAGTTACAGCACATTAAACATTTGATCCTTGTGCAGTCACAAACAAGTTGGCAAAGTTTAGCACGTTTGGTCGAACACTTATTTTATAATCGAATATTTTTAAGAACATGCAAGCAACCTGAGAGTCGGGCAATACTGGTGTACTTGCAAGCTGTGACGTAGCAACCTGCTTGTTGTGTGAGCGTCTGCGTTTCGGTGAATGAGTTTGTTCCATGCTCAGATGTGTATTCAATCTGTGTATTTGAGATTTGTTCAGCGTGGAATTGAAATTGACCGATTTGTAATGGCTGAAGCTTTCGTAGAAAACATGGAGGAAGGAAACAACTGAGAAGAGGTCATGAAGTCATTCGTTCTGAAGCCGTGGTCAAGCCAGAAGTTGGCCATATTGACTAGGCAAATTCTCCTCTCTTGTTAGCAATCGAACGTGAAGCAGAAGGTGCGAATTTCTCTCTGGCTCGAAAAGCAGGTGGGCTGCACGGCACGCCTGCTTGTGGCGATCTGAAACCAACGGAATGGGGCTCGACACGTTGGGCCAGGGCGATACCGTTGGTGAAATTATTTCGTCCGAGTTTTGAACGGCGAGTAACAGCTCGCCGATAAGGAAGCAAGCGCAAGAGAACACGTGCTCGGCACACTGACTACAGCAAGTGCGGTGCCAATGTTTTCACGACATTTATATTCACGCAATGTACAGACAACACGATCGGCCGTGCGCCGCCCTTCTACGGTTGCGTTCCGTCTCTCACGCGGCCGACGCAGCGCCCGGTCACTGTGCCCGTGTAAAAACTCACCTGCGTCAGCATCGGGCAACCGCGCTGACCTTGTGCGTGGTGCTAGGGGCACTCGAACATGACTGTTCTAATGCCGAAAAGGCAAGCATAGCATGTAAAACAGAAAAGGTGTTTCAATACGCACATGCAAGTTGTTACTGAACACATATCGAACACAAAACTACATATGTGCACCTGACGTCCTCAGCACAAATGTTTCGTTTGTTGTCACAAGCAGGAACACTGCACAACTATCACTGACCTGCAAGGCGCTCGGCACAGTTCCGTGTTGTCATGGTGACCGAGCGCAATTTCGCTGGGCACTTCAACTACTTCATCCGCACATGGATATACGCGCTCATTCTACGCACTGTTGAGGCCTCGTGGCCACGCTTGTGGCTGACAACAGGTTTTGTAAATGTTGCAAAGAGTACAATAACCGCCGGGAGAACACTGCGTAGCTAACAACGCGGCAAAAAGCACGGATGTTCTCTGCTACGGGTCTGTACGAGACCTATAGAGGCCCACCTGTCACCACCGAGCTGCCACCGCTCAGTGCTGGACCTGCTACACTGCGCAACACATAACCAAAGCAACGCCGCCATTGTGCCTAGTAGAAATGGCCGCCAAGACGTCATTTTCTCCAGACTTTTCCCGTAGTGCGCCGACTGGGCATGCCCTATCCTCTCGTTCCTTCATCTGTGGGTTGAAAACAAGACATCTACTTTACGCAGCACATGATGTCACACTGCCATGGAAAAATGGCAGTCACCAAGGGTGGGAGGCATTTAGAGCTCGTAAGTTCCAAAACTTATTCTGGCCTGAAATACTCATTTAGATTTCATTTCTCACATACGCATAAGCACAAAAGACCCTTAACTTCTATTCTTAGCTGAAAAACGCAAATTCTTGGGTGATCATGTGATGGCCCCTTTCAAGTGACGCCAAAGAGACTCCCACGTCTGGCAGTCATGTCGATCGCCAGTCTCACCTGACAGCTAACGATGACAGGACGTCTGTGCCCATGGGCTGGGTTTTCTCAGGAGCCTGTCTCCGCAAATCCCACTTTGTCAGGTAGCAACGCGAGGCAGGCTTCTTCCGCACCAGAGGGTTCGATATCGTGAACAGGCGGTAATTGCTCTTGTCTCCCTCGACGATGCCGAACCTGGGCACGTCACAACACATGAGATACGCGCATTAGCGCTCGGCCGTGTCCTTCAGTTATGCAAGTGCAAACAGAAGTTAGATGAAAATCAATCAATCAATCAATGTTCACAGAGGTGATACCATGTTTACTCGAGAGACTTGCACATAAATGACAAAAGAGGCTTCACACGTTACAACTCTAACGGTAGCAAACCACACGACTACTACTAGAACCATGCATGTAGATTTACAAGGTACATAATGGTACATACTAAATCCAGGATAATCATAAGCTGTAGTTCCATGTTCTGCTTGCTATAGTCAGTAAAACTGAACTCTTCATTTATCAATTCAAACAGTTAAATTCCTATTTGACAAAGCATTCATTGACAGTATCTCTGCATTTCAAAGGAGCCTAAATATCCCCCTCAGCAGCGGTGTGTGCAACTGTAAAGATAAACTACGGAGGCGCATCACACATTGAATGTTTGTTCAAATGGCTTGAAACACATTGTGCACACTTGTAAATGCCTCTCGAGTGCACAAATAGCGACCATTTAACTTCATTCTGCTGTGTATTGCTGCAGAAGATCACTTTGCTAGCCAAACTACCATGCTCGATATGTTCGACATGCCCCGCTCCTAGACGAAAAAATACAACAGAAACTGGGCATGCATTATGAGCGTAATACTTCATTCTTTTTATGCAAGAGCTGAAGCTGACTGGTTGCAGAATAATTATATGTTTAATTACATGCTAATAAATACTAATTCGTGAAAGTTGGGCAGAACAGTGCATTGCCTCCTTTTTTTTTTGGGAAAGGGGGGGTTGTAGTACTGTGTGTCTTGGATTAATGCTATATGAATATGATGGAATTTCGTACACCCCATCATAATACGGGCCTGAAGTGGTTATGAAAGTTGGCGTCTGTCTCCGAAGACAGCCCGATTTCAAATCATTTCTACGTCTGAAGATAAAAGAGGCATAGTTTTCATAATACGTACACATAAAAATTAAGAATCGCACAGTGACTGAGTTTGTGGTTATTTGTTTGGAAGAAATTCAGTTGAAACTTGGAACAGTAAAAGCTTGTTAATTCGCACTTCACAGGACAGGAAAAAAAGTTCGAATTAAATGAACTCCGAATTAACAAGAATATTAGGCCACTATGATTAAATAAATGTATATTATTTACTAATAATAAATGTCTATTATTACATTAAGACACTAACTTTTTCAGTGAATACTAAAATCCAGAACTTATATTGCATGAAAAAAGCATAAAAGCCGCAGTTTTCCGCATCCGATGGTTTCTTTCACAATGCGACTGCGGGGCAAGGCCCTCATGTTTTAATTAGCCCGAAACGTGCTTTGCAGATCTGCCTTATTACGTACTGCCACCGCCACCATGCGCACGCGATGATACATTTTTTTCGACAGCAAACTGAAAAAGTGGGCCGCAGCTGCTGAAACCTTGGTCGCCAAGAACAAGATTGTGGATGGTGAGCATGCCTTTTGAACACCCACGATTAACGAGGTGTCATACACGTTAGAAAATGAAAATAGGCATGAAGTGGTCTGGCTTTTCTGTCGTTACAGTATCACACTCTAGATAGTTTCCGTGCGGTTTGCAGTGTTGACGATGGCAATATGGACTGCGCCGCTTCCTTTCGGTAGGCTACGAACGTCATTTTCACTCTTTTGTGCTGTGCATTTGCGGCACTTAGCACTCAGTGCTCTCGCAGAATAGTCCGAATTAATCAAAGAGCGACCAAATATGTCCGAATTAATGAGCTTGATACCATTAAACAATGCATACACTAGCTGTGACCAGAGAATATGGCTGCATTATTCGATTTGTCAAATTGATGAGGGTCAAATTAATGTAGTTTTATACCATAACAAACAGAGATACAATATATTCCAAATATAATAAAGCGCGAATCTGAAATGCTTTGACTGCATGCATGATACGAATTTATACAGTGAAGACACAGCATACCTGCACGCTCTGAAGATGTACCTCTCAGAGCTGTTGCCAGGTGGGACAAAGGTCAGCTCGCACACCTGCTTGCCATTCAGGGCGTCCCAGACGTAGCCGTGGCCGTCACGAGACACTGTTACCACCTAGTGGGGAAAAAAATAAAATCGTTATGCCCAGCATCTACTCTAGTTCTACCGTCTGCAGGAATCGAGAGCACCCTCCCCTATGGCATTTGTTTCCACAGCTACTCACTGTGGTGACGTCACCACAGAACTCACTGTGGTGACGTCATCGTCACCACAGTGAGTTCTGGGGCAGAGAGAGCACAATGCACCCATTTGTGACAATCGTCGAATTGACAATATGTGGCAATCTGCCGACAGGCGCTTACAAGTCTGACAGAGAAGCTTAATATTTATTACTAGAGCACTAATCTAACCTTATTTTCATCTGGTGAGATGCACAGGTCGTCGAGCTCGTCGTCGTGGGCTTGGATCTTGTATATCAACTTGTACTGGGGATACTGAAACGAGAGAAAGGGAGATTGAAGTAAAAGTGACTATCACCAGTTTCCGAATATTCGGAGAGAATTAAAAGAGATCGAATCCACGACAAGTAATTTTCTGTTGAAAGGTCAGCATAGGTGAAATGAGCAAAGGATTCAACTATGTATGATGCCTTCAAAGTAAACATGATTGTGATCACCTTGCACAAACTGTTACATGTTTCATGACGAAATAGTACAGTTGTGTTGAGCATTGCTCTTCTAAATGTCACTAAAATGTTTGCTTTTTTTTCCAAAGAGCACTGTATCTGATTGCAAATGGTAGAGGAAGCAGCCAATTGGCTATGCCAAGAGAGGTTGTGGCACGTAAAGACATGTATTGTACTCAGAATCTTCTAAATAATAAGTAGGCTAGTTAGTTTGTCCAATTTTGAAGATTCTTTTTTTTAAAGCAGGCAGTTACAGTGGTAAAATCCACACTTCAGCAACTTCTGCTGGTGACGCTATGGGTTGATAAAACTTGAAACCACTACAGTAGAATCCAGATATTGTATTTCCTTACAAAGCAAAACGCTGAAAATCTGGCAATCAGACTTACTACATTCACTCAACTATCACCAGCAAGACATTTAATGCCATTAAAGGTGTACTGACATGAAAAACTTTCCACAGCCGTTTTTCTACACCGAATGAAAGGCTAAATCACCAGAAAATCAGAGAATGTGCTGGTGCGAGAGTGAGCCCTGAAAAGTTAATTACACCACGTTTTTAAAAGCTACGTATTACGGATGTTACTGTACCCCGACTTCGTAACACTGGATGAGCTTGCACAAGGATATCATGCTGTTTCCATGGCTGCAGTGCCCTGTGGCCGAGTTGGTGGCGCACAACAGCCATTTTGCATTTTTCGGAACCTGATGTCGGCACAACCAATGATACCGGTGCATGTAGTCACCAAAATCAGTACTTTAGCCTGATGACACACTAGTGCCAACACCATTAGGTTTCTTATGTGATGACTGGCTTCAAGATAAAAATAAAATGTCTTTTAAGCATTTACTGAGCTTCACACTAGCTCAGAGCCGCCTCTGCACACAGACGACTGTATGGCACAGTAGGCTCAGCTTCGAGAAATTGGTATCACTAGACTCACTACCTTACCCCTTCAACACTTTGTGGTTTTTTGATGGGTTCCACCCAACAATGCAACACCGTGCCAGACATTCGTGGTAGGGCACTGCTGGATAAATTCTTTCGTGGTTAATTTACGTGCGTGTTTTTTCACTCATAATGGACCATTTGTAAACCACTATGTAAAATTGCACATGAATTTTGAGCCTCTTAGTTTTGGACTGGAATGAACGGAAGCTGGAAAAATCTGCCAAGGGTTAAAAAGATATGCCTAAAGCGGCAGTTCTTCACTTAATGGCTAGTAAAGTGCATCCTCAAACATTGTCAACAACCTTGCCTGTGAGGCACTGGGTCCTTACGTAGCTCCTCTACTGTGAAACTACGTCCCACTGACCTTCCAGGCTCGAAGGAAGCCGTCCGCACCACCTGTGAACAGAACCTCTGTTTCCGGCGCGAATCGCACCACTTTCTGGAACGGCTCCTGCTTCGTGGAGAAGTCCGTCCGGAAGCTGGTGTCCGGGCGAATGGAGAAGCCAATCCGGACGCTGTTGGCATTCGTGTCCGGCTTTGCCTTGGCTGAGTCACCGATTTCGTGCGCCACGCCATTGGCAGTGCCATTCTCCACTTTGCCATCCGGTCCTGTCGCCCTCGCCGTGGTCCTTGGAGGCCGACTCCGACCGTCGCCGCCGCCGCAGAGCTGATGACGAGCCTCTTCGGTCTGCTGCCAATATGTCGTAAGTGGGAGCGTGCAAAAGCCATTTTTGAGATGTAGTTCATTATGTAGCAAGTTTACCAGCATCTGCTGTGAGGCTAGTTGGTACATAGCTGAAGTTGAACTTGACTGGCGCAATTACTCAGACAAGGGCGAAGAACACGGGATGGGGACAAATGCACACTCACAACTAAATTTCATTCTTCCGACAGCTCAGCTTCGCAACCCTCAAGCATGTGTATGAGACCAAAGAAAATAATGACATTGTTCGTAAAAACAACAATGAGCACACAACTCGTATTATGCATGAAATTACGCTCAGCTGCGACAAGGCTAACAATAATAATATCTGGTGTTTTACATCCCAAAAATAACATGTCATTGTGAGAGCATTGGCAAGCTCCGGCAATTTCGACAGTCTGGTGTTCTTTAATTCTTTCATGCGGAGAACTCCACTTGGGGAAACAGAGTTCTACTGAAAAAAATGGCATCTTTAGTTCAAAAATAAGAGGTGGCCACCTGAGGTGACCACCTGAGGTGACCACCAGGCTGTAAGGGTCTACTGGTCCCTTTCGGCGAAAGTACAGCTCTCATTTTTATAGTCTACTTAGCGTCAACTATTCACAAAACATGTTTTACTGCACTATGAACATAGTAGGAACAGCACATACTTATATCTATATATATTTTTATATCTATAAAGATATCTCAGGTCCATTGTCCAGTGTGCCTTGACGATGACAACAGCCAAAAAGAAAGCAAAACATAACATGTCACATCAAAGCCGGAAGGAAGTAGCATCACGCCTGTCAGACTGCCAAATGCTTCAAAGTATGTGCCATTTAATATCTGACGCACGCATGTTTCAAGAGGAACAAGTGAAGAATGATCACCGTGCTCGTAAGAGTTAACGTGCACTGACGTCGCACACTACACGGGCCTCCACCGTTTCGTCTCCATCGAAATGCGACCACCACAGCCAGGATCGAACCTGCGACATTCGGGTCAGCTGCCCATCACCGTAGCCACTGTTCCACCGAGACGAACAGCGGCGAGGCTTACGTTGGCCAAACTGACCAGTGTACTAATGACCATTTAGCAAGGCGTGCCTTTTTTATCGAAAAGGGGACAGGGTCTTATTCGCCGTGTCACTGCAAGGAATGAACATGTGAACCACTGCAGAACACATGCGTTTCGTGGACAAGTAAAGACAACGTGTCTCTAGAACTAAATGCTGCTGTGCACAAACACAAATACAGTGGTCAAAGTATCAAGGTTCTTCCATGATTACTTATCAGGATGAGTGTAGCTTTCTGGTCAATAGGATTCAATTAGAAGACGTTCTAACTAAATCCTGTCATTTCATGTTCCTTGGCCTAGCACGCATGCTCGAAGCATAGCTCTTGGAAGAATGAACTTTAGCTGCAAGTTTGTGCTGGTACACTTCCAGTATTCTTCATCTCCTGTCCAAGTATTCGTGCCCGTTAATTCAAGTCTGAATGTGTAGGAAGCATAGGCGTGTGCATAGATGGAGAAACGAAAGTGAAAGTGATGACAATCTCCACACTACGGCTGGCCTTCAGCCCTAAACTTTCCAGGGGCAGAGGTGAAAAATAGACCGTTCTTGGAATGCAGCATCACGAGTTCTCAAACGGCACTGTCTTCAAAAATTCATATGGCCACAACGCCGCAATTCCAATAGCAAATGGACAGATACGACGCAATAGGAGTATGTAGAAGACCAGGCACCTCCTCTGAAAAAGGGGGTGTCAAGGGCAGCTGCCACACCTCTACTCACTCTTTGCACGCCTAGGGTAAGAAGGTATAATTGCTGAAATAGTTGTTTCTGCATACTGCAACAGTCAGAATGGTTTAAATGATTTAAATTGAAACAAAAAAAAAGACCGATGCCTTTCTCTTAAGAGAAGCTTGTTCAAATCTCAGATTTCGGTGTCGTACTTGAAAGACTCGGCACGCTTGTTTGCGCGAAGAAATACGGCCCCTCAAAGGTCTGCCAGTCATGTGCGCATTCGAGTGCTCCCTTTTACATGTAACTGATGCTTTCCAAATCATGTGCCTCTTGGTGTCCACCCAGTTTCTGCTGTGGCAATCTCATCATATACTCATATGACTTGTCCTTTCATTTTGACACCATTGCTGCCTGGATATTAATGCATAAACGAATATGTTCGATAGAAAAGGCACTCATCTTTTGCCACAATAATACATTGGCTAAACTTCTAAGCCAAAAAAAAGCGGCACACAATCTAAGGCACACATTCTGAAGAAATCATACCTTTATTCTTTACTTTGCTTATATGCTTATACTTGGTTAAAGGGGTACTGACACCAATTTTCAAAAGTGAGCTTAATGCATATGAACCTCTTGAACACATGGATGGCTCTGAAAAAGCGTAACCTCGGCAAATGCTGATGAAATACTTTAATTTGACATTAAAGTTGATTTTATCATGGCACACTTGCCGTCATCACCAGTATTGTGGCATCAGTATACAGTATCAATTCTAGTAATTTCGTGCACCAGTATAACAAGTAGTGACACCAGGTATCAAAGCATTCAAAATTGCCGCTTGCACGTCACTAACAAAGCCAAGGAGTGAACCGGGCGGGTAAACACCATGATATCTTATGCAAACATGTGACGAGGTTTTAACCGAAACAAGCTTTAAAACAGAACATACTCTAGTTTCTTTTTAAGGGTGCATTTACACTTGCCAGTAAGTTTTCTAAGCTCCTAAGGCCTTGGCCTTTGATTGATTGATTTGTGGGGTTTAACGTCCCAAAACCACCATATGATTATGAGAGACGCCGTAGTGGAGGGCTCCGGAAATTTTGACCACCTGGGGTGGCCTTGGCCTTTCATTTGAGGCAAAAAAGCAACCGAATAATTTCGTGTCAGTACCCCATTGAAGTGTGTTGCTGCAGAAAGGTGTCCCCTTGCCTAGATTTGTCAGAATTGTAAATGCACGAGCTAACAAATCCGCAATTTGCTTTTATAAATTTGCGAGCCACTTACCGCGCTCAGACCTGGTGTCGCCGTCTTCCTCCCGGCAGTCCTCGAGGAGGCAGTAGCGCATGGTGTACATCTGGCAGTGTTCGTCGGCTCCTGCGGCCAACGCGAAGCTCTTGCGCCCCTTGTGAAAGAAGACGGTCGAGTTCATGATGGCACAGTCGCCCGTCGGATAGCGTGTCACTGGTTCTGCCTTGCATGTTGTCTTCGTCGGGACCAGCTCGTATATCTCCTGGCAAGACCAAAGCCATGTCAGACACACAGCACTCTTCCTGTGTCTCTCATTATATGTAAACGTCTATTCTTATTTTTGCTTCAGTGTTCCTAAAAGCTATGCACAATCTCGATGAATATCAAGTTTCATCAAAATCAACAGCTGAGTAGAATAGCAATTCGGGTGAGCTGGTCTACATCTGTCTCGTAAATACAGCACAAGCAAGCAAGTACACAGTAAGCACATAGGTGTTGTAATACATTGTGCATTTGTTCTCCACTGTGTCCTCATGTGTTTATGCCAGTTTCACTAATTATTGAGGTTTAAGTTCCAAAACTATGATTCGATGATGACTGATGTCGTAGTGGAGGGTTCTGGAAATTTCAACCACCTGATATTCTTAAGTGTGCACTCAAGCCTAAGTACACGGAGACCTAGAGTTGTGCCTCCACAGAAATTCCGCCATTGTGGCTGGTGTTTGATTTCGTGACCTTTGAGTCAGCAGTCGTGCACCATAGCCATTTGATGCTATATTACAACATTAACAAAATTGAAACCTGCAATAACAAGCTCTCATCCAATAGTAGCAGCTTTTGCACATGAACCAACCTGAACCCATTGCACATGAACCAAGCTGGTAATACATCGATTGCTTGTGGAAAATGAGATATTCACTGAGCAGGTATACAGAGCTCCCTTACAACCAGAGACATAGCATATAAACCAGATTCAGAAGCATAGAAGTAATTTATCTGTCCTACTCCAGCAATTGCACAAGGACTACATGGAACAAAATTTTACGAATCAGGGAAACTGCTAGAAATGTTTCCACTGAGAACGATAGAAAGCATTGCAGAGTGCAGGTGTACACTGTAATGTAGGCTAGTAAAGAACAGTACGAGCATTACTGGAATAACAAAACAAACTTTAGAAATTGAATAATAAAATATTTATTTCATCTTGAACTACGATGTCTGATGCACCTTGTTACCTTAAAGCATCTAATGATGTATAGCGACATAAAAATCTCACTGGAGAATGCTCGTCCCACGGGTTTCTTCGCTAAATCCTCTACATCCTTCTTCATGCTATTTATACATCACTATGCTATCCTACAAAGTCTAATAAACATGTCAACCACTGTTAATGCATGTTCCACCACATGTTTCATAGCAATTACTCGACTCACAAGTTGATTCGAGATCACACAGCGCTACTAGTGCTGATGTGTGATCTGGTTATGCACGTCTTATTGTTACAGGGTTGGTGGCAATGTTAACGAAGTTTTGATTACAATGAGCATGTCTTACCCAGGAGTGATAAGATAATGGCTTCAACAAAGTGAAGGGGGTCACTTACAAAAAGAATATGAATTGTATTCAGGCGTACGTCCGCAAAAAAAATACAGTGTGCACGCACATACAGTGTGTACAACTATTTTGATCTTGGGACTCACTTACCAAGCTTTTTCTTCGTGCTGAATTTCGCCAAAAGATTACACACTTGGACTGATTCACGCTCAGACTCATGGCTAAATCTGAGTGAGTTGGCTCAAGTGTGAACTCGCCAACCTATGCACAGGTGCTCCGTAAGTAAAAATGAGCACGCAATGCAAGCTGTGGCTAAGCTACACAAGGGCGAATGCCAGTGCGCTCCATCGAGAGAATCGGTTCTCTAATCTTATTCAAAAATGTGCCAGAAGATAGTGCCATGATTCCCATATAAAGATAAAGAAGCACTTCTCTGATGCAGCGCTCTGGCATTTACTTTTGCATAGCTTGGCCACAGCTCGCATTTCACTTTGTACTCAAGTCATATAAACTCTGATTAATGGGAATGTTTGATCTTCATTAAGGTTGATCAAATCTTTATGTAAATATTCAATCAGAATCGGAATGAGAATCAAACAAACCAGAATGAGAAGTAACACAATCCTATGATGCATTCGACTACGTATTGACCATGCAGCAGATCTCTCATTCACCAGAAGGCAATGAATGCATCCTAACATAACTGGGAAGCAATAATCTAACAATGAAAGAACAACCGTATTTTAAGTTTTTTTTTTTTTTGAAAGAGGTGGGAATGTTTCATCTACACTAAGGTTGATCAAATCTTGATGTAAATGTTCAATCAGAATCAGAATGAGAATCAAACAAATCAGAATGAGGCATACATAGGAGAAGTAAGGCAATCCTATGATGCATTTGACTATGTATTGACCATGCAGCAGATGCACCAGAAGGCAATGAATGCATCATAACATAACTGGGAAGCATTAAAGAACCCCAGGTGGTCAAAATTTCCGGAGCCCTCCACTACGGCGTCTTTCATAATCATACGGTGGTTTTAAGATGTTAAACCCTGCATATCAATCAATCAATAACTGGGAAGCATTCATCTTATGAAGAAAGAAATAACAACAGTATTTTAAGTTTTTTTTTTCTGAGAGAAGTGATTGAAAACGAATGAAAATGAAATAAAAATATATTGATGTGAACCGCTGGTGTTTTTACACCTGATGGTTAATTTCACGACCTTACAGCCTTCTATCACGCTCGGAGATTCCGATCGCAATCAACGACGAAGCGCGATCGAGTCGAGCAGGGTGGAAGTGGAAGCGCATGATCAGCATAGGGCCTCGAATGCATACTCGAGGCCAAATTCTGCCATCGCATAAACTATGCAGTCAGGACTCGCATAATTTACATAACCTCACCTGGCGTAACAGACGAATGACCAATCAACGCACACAGCGTCTCCGATGCCCTGCTCTAGCTGATAACGCGGACCGGATTTCAAGTTGACGACCTCGGAGGAGCGCCATTCAAAGCGCGCCGCTTTGTTATAAACCATTAGCGGCAGGAAAAACAAATTAACTTCCGCCTCCATCGAGTGCAGCAGGTTGTTGCGTGACGTCGTCCTGACAAGCTGACGTTTGACAGCGTCGACGTCACAGATTATCACCCGAGAATTATCACCCGAGACCAGCAGGTGACGTGTACGGACGACAGTCGCAGCGATCAACATCTAATCTAACTGCCCGTTCGGCGATTGAGAGTAACGCACCGGGAAATAAAACGACAGCCCCGTTTACTAGGAAGGCGTTCTTCTTTAGCTCCCTTGGCGTGAAGGAAAAGTTTATCGTTGGTAAGTCGCTTCGAAGCGCTCACACTCTTAGAACGAAGGACGTGGCCTTGTCCAAGGCGTCTCGGGCAATCGCACCGTCAAGGAAGCTGGATTTCGAAGCCAAAGTTACCAGCTCATCAATGGGCGAAGCAAAACAAACAGACATCGAGAATAGCTTTGAATGAATCGGTGTTCACCAGCTGAATCGACATGGACCTACAATGTACCGAACGAAGCATACCCAGCTAGCACAGCTGATATACGATTTCAATTAATATTATTTCGCGACCGCGTCGGTTTTCACCGAGAGAAACAGCGAAAAACACTTCTGCGGATGGCCAAAAAAAAAAAAAAAAAGTACGCTCGCAAGTAGAGTCGACAAGGGCGCCGCATTTTACCACAGCCGAATCCGAGAAAATACGGCAAACTTCTTTGACAAACGAAACCAGTACTCGCGATGTGGTTCGATGAAATCGGGTTACTTTTCGTGAATAAATAGTCCAGCCGCTTTCCCGAAGTCGCGACATTACGATCAAGACGAGCATCCCATGCGATCAGCTGCGGGTTCTTTTGACACGTATGTAATAGAAACAGGCTCATCCGAGCCTAAACCAGAGCGGGTCTAAAGTGATGGCGCAGAGACGCGGGGTACTCACAATTTTGTTTGGTATGCCAGTCCTCGACTTCCCGCCGCCTCCCGCGACCAGTATGTGCCTTTCGGTAAGTACATTTATCGAATACAGGGGAAAATTGACCCGCGCCAGTAACTCGCCCGACTTGGGCGGCGCCATCTTGGTGAGTTTGTGTCAAATCCTGCGTCGTGGAGCTGCGATCATTCCTCCAGCAGTCGTGCTAACATGAACAACTTTATTGCGTTTAGAAGCTTTTTTGGCTCTATTAAAGCACTATATTATTAACACAATTAAAAATATATGACTGCGATTTTGTATTATAGGCGATGAAATAAACTTGAATGCTTTGTCAAAACAATAAACTTACTTCACTTGTTGTCACTAGATGGCAGCACAAATTATAAAAACTCAAGGCGTTGTTTTGGGTATTTGTCTAGCAGAATTTGCCGCAATGCCCGTTGGGATTGACGTGCGGCGGTGGACATCTTTGAGAAGCCGCACGGATTGGGTGGCTTTTCGCACAGATACGTGTTGTGGAGGTTGGTGGCAAAAAAAAGCATCCCAAATGCTCTGAATGCACTCGCGCGGACACAGCATCTCCAGCTCCGACTCGGGGAGCCGCTTTTCGACGCTCGAGAAGAAGAAGACCGTCTGTCCCAGGTGAGAACGGGCGATCGCATCACGCGACTTGTTGTCGGAAACCTTCGACACTGTTAAACCGGACCATCTTTAGACGAGTGACAGAAGGCGCGCGTGTGATTCTGCTATTGTGTGTTTGGGCGTAGCGTTCGTGACCGCTTTGAAGCGTTCGACGTTCCGCGTTCGAGCTGTGGGCGCCGTGAGCGCGCAGATCATCGGTGGTGCGATGTTGTGAATGCGGCGCCAGCCGAGCCCCCCCAACTTCGGGGAGGAGAGGACCCCTGCACAGAAATGTGACTGGGGGGGCGGTGTACTGCGATGAAATCCAAGCCGTGCCTTCGACGAGATGCCAGACCTCGGCTGGTTGGGAAGCGAAAGAGAGCTTACGCTTGGCTCCTCCTAGACGCGACTTGATGAGGGAGCAGCGTTTGTTAGAGCCCCGGCCGGGTTCAATGTCTACTCCGTTTCTTGCCCTTTTTTTTTTTTTTTTGATAACGCCTTGTTTATACGTGGGAAAAGCGTGTCCCCAACCCCGTCACTTCTTGCAGTAAAGCTGGGCGAGGCCCCTCTTTGCTTATTTTTTAGGTTTCGGAAGTTCCACACTAACGCGAGCATCGCGAAGTACGTACACACTGTTGCATCTGTTTCGTGCTGTTTCGACTTGGTGACAGGGCTTAATTCGGTGAGCCGATGGAGCCGTCAACGCCGAATAACTCGATCGCGGCCTTCCCCCCTGTCATGGCATGCACGAGCGCACGAGGTAATAATAACAAGGCTTCCTCATTATTGATATTTGCCCCGCGCGCAGTTTACATACTTATCGCGAAGCGTCATCCCACGTTGTACACACCGTTCTGCCCTCTTTTGTCAACTCGTTGCGAAAGCCCGAAGCGCCGATATAGACCTGTCATCCGTGCCGCTTCGTTTCGTCTTCGTTTTGAAAGGGAAATTTGTTTACACGCCCGCAGGAGTTGCTTCGTTATGTAGCCGGTCGCTCTTCGGAGGCGTTAGACTTTGTATCGTTGTTATAAACAGTTCAGTATACGGAACACCTGGAGGGAAGTAATAATAACAGTTCGGGTTTGACGGGCCAACACCGAGATACGATTATGGGAGACGCCGTAGTGGAAGGCTCCGGAAATTTCGACCACCTGGGGATTCATTAACGTGCTCCTAAATAAAGTTCCACGGACCGTTTTTGAGCATCTTCCGCCTCCATCGAGACGCGAGTGGTGTTCGATCCCGCGGCCTAGCTGTGAAGCAGACTTGCGGGGCAGTCCCAACCTCACGCACTTTCAATTAACGTCACGGTGGTTACGTTGTTCAGATTAAATAGTCCCAGGGGTTCGTCAAAATTATTCCCAATTCCCCCGACTACGGCGTGCCTCTTTGACCGTGTCGTCGTTTCGTCACGTAAGACCTCAGAAATGAATTAACTGCGGGAACAGCTTGTTTGTAAGGGAACCCGAAGGGTCCAAAGGGGAATTCTCTTATCTTAATACTTAGAAGAAGGACGTGTTTCTTAAATACAGTGATAATAAAGGAGAATTTTTATCGCTAAGATAACGCAAACCGCGCGTTGCCGCACCGTGACCTCTTTTAGTGGCTTGTGTCTTCGCGGCATTCTCTCAGCGGCAGGTGCAGCGTATTCTGGGATATGTGGGGCGCCCGGTAGTTTCTTTGTCGCCGTTCTTTTTTTTTTTATTATTATTATTATTGCCGGCAGTCCTGCCGCCCGCTGCGCTTGTGATGGTTCCGTTGCGATCTTGTCTGCCGCCGCACTGGAGTTGTCGCGGCTGTCGTGCACTCCACTGCACGCCTTGCGACGACCCAAACGAAAAAGCTAGCGCCGGCGTTCCGCCGTGGGTCGTCTTGCGCGAGTCGTCTACAAGACGTCCGTGGGCCGACCCGCGCAAGACGCGCCAGTAGATTGCGACAACCGGTCTTTTGCGTGCTTCATTCAAGCCCACTTCTCCACTCACGTAACCAGGTTGTAGCTACGACAGAAAGTAATTTTTTTTTTAGCACGAAAGTGTTTTATGCCGGGGTCCACTACGGCTCCGCTGACGTACTTCCGTCACGGAAGTGACGTTACAAACGTATACTAAAAAATTTCAAAGAAGAAACCAGGAGGTGAGCATCTGTCGTGCGGAAGCGAACCAGCAACCTCTCGATTCCCAGCGCGCGTCGCTAACCACAACGCGCACATTGTCTGGAATGCTAACGGCAAGCCCTTTATGTACACCCTATACCGATCGGCAGTCCTCAAAGCTTCGAAACTTCAGCTCGTTTTTGTTATTAGTGGCAAGATGGAGCGACGGGCTCGCGTTCGATTAGCTTTGGGCGCGCTCTAAAAGTCGTCGCCTCCGCGAACCGCCGCCCCCACAGAGCGTGGTCACCCCCGCGCGCGCTTATCAGAATCGTAATTTGGATCGGACGAAGGTCGCTTCGCACGCTGCCACGGCAGCGTTTACGAAAGGAGCGCGCTGCTGACAAACGACGCGGGAAGAATTATCACATTTGTTCGCGCTTGTCCTGTGTATACTTGCGCGCTCGTTTCGTGCGTCTTTCTTTCTGTTTGAACAGCGCGCCGTAAGTGTCGAGGTGTGACAGTTGCTATTCCGCGCTCCTCCTGGGTGTGCTAATTTCATGCATGCTTTTTGCGGGAGGTGTGCGCTGCAAGTTTCGAGCCGTTTGCCGTTCCTAACGTCACTTTGCAATTTGTTGCTGTTGCTAAAAACAATACACAATGAACGCTCAACTACATCTGTAAAGACCGTGTTATACCGATACCTATATGTGGGGCGGGGGTCAGCCAGGTTTTGTTTTTTTCGAGGAACGACTTATAGGCACAATTCCAAGTGAATCCAACATTCATTTAGGTCGGAGTGTTAATGAGAACTGGCAGACAGTGATTTCGAGGAAAGTGTAGGGGATGTTGTTAGTAGTAATTATTATATGAATGTGAACAAAGAAAAATGGACGAAAAGATAACTTGCCGCAGGCGGGGATCGAACCTGTGACCTTCGAATAACGCGTCCGACACTCGACCATTGGTTCGGGAGAACCAACGTATTGTGTCTAAGAAGGAATAAAATGTTTGTTTCTCTCTCTGTACAATGAGTTTGAGGGAGCAAAATGATACGGGATTGGGGACCAAGTGCTCGTTTGTCCTGGTCTTTTTTTCTTTGTTTTTGTGTCCGCTATTTATAATTGCAATGTGAGAAATCTGTGAGAAATCTTGCTTTCTGTGAGAAATCTTGCAGTTCTATTGACTCGCATTGCCGTTTAATAGAAACGGGGGGGGGGGGGGGGGATCCTACTATGTTCCTTGCATTGTTTTCTAATTCGCTGGCGCGCATTTTTCACCCATTCACGTAAGCCGTGACGTCAGCACGAAAAAAAGGAGGGGGGGGGTGTTGCCTTTATATTAGCTGCCGTAAAAAAAAAAAGTCGAGATGGTGAATAATGATTGAAAAAAAAAAGTAATTCACTAATGAAACATGCTTGCTTCGGTTATTCCTCCTTTTATAGCGAGGCTTTTATTTTGCATATTTTATGCGCGCTCGCCCGTTCATTTACTTTGACCTGTGCTATAGCGCTTTGCAACGCAGACAATTAAATGACTTTCCTTTGAACGTATGTCACGAAGTATTCGGAAAATATATTGACACGCATGATATTCTTTCTCACTGTGTACATTTATTTTAGTGAAACGATTACAAGTTCAAATGTCATTTCGTTAAAACGAGCTCTACGTTTGGCTTAGTTTTTCGCAGGCCAGTAGCCAAGAAAGTTGAAGTGGGGGAGGGGTAGCCGCGAATTTTAGATAGATGTGTGTTTTACCGAGGACAATACTAAGAAGAAATGGTGTTTTTCAAGGCCTTCTACAGGTGCTCCCCTCCCGAGATAGATTCCTTGCTACGTGCCTGGGTCATAACTTCTATAGGTTCGGCTTTGTCAGCGTGCATCGGAGAATAGAAGGCAGTTCGTTACATCGAACGCTTGCCCCGCCGCCGTAGTTTAGTGGCTAAGGTGCTCGGCTGCTGACCCTTAGTTCGCGACATCGAATTCCGGAAGTGGCGGCTGCATTTTCAATTGAGGCACAAATGCTGTAGGCCCGTCTGCTCAAATTTGGGTGCACGTTAATAAAAAAAAAACCCAGGTGGTCAAAATTTCCGGAGCCCTCCACTACGGCGTCTCTCATAATCATATGGTGGTTTTGGGACGATAAAGCCCACATATCAATCAAATCAACTAGTTGGTGCGCACCCAGTATCTAAAAAAAGGCTGAGTGTGCGCGCCAGCACGCACACGCACACACAAGCATGGACAAGAAAGAGAAAGAGATAGGGGAGGTCGAGGAAAGAAAATACGCAACTTCTGCAGCCCTAGTAGGGAGCACGACTCAGCGAAGAAAGACACACACTGCTGTGTACCTCTGTCTCTCTCTCTTTTATAGGTTCCTTTGTGAAAATGAATATCAGGATTCACTCACTCACTGAAATAAAAAAAAAAGCGTATTATCGAGGAAGAAAATTAAGGACAGAAGAAAAACCCAACCAGGCGCTGACTTACTCACTCACTCACTTGCCCTTCACTTTCATTTGTTCGTTCGTTGATTCCTTCCAGCAATTTATTCCTTGATTGATTCATTCGTCCGTTTGTTCATTTCGTCGTTCATTCATTTATTTTTACTGCGTGCTTCCTCGTGCATTCGCTTGTAGATTCCAGACCGGCGTTGGGCAGTCGCTCGCCATGTTGTCGTCCTCACGTGTGCCGTAGTTCATTGTTCGACTGCGAACGCTTTTTTCGGCGATCGTCGTCGGCGGGGTCGTCGCGCCGCTGCCCAGTGGCCGTCCGGCCTGGCCTGGCCTTGGCCACCACGCATGCTGTGGTCATTTGCGCAGGCGGCCAAGTGCGGCCACTGGCCCTGTCTATTACTGTCGTTCTATCCGCTCTTCTTTCTTTCTTTCTTTCTTTCTTTCTTTCTTTCTTTCTTTCTTTCTTTCTTTCTTTCT